TAATATTATGGTTTGTTTGGGCGAAACCTAATATTTGGTAGTATTTAATGCTTAGATTAATTGCTACAGTATTTTATGGTAAAGTCAACACTTTTACTATTAATAGATATAAAAAAATCTATTTTTTATTTTGAAAATAAATAAATATAATAAATATTTTTATATTTAATATAAATTTAATATACTTTCAAATAAATTTTTGTAATATATATATAAACTATAATTATAAAAATATATGTTGAATTCTATATTTCTAATTAATATATAAATTTGTTATTTAAAAACATCATTATATAATTATAATAAATTCTTGATATTAAATATTTAATAATTTTTTTAAATAATTATTTAAATATAATATAAAACTATTATTAGAAAAGGTTTATGCAGAATATTTAATGAATAATATACTGCATCTATTAAAACTAAAAATAATACTATTGAATAATATAAACGATTATATTTAAATTAAAGTTTTTATATAATAAAATAATATAAAAATTTATATAAAAAATAAATTATTATGAAAACCACTTATTTCTGAATTATGTAAATTTTTAGAAAAATCAATTATGTAATACATAATTTAAAATATATTTATACAATAGTTTTAAGTTTATAAAGTATAATGTGTATTAAACGAGTAAATTAATGTTTTTAAATTTAGTAAATTATACAACACATAAACATTAAAATTTCATTTTATTGTAATATAAGACTAAAAACATGTAAACTATTTAATATACAAATAATCTGCAAATTATAATTTGTATTATAAATTAATTAATTTAAATATATGGTATATTTAACTTTTATTTAATCAATAATTTTAATAAAATAAAATTTGAGTTAAGTTAATGATATTTAGAAACATTGACAAAAGTCTAGTTACTAATAATTTTAACATATAAATAGAAAAATAAATATTAATTAGTTATTTTGATTTTATATATTTGATTTATCTCAATAAAAAACTTTAATTTAATTTTTTACTAATTTTACTGAAGCATACATTTGTTTGTATTTTACAAATTCAATTCAATTTATAAATCTTATGGACTCAATATTAAAAAATAATAAAAGTCTAGCATTTCTTTAGTAAAACTTAACTATTTTATATAATATAATAATATTACTACTAATAAAATATAATTAAAGTAACTATAAATTTTGAGCTATCGATATTTAGATCAAATGTAAAGACAAATAAATAAAAATTTATAATAAATTTTCCATAGAAATTTTTATATAATTTCTCATGAATAAATTTTTATAGAAATTTACTTTATTTTTATAATATTTAATCATATATGACTATTGCAATAATGTATTACTAAATAAATAATTTACAGTATTGTACAGAACATTACATTACTATACAAATGCTATCTTTAAATATTAAATTAATATAATTACCAAATAAATTATTATAATTGTATTTTTTTTAATTTATTCATAATTCAGTTATTTTTAATTAGTTTATAAAAATAATAGAAATTTAAAAAATAAATAAATAAATAAAAGGTAATTTAATTTTCACGAACTCCTGAAAGGAGATCGTATATCCATTCTATAAGTCTGTCTGTCTGTCTGTCCGGTGTCCTACGAGGATATAGGTTCGAATCCACACTCTGCTACACAATTTTTTTGAACTTTTTTCTTTTTTAAGTTAAGGAGTTCGTATGGAAACGCTTTTGAAGCATTCTCAACTGGTTAATATTAAATAAACTTTGAATAATAATATTTAGTTATTAGTAATAATTATTGTATTGCTATATGAAAACAACTAAAAAAATTATGTTTTTATATAATAAACATTTTTTAGAAACTCCAGAAATTTTTCAATTATTTCAGTAATTTCTTTTGCAAACTACTACTTAAATACCCAATAAATATCTCAAGTATTTATGATTTAATATTACATTTAATTCCTATCAATTAATTAAGCATTTAATTGAAAGCCACAAAAAACTCAATACTCGTTGTTATGTTATCTTTCTATTCATTCATTTTTATTTATACCTTAAATATTGAACATAATATCTAATGAAACTCAATCTAATGTATCAAAGGAATGCTATGTAATAATGAATTGATTTCATATTTGCAAACAAACAACAAATATTTAATTCAATAATATATATTATATGATACATATCTAGTTTGACACAGATTGTATCTATCAATATATGTGTGTTTTAATATATACAGTTATGTAATATTTATTGAACAATACTTTTTTATGCAATAATACGTTGAAACTCATTGTATTTTTAATAATCGATTTATTTATTTTTAAAATTAATATATTTTGTATTTATATATTAGTTTACTAATATTTACAGATGTATCATGAGATATAAAATGCATGCCAATTGAAATCAGTTATTTTTTGTGAAATTTTTTTATCTATAAATAGGTCGGTAGGTATTTGAAGATATGTAATAATATATTGATAAAACAATGTTTGATAAAATTGTCGGAATTATTGAATTTAAATATATTTGTTAATGTATAATATGAATATTGCTTTTTATCTAAAATTTGTCTTTTAAAGTTATATTAAAAGTATTCATTTTACAGATTATATACAGAATAATTGTTTATATTAATTGATATGTAAAGTGACCCCAATTATGACCCATTACATAGAAACTGAATGAACATTTTATTATAAACTAACAGCAAATTTATTAATTATTAGTTAGAATATAATATTTTATTTGGTTGTATAGGTCAGGCCCGTTGTGATGAGCTGTCATCATCACAATCATTATTGTAACGGTTTTAGTGTACAATCTTTTAATGTAATATTCATTATTGTAATTATTATTGCAATGCATTTTTGTATTACAAAAGTATGTTTTGTGATAAAACATTAAAACAAAAAAGCTATTGCAATGCAATACAATATAATGATATATAGTTTATACAAACTTAACTTAATTGGCAAAAGCATTGGCGTAGGTCTTAATAATGATGACATTTGTACGCCTTTTAATAAAAAACTATATCTAATTGTTAAGCACATAATATTACTAAAATAATTTCGATTAATAAAAAACATTTTTACATTTTTTAATATTAAAGTATTTTAATCAATAGATTTAATAATAGTATTAAATTTTTATTTGGCTATTAAGAAGTTATAAAATTTATTAACAGATAAGTAATTCATAAACTATAACACAAATATTATTAAAGTATAAATAATAGAAATTCAAATCAATTAAATCATAAATTAAATAAATTAAATACTACTAATGAGTTTATTTACTGTTTTATGTTTATGAGAGTTAAAATGGATATTATTAAAAATATTGTATAAATTTTCGTTATAGCAATTTTTGCTTCTATAGAGTATATTTTAATATATTTTAATGTAATACAATACAAAATATATCAAATTAAATTAATTTATTAAATTTTGTATAATAGGTCATCTTTTTGATTAACTCTAAACTAAAATTTTAAAACATTTATATGTTTTGAATTTAAATATGACAAATATGATAAATTAAAAATAAATTTATCAAATACTATATATGCATAATTTATATTTGAATTAAATAAATAAATTTATATATTTATAGAATAAAATGACGTAAAGCAAGAAAAAATACTAATAATTAATTGCTACAAATGTAATAATTTTTACAAAAAAATTGATTTTGTTTTTACTATACTCTAATTGGTTACTTATTATTAGCTATATATAGAAAAAATGATGTAAATGTAAATTAGATAGTATTTGTTCAAACAATTTATAAATATATGATATAAATATATTTTAATATATTTATTGCATATTAATTATTTTGATACTTTTCTATATTTAATGACATAATTATATGCTTAACGTAAATTTGCTATTTTGTCAGTTAAATTGTCAAAAACATATAATTTAAAATAGCATTTAAATATATTTATTAAAGAATTACTTAAATTGTTCAATAAATCATATTTATAATATTAAATTATTTTTAAAATGTTATTTAAATAACAATTTAGTAGTTATAAGCATTATTTTGTACAAATAAACTAAGGATATTTTTTAAAAATAAAATTCAAATAATATTTTTTTTAAGTTAATTTATTATTGTCAGCATATTTTTCTTATTTTACTTGTAATATTATATAGGAAATGTTAATAATTTTGATTTATAACAAAATAGTTTTAATAGTTGATAGTTTTGAAATGAAACATATATTGAATAAAATTAAACAAATGACAAATATTAAATTAAATATTGTTAAATATACTTTATTTTATTTAGATATATTGTTATTAATATAATGTAATATATTGTATTTAATACAATTATACGCAATTCACAATATATGGTATATCTAAATATTTACAATTCAAATACACTTAAATAATATGATATAATGTTATCTATTTTTAAATTTTTGATAAATTTTACGAAATATATTTCTATATGAATTTCTATATTATATTTTATACATATAACTATAAAATATAGAATAAGATATAAACTAATTTTGTTCATATAAATTAAAATATATGTTTTATTCAACTTTGTAGTCTTTTTTATCAATATGCTATGAATTTAGAAAAAAATTTATTTAATGTTATATGTTGATGCAAAATAAATAATACAACATTATTATAGTATTATAGTATTGAACATATAGAATATATTAATTTATATAACTTATATACATATAATGGAAATATGTTTTTTTGTTATTTATTATATTAAGAGATATTTGTCAATACATGAGATTGTTGTTAGTGCTCAGGGAATATACTAATGGAATACAGGGTATTGTATTAAATATATAAAAATATTATGTATAGGTATTGTTGAATATAAGTATAAATATAAAAATACTTATTATTTATAGAAGAAATTTATATAAAAAAATTGCTATAATATTTTTATATATAAATATAGTTCAATATATATTTATATAATATAGTATATGTATAAAATTATAACAATATTGATGTTTGAAAATTTTGAAATAAATAGACAATACATTTGGTGAGACGCGATATGAAGATGAGACGAGACAAGCAATGATTGAGATGAACAAACTGTTTCGACACCTGTTCCCACTGGTGCCCGATAAGGCTCATTATATATGGAAAGCCAGTCATTTGGGAGGTTCCCTAACATTAGATCAGCCCCGACATCAAACTTCATATATAGAACATATTGAAAATCCCGAACCACTAGTACGCCATTCCTCGACACCTCAAAGTGAAGCGAATGTCAATAAAATTAGAGAAGAGTCGTCTCAATTTGAAGACCTACCGATAGTCAGCTCTGTGGTCACTAAACCGACACCTGTGTTATCACCGATTCTGGCAAATAATTATCACATTATTAAGTCTGGCCGACGAATGCAAACGACACCACTCGGCAAAAGGGGTCCGGAATGCATGAGGAAGTGTATCGCACAGGGAGTACTACATCCCGTTCAGTGTCACTCACTCTGCTAAGTCTTGCACACACTTTCGCACATCCTTTTCCTCTATAATTACATTTCTGTGAGTATAGTATATATCATATTTTATATCAATATACCTGTACTAACATAACATATACTGGATTTTGTCAAATAAAGGTTGAATTGATTGGACGTATCACCAATTGGGCCAAAAATAAATCCAATTAATTACAATTAATTGTTATAAAGAATATATAATTTTACAACTCCTTAAACATTATTATAAATATCAATAAAATAATTGATAGATTTAATGATTCAGTTATAATAACAATAAATCAAAAAAATCAGTTTTGAGTTGTTTTATGTCAAATATGTCAAACACCAGAATAAAATACCCGGAAAAATAATTATACATTATATTTGCAATAAATACTTGTCGTCTAAATGTTTTTTAATTTGTTTAAAATGTGCAAACTATGAACTTTGTTTACGCTAATGTCATTTAACTTTTAAATCAATAGTCAATTTTATGTTATTTTTGTATTTTATGTTAACGTGAAGTCCTATCACTCATTTTTTTTGCTAAGTGACCGACAAATAAATATTATTATAATTGTTTTGAATAAAACTTTTATTTGAAGATTTCAAGCAAATTAACTGTTAAAAACATATAAACATATTTGTACATTGCATACATAAATTTAGTAATAAATGTATCATTTCTTAGATTAAATATTTTAATTTTTAAAACTTAGTGACAATACAGATATTGTTAATTTATTACAATGTGTTTAGACTCTCTTTTTATTATTAGTCAAAATATTTTGTTCAATATTTAATAATTATAAATAAATAAATATAACTGTAATAAAAGGTGAAATATAATGTTATCAAATTGATTAAATATTATAATAAAATTTTTAAAAACTACAAAAATATTTATAACTTTATGTTAGTTATTCTCTTACAATTTGTCATTATTTGAAATAAATTTATTATTATAAAAATAAATCTATAATCTCTGTTATAACAATATTTCTTAATAAAATTATTGTTAAAAAATGTTTTCAATAATTATATTATATATAAGTCTATTACTAAATTTTTAAAATAAATTTTATGATTGTGTAAAATAGTCTATTATAAAAAAATAAATTATCAAAATTATATTAATACATAATAGCAATATTATGTTTCTTTTAAATTTTATAGTTTTCCTTTTTAAAATTATATCTATTTGTTATATTAATAGTCTGTATTGTATAAGATATAAATTTATAAATTTATGTATAAATTATTTAAATAATTATAACTTATTTGCAACTTTTTATGTTTTAATTTAAACAAAAATAAAAGCGATTTTCACAATATAAATAAAAGTTAATCTTAGGTTATTGTATATACTGTACTATACATTGTATTTCGGGGTATTATCTATAATTTAAAGGTATGCTTTTGTTTAATAATATATCATACAATTATAGTCTTATAAACCATTTATTTCACCGATTGCTATGTATTTTGTATATATAATTGAATAATATGTTATAAAATATTTGTTCAACTATTTGTAGTATTTATTGATTTTTATGTTATTTATGTGTTTACTTTATCTTAACAAATGTCTATAGACTAACATTGGCTTTTAAAATAGAATATTTGATAAAAAATAATATATAATATAATACCAAAAATTGTTATTTTTAGTAACAAAGTTATAATAATAGTCATAAAATACAATGAAATTGTTTATCCAAAACTAATTATTAAATTCTAATTATAGATCATATTAATAGCAAATCATACAAAACAATAGTTAAATATTTTATATGGATATAAATTTATGTATATATATATTAATATATTATTAATAAATTTTTATTGTATTAAGATCCCAATGTCCTAATAAATATTGGAAATGATTAAAAGCTATGATTATATATGATTTTGATTGGAGTATCAATAAAAATAATTAATGATTTCCATTTAAATTTAGTTAAATACTAAAAATAATTAACAATAAAATTATATAAAAACAAGTTAAAATAAATAAAATAAAATTAGATAACTATTTACCAATTAAAAAATTATATAATGAATTCATAAAAATATTATTAATTTTGATTCATAAAATAAATATAATATAAATTTAAACATACAGTATGTATAAAGATATAAATGGAGATAAAGTTGTATATTAGTAATACTAATTTAGTACCCAATCTTGTTTTTAGACTTTTAAATTTAAATTTACAAATTTTAGGTTACAATTGGTTAAACAATAATATATAAATAAATCATTGAAAAGTATGTATTATTTTTGTGAGAACTAAATCTTTTTAATAGTTTATATAAGTTATGTTCATTCAATAGATTTGATGATTGTATATATAATATATACTGTATATATATATATATATATATATATATATAAATTATAATTTATATATATTAAGCTGCGTTCACACAAACGTCAAGTTAACTTATTATAGTAGAATTAACTTAAGTTTTGGTTCACATATAAACTTATTTGAGTTAACTTTATTTAAGTCAAGTACAGTAAGTAACCCTTCATAAGTAAGTTTACTTCATTAAGTCAATGTGAAGACAAAACTTACAAACTTAGTCAATAAGTGTTAAGTATAATAAGTAAACATTTTAAGATTTTAAATGCTTGCTTCACTGTCCCTCAAAAATCAGTTTAATTTTACCTTTAAATTATGAATAGTACTTATTTTTTAAAATTTGTATACAATATGCCTATCATTATTAATTCTATTTCTTATTTTGAAAATATAATATAAGACAATTAAATTTTTATATCTAATTATCATTTGAATTAATAAAATAATTTCAATAATTTGATTAATTTTATAACAACTGATAAACTCAAGTATGGCTGTATGAACACGTGTTACTTAAAACTTGAGTTTAAGTCAAGTTTACTCATTCAAGCATTGGTTTGAACGCAGTTTTAGACTTTTTGTTTGTTTTATTGAAAAAGTTGCTTAAACTAAGTAAATGTTTCTATTTTTTAATTTTTTAATTTATGTTTAATATACTATATTATAGTATATTATTTAAACATTCGTCTATTTTTATATTCTACATTAATTCAGTGTAACTCATAAGCTATTTATATAAGATTATAAAATTCATTAAATTTAAACGAAAAAATAACAGATAAAAAACAAATCAATAATCGATTTTTCAAAAAAAAATCAATTTAACTTAAAAAAGTTTTGTATTTGAGATAAAAAATTTATATTATTGTCACTATTTTTTACGATCCCATAAGTCAATACTGATATGCATTTATTTCTATATAATCTAATCAATTGAAATGGTTTGAACACTAAAGGAATTAAAAATAAAAATCTGTTTATTAAATACAAAATAAAACTATAGTATCTATTATATAATAATAATATATAAAAGGGTTATTCATTAATCTCGCGCATGGGGTTTTTGCTATAACTCTTAAACGGAGTGAGATATATTAATTTTGTAAAAAGTGTATTAAAATATGATTTACGCGTGATATCATAAAATATAAAATTTTTAATTTTGATAACGTGATCATATTTATGACGGGCTGTTTGTAAACCACTATGTCACAACCTAACCTATAAATGATAGAATAAAATTTCAATAGCAATTTTTTAAAGCCTGACTTGAAAAATTATGGGAAGAAAAAATTTTTAAAATTGGTCGAAAAATAAATTTTTTATGGCATTTCAAACTTGTGAAAAAACACATTATATAAAATAATCAAAAATAAAATGACGTTATTTATGGATAGTATACACTTATAAGATAAAGATTTTAATACTATTACTTATTCTAAAAACTAAATTTTTTTATGTCAAATATTTTTTTAGATATTAAAATTACAATAAAAACATAGCATTATAATTTGATAATGTAATTTAATTTTAAATTTAATTATCTAAAAAAATATTAGACATAAAAAAATTTTGTTTTTAAAATATGTAATAGTTTTAAAATCTTTATCTTATAAGTATATACTATCCATAAATAACGTCATTTTATTTTTGACTATTTTATATAATGTGTTTTTTCACAAGTTTGAAAAGCCATAAAAAATTTATTTTTCGACCAATTTTAAAAATTTTTTCTTCCCATAATTTTTCAAGTCAGGCTTTAAAAAATTGCTATTGAAATTTTATTCTATCATTTATAGGTTAGGTTGTGACATAGTGGTTTACAAACAGCCCGTCATAAATATGATCACGTTATCAAAATTAAAAATTTTATATTTTATGATATCACGCGTAAATCATATTTTAATACACTTTTTACAAAATTAATATATCTCACTCCGTTTAAGATTTATAGCAAAAACCCCATGCGCGAGATTAATGAATAACCCTTTTACATATGTTATTTATCTTCAAAAATAAATCTATACATTTTTAAATAAATAAAATTTAATTAAATATAACTTTAAATATAAATAAAATACAGTATAAATTTTAGGAGAAATTCATTCATAAAACTTATTGTTATATCGTATAACATTAATACATATGTATATTCAATTCAAATGTATAATAAATAAAAAATAATATATAGTGTATAAATACTAACTTATTTATACTATATTTATATACTTATTTATAATATACTATAGAATTTATCACAACATTAATTATTGTATTTTTTATAACATGTCCTTGTTAATTATTATTGGTAAAATTGTTAATGACTAGAAAACATGTGAATAAACCAATTTTTATACTGTATAGTATAATATTTAAAATATTTTTTTATATAATACCTTAATTACAGACTGTAAATGAATTTTATGTTATATAGTATATTATTATGAATTATTCCGTTACAATATAATTAGACTATTGCAAAAAAACCTACAATTATTTGCTATTATTTATGACTCAGTAAAACTATACAGAGTATATTGTACTTAAGTTAGTTATTTTTAATATTAATTTTTATTTATAACATAAAATATTTTTTAAATTTTAAATTAATAGTTTGAGTTATTATAAACTAAACTCAATTATTAAAGACTAAGATAAACTAATATATTAAATATTGAAAAATTGATGTCAAAAATTGTTAGTGGGTTTCGATAAATGATATTAAGTGTGCATTCATACAGTATAACAATATGATATTTCATGATATTTATTTGATGTCAAATTTAATTTGAGATAAGTTTAAGTAATTTGATAATATATCTAATAGTTTGACATATTATATGTTTAAAAAGGTCTATAAATATGATAAATGAGTTGATTTTCTGTGCCATTTGTTATTAAATGAGTACTCAAAAGTTAAGTATCTAAAAAATATTTTTACATATTTGAAATGATATCAAAATAGTATATATTAGTACATTAGTATAATATATTAGACAAATTAGTATATAAAAATAAATAAAAATAATTATCTTAAAATGAGATTTCCATCATATAATCAAGCATCTATATTATAATATGTATTGCTTTAAATAAATATTTTTTACATATTTTCATTGTTTCACATAACTCTGTAATTATAGAATTTTGTATTTAAAATAATACTGATTTTAAAATTATAGACTAAATATTAAAATGTAGAAAAATTTAAATAAATAAAACAATATTTAAAATATAAAATTTTATACAGTACTGTCTTATTTATAATTTATAAATTTTATTTAAGTAGAATTTACTTGTAATAAATGTAATATTAATTTAGTTTATTAACAGTATTAAATTAGTTAAAATTTTTGTAAATGGAATTTTATAATAATTATATATATATATATATATATATTAACCGATTTCTAGATTTAGTATATTTCATATTTCTATTACTAAAATATATTTCTGGAGACTCTAAAAATATTTATTGAATCTCACAAATTTGTATCATTTATTATATATAGTTATTTAATGTATAGTATTGATATCCCACTTGTATGATAGGTATTTACAATCGATATATTATTGCTATGAATACATGCAATTTATAACTGAATTGAAGTCAAAGCAAATAAATAATGAAAACGATTGGTTATATTTTTGCCAACATTTGTTAGATTTATTATATTTAAATAGTAAAACTTGTGGGTTAGAGTCATCTTCAATTAAACTAACAACCAATATATACGCTTAATCTAGTACTAAATCATAATTTATCAACCATATTTATTATATTATATGATAAATTTATCAATAAATCATATAACTTGTATTGTTGTACTTTATTTATAATAAACTTTTTTAAATTGTCATAATATTAATATATTATTAGAATCTAAAACATTACTTATAACTTATATAATATACTTTATATAAACATATTTGTATTATTCAAAATGTTTATTTATTTAATTATTAAAAATTATTGATTTAAAATATTTTTTTTTATTTCAAAGATTTGATTATTTATAAGTAAACATGATTTTAAAAATAATTATAAATTATATTACCGTATATTAATTATAATTTATGTTGATAACTTATATATATAATACAGTATATAAATAAAATAAATATTTAGATAATTAAATTAATATATTAATAAATAATTCTTAATATTTAAATAATATAAATAAATAATATATAGTATATTATATATACTGTTTATATAGTTATATGCAAAAAATTGTGAAATAATTATAATAACTTATAAATAAATCAATAAAAAGATGTGACAAAAGTAATGCTTAATTGGTTAGAGTTGGTGACAGTCGCCGGCATCGCTACCGGCCTATAGAACTGCCAATTGTAATACAGGGTATCCTTTGGTTTCAATATAACCGAAAATGTGGTACAATTGTTGGCACACATTGGCGACGGCTTGAGGACAATAAGCCGATAACCAGATCCCTGTGTTAGCCATACATTGGCGAACTCGGTCTTTGGCATTGAAAACTTTGGTGATTTTGGACCAGATATGAAAACAAAGCGCTGAAGAGCCACTTCGGAACTGTTGGGAACAAAGTTTGGTCGAACCGATAGTTTACGAATCACTCGAATGGCTTCAACCCGATTGACTTTCCACTCGACGTGAATGTCAGGCTTCTGGACAAATACATTGTCCAAACTCTTGTTATTGACATTCAAAGAGTTGGACAGTAATGACATCATATCTTTTAAACTATCCATTTGTTTTGTGTCACAATTGCTGACCAATCGGGTCGTTCCGAACTCAAGTGGTTCGCGGTTTGCTAAGTAGGTGTCAACTAATGTTTTGGCAGTGATTTCATTGATAATAATATCTTTGATAATAAATGGCTTTTCATTGTTGACATACTCTTTGGCCAAAAGTGGGAAATCTGTTAAATCGGAGGCCTTAAAGACTCGATCGCAAGGCCAACAATCGAGACCAACCGATCCGTAAAAGGGATTCTCAACAATACATTCCTCGACATCCCATCCGATGAGGTGTTTGTTATGTCTCATTACAGGTAACGTCCAAAGTCTGAGTTGTCTCATAACCGGATAAATCAATTGCTGACTGTTTCTTAAGATAAACCTCTGTGTCGGACAATGACTCGAAAGAAATAAAATGATTAACAATAAGATAATCAATACTTTCATTAACTTTAAACAACATTTCATAAGAAAACATAAAACTTTGTAAAGAAATATAAAACAAGTTTTTAGTAATCTATTGAAGCGATTGTCGTTCACACAGTCTGTTGGATCAGTTGTTAAGTGATGACCACTATCTTCGTCAACAAATACTTCATCAATGAGTTGATTCAATTCTTGTTCATTAATATTGAATCTGTTGATCATCTGATCAAATGAGATCAACTCTTTCTCAATACATTTGAGGTCACAATTGAATGCCATTTATGTGTTTGTATGACAACTTGCAGTCATTTCTATAGATTTGATGTCAATAAACAACTTTTCAAAGCATTTGATCCAAGTTTTCAATTAATTGTCAATTAATTGTCAATTATTTGATAAAAGCTTTTATGTAATAATTATATCAATAATAATGTGTTTATTGTGTGAATGTTTGGTGTGTTTGATATGTTGAGTGACATCTATTGTCGACAATTGCAATACATATGCATTGAATACAATACTTATTGTATTTGAATGACAGCTGAGTTGAAACACACATTGCGTTCACTGTTTTGTTGTTATTATTATAAGAATAAGTGTTTATTAAACACTATTTTATGAGTCAATTGTTTTGAATTGAATTATTCCAGTGATTGACGAATGCATTGACTTATTGTTTAATACATTAAAATACATATGAATTGACAAAACAATTGATTGATTGATGTATTGAATCAATTAATGAATCATTTGTTTGTGTCTTTGAAGAAGTTGTGATCGTCATCGTCGGCATCAAAGTGAGTGATCACTGGATCACACCATCGCTTCCAACCATTGATTTGATGCAGAATTCAATTGTTTTCACACAATGTGTCGACAATGAAGACAATCTAAATGTTAGACAATATTATAATTTTTGAATTAATTTTTTCCAATTAATTAGTCATTTGTTTTTGAATTAAAGTCTGTAAGCAATGATTTGTTGGACGATTTGGTGGAAGAAGTACTGATCGGTGTATACTTTGATGTCCACCGCGCGGCCAAACATACAAAGAGTTTGTTTGTTGACGAATCAACTGCTGAAGAGTTAGTGATTAAAAAGACATTTGTTTAGACATTGATTTTGATTCAATTGTTTATTCACACAGTTTTTAATTATTATAAATATTTTTTACTATTTTTAAATACCGGTAAATATCTAGAAAAATAAATCTTAAAATTTATTTTTCAATTATTAAGTTAAATATATTATATAAACAATTGAATCAAAATAACATAATTTTGTATTATTATTATTGTAATACTAATTAAATTTATATATTTGTTTATTTAGGATCGATAAATATGGTATTATTAAATATTTTACAATATTTGTTTACATAGTCGTACACATAAACTATCTATTGAACTAAAATCTATTGAATTTAACTAATTGAATCAATCAATCATAATTATTCAACAAATAAACATAAAATCTATGACAAAAATAGTGAGGTTTTTTAGGAAAATTTATAGCAAACAATTGGTAAAAATAATTTTCAATGTAAATGTTTTTTAAGTCACTGTAAGACTACTGTATATATTTATTATACCACAACTACAGTATATATATATGTACGACATGTAGTTGTATCTAAAACTACAAAAAAATATTTAAAATCTCAAATATTTTAGCTAAAAGAATGATTAGATATTTGTTTCAGTATTTTCTCAACAAATATGATAATTATTAAATTTTATTAAATAGATTATGACATAGAGTTGAATGCAATTATATGTAAATTTGAGCAAAATTGACATTGGTAAAATTGCATGCAATTATACATAGATAAAGTTGCACTCCATTGTAAAATTGATGTATAGTTGCATTTAATAATAGCTCAATTACAGCAATTGAAACAATTTTATGAAACCATTAAATGTAATACCATTTTATGATTATCATCATAAATGGTATTAATTACTTTTTCGATGTCTACAATTAATTAGTTAATTTTTGTTGTCCATCACTTAAGAGAGAAGCATTTAGTGATAAAAAACATTTTGAAAAAATTTGACTTTTTTATACTTCAAATAAAATTATATGACCGCAACTATACTTGAATTATAGCAAACATTATTTTACTTTCCGTAATATTACAAAAATGTGTGCAAATATATCCAGATATAATTGCATGCAATTCTATGTCAGCTAAGACAGTACTGTAAAATCTATAGTGTAAGTACTGGTAAATATAATTTATGGTATTTACCGGTAATTTATTAATTTTTTCATTAGAAAAAATATAAACAATGCTTAATAAATAATCTTAAATTCTAAATAGTTTTTAATAATAGATAAAATATCAAATTTAATGGAATTATTTAGACTTTAAAAACTTAAATGTTTATTTTAGTTCAATTTTTTCTATAGATTTTTCAAAAAGCTTTGAGATAAAAATTATTTTTATAAATATTTGATTTTATGTTAATATTAAAACTGATTTATTTATTCAACTTTATGTTAATTTAACACAAATTTGATTAACATTTATGTTTTTAATTTACCCATCTATGAATATAAATTTATCAAATTTATTTGATGTACGATTATGTGAGCAATTATAGTAAATAGTGATTTAAAATAAATATCAATAATAGCTATAATAGACAAGAAAGGGACGGACATATTTGGGGAATTGCCAGTTAAGAAACAACACGAGTGTGAGTGTCCTAATTGTCACCGAAATTTGGCCGCTTCTCGGTTTGCACCGCATCTCGAAAAATGTATGGGAATGGGACGTAACAGTTCACGAATTGCCAGCAAAAGGATAGCCAATACATCAATGAAGAACAATGATTCAGATGCTGATGAATATGATAACAATGCAGACACTGATTGGAACGCCAACGGAGGGGACAAACCAACAAAAAAGAGGACAAAGAGACTCAAGAATGGCAACAATGGTATCGGAAACGGAATCCATAAAAGGGTTTATAATTCCAAACAAAACAAATCGGGTCTTAGTTCTAGTAAATGATTATTTATTTAATTTAATTTAATTAATTTGTGTTTTTGTACATTATATACCTATTGTATTATTGCAATTAATATTAATTATGATATAATAATATTGAATTTATTGTATAATTGATTATTCTATTACGTTATTCAGTATAACATAATTTTTCACATTTGTAAATTATAATTGAAGATTTCTATAATACAATACAGTATTTACTGTAGTACTGTATAAGTCTAAGGTAAGTGCTTTTACTGTTATTATCACATTCATCAATATATATATTATATACAGTAAATATTATACACATTTCCAATATGACTAATCAGTTATATAACAAAATAATATTTTGCAATATAAATGATATACAATGTATATATATTATTATATAACTGATTACCGGTAATCATAATTTTGAATGGGTAGCAATAGAGATACAATTTAAAAATTTATTTCAATACAAATTTCATAATATATATGAATAACTATTTATTTTAGTAAACATTTTATACTAATTATTTATCTATAGATAACTTGATTTAAACTTTTTTAAACTATAAAATACATATTTTATATTATAGTAAATAATTTCAAGCAGTTATAATACTTATATGATTATAAAATCATAAAAATACGAGTTAAGTAAAAACTAATATAATTTTTAAAGTATGTAAAATAGTTTTTGTATTTTGTTTTAACAAATTGTTGGCATAGTTAGTGTCGGGTCTATCTATTTGACAGTTATTATTAGGTGAATGCTCTCAATATAAATGTTATAAATATAACCATTCGATGAGTTTATTTATTTAATTTTTTTGCAAATATTTGTTTAATTCAAATGATGTTTAATTTGATTTAATCATAAATTTTATATTGACTTCAAGCAAACCAGTCGACCAGTGACCCCACCCTATGGTCATACCTGTGCTCTCCATAGACTATAAAGTTTAAACTATCGAAACACTTGACTCTACCTCTTCTCTCAAAACAACTGATAATAACTTAAAAACTATTTCTAAATATACTTTATATTTACTGTATTTAGAGTTCGGGAAACATTCTAAGGGAAGGAAGTTCCTTAATAAAATCCCTCCAATTTTCGCGGAAAATATTTTATATTTCTACAATAAATAAACCTAAATCTACCTAAAACTTAATTTTTAGCATAAAATTTCATTGAAATATTTAAAAAATTAATTTAATTTCAATGAATTTAGTGTTTTCATGGATCACTGGATCACACACTAACAATAAGACTCAAAATACAGTTTAATACAACATTTGTTATTCAAATCTTATTATAAAATTTGTTGTATAAGGAAATTGATTCCTGAGAATTGTCAGGGAGAAGGAAAATAAAAGGAGGGATGGAATTTGCCCGAACCCTAACTGTATGTAAATGTTTGCACTGACAATATGGTCCCCGAAACCAAACCCAATGTTTAGTTTGAATGTTTGCACTCAAACTGTGTAACCATTTATTGCAATTAACTTATGTATCGATTAATTGAATTTTCATTTATTTAATTACAATTAAATGATATCTTAATTCAATAATATTGTCAAACAGTGTCTCAATTTGATTGTCAATTGTTTTGCTTATGGATTAAGTGATTGTTTTCAATCAAATTGAAAAAAATATTATAAAAGGGTTTAACAAATGTTATGATTTTAGTGAACGTTATTAAAGAGTTGTCCACTCATTGACTGATTGACTATATTTTGATGACTGACCGGTCTGTCTGTCAATAGTTGACATCACTTGAAGACATCATTACATTATTGACACCAATTGGTCACTAAAAGACACAGTTATGTCACCAAATGATAACCAGTTGTCTCATGTATGACAAGATATGCTATTATTTTCTAATTGTCGTTAATTTGTAAGTATATTGATATCAAAACAAACAGTAATTTTTCAAAAACAAACCAAAATTTAATTATAATTTGTTTGATTAACAGATCCAATGAAACTTTGGTTACAATCATCGGTCAAACTATTGAATGATATTATTAGTCGTTAATTGAGTTGATCCAGTGTTGTTGTAACAACAGTTGTGACCATTGATGTCATAATTTTGTTTTTTTAGTTGTGTTGACACATAACTCATTATTATTACAATAGATTATAATCTATAACCACAATCACATCCCCGGAAATTATGGGCAAAATTTTGTCGAAGATTTTTGGCAATAAAGAGATGAGAATTTTAATGCTGGGATTAGATGCGGCGGGAAAGACAAGTACGACAACTACTGACTTGAAATCATATATCATTTTCTTCAGAAACTATTAACCATTTGTTTTTTTTTATTTCTTTTGATGAACAGCTATATTATATAAATTAAAATTAGGTCAATCAGTAACAACTATTCCGACGGTTGGATTCAATGTAGAGACCGTCACCTATAAAAATGTCAAATTTAGTGTTTGGGTCAGTATTTATGCATATACTTGATCTCAATTGTTGTAAAACACGGTATAATATACAGTATATATACAATGATTTGTTTATCGTATTACAGGACGTCGGCGGTCAGGATAAGATCCGACCTCTTTGGAGGCATTACTATACTGGAACTCAGGGTCTTATCTTTGTGGTCGACTCGGCCGATAGAGACCGTATCGATGAGGCCCGACAAGAGTTACACAAAATAGTGAACGACAGGGAAATGAGAGAAGTCATAATACTTGTGTTCGCCAATAAACAGGACTTACCCGATGGTATGAATTAATGATTGATTATAATTGTGATTATTGTAATTAAAATAAATATTATAGCAATGAAACCACAAGAAATTCAGGACAAGTTGGGACTGACGATGACGAGTCTTCGTCAGCGCAATTGGTACGTCCAGCCCGCCTGTGCTACCACTGGTGACGGTCTCTTTGAGGGACTCACGTGGCTTATGTCCAATCATAAGACTTAATATTTGTAGATTTAAGTGATTTAAAATGTTTTAACTCATGTTTAGAACAATTTTTGTATTATTAATAATTTTAATTATATTTAATAATTAAGTCGTTTATGAAAGTATGTCAATACAATTTCCACAAATTATAATATATTTTTAATTATTAATTAATTATATCAGATTTTGTTTTTTTTTGATTGCATTGATGCAAATTTGTTGGTTTAAAGTTTTTTATATTATACTATTGCATAACAAACAAATTATATGTATATTACAATACATTTGCGAGATTTTTCTGTATTGAGAAGTACTGTGAGTACACTATAATTATATCTTGAGTTTACTTCACAATACATTTTGTTCCAAATAAAGCATCATTTCATAGATTATATGGTTTTAAGAAAAACTAATTTTTATAATATAATTTATATACAGTATATAATATATTTACCTATTTAATAGTTAATAATAAATTTGACTAAAAATAATTTTTGATTCATTTACTCAGTTATCTAAAAACATAACAAAAGTATTTTTTAAAATATTTGTATTTAAGACTTATTAATCTTCAAATTTTTTGATGATTTCTATATTATGTAAATAATAAACTCAATTCAAGTAAAGCTTTAATTTTATTTATAATATTTGGCAACATTTATATATTTTATTTTTTAAATATATTTTATACAAATTTATGAAATATGATTCGCCCAATAAAAAGGCGAAAATTGTTTTGAAAACCATTTTCAATGATAAGAATTTTGACAAAATGAACATTTGGTTTAATAGTGTGTAAAAATAATGATCAAACAAAAAATATGTATTTATATGACTATTGGATAAATATAACAAATTATCAAAAATCATATCATTAAAAATGTGAATATTTTTATACATTATATTACAAATTGATGTTAAAAAGATTTGTCATTTCAATTATTAATTTGAATATAATTATGTTAATGAACAATGTTTCAAATTCAATGCATTTAAATCTAATTTTATATACATTTGTGAGGTTAGCAACATATTTCTTATTTATAAATTTATATATATATACTTAAATATACATTTATATAAATACTTAATAATTTAAAACATAATAATTTCGTGGAAATTACAAAAACATGATTTTCTTTTAGTCTGTCGGGACATAAATTTCAAATGATATTCAAAAATGAAATGAAAAACAAAATCACATTTCAATTCAGATCATAAGTTTGCGAAACAAAAACTGTTTTCTTATCCTTTTGTTTATTGTTTTAATTCAAAATTAGCCATAATTTACTTTATAATATAAAATATGATTTATAAATTATGAGTGGAGTGGTGAGGGAGTGCCGGCGACTTTACGACTCCTGGATATCTTAGACGTGATTTGTACTGTTATTTAATATAAAATTAATTTTAAATCCATTGAATACTTTTTCTCTTCAAAAACGGTAAACTTCATAATGCCTTTTGTTAATATTAAAATCAAAAAAATTAATAAATATTTAATTTATTAATTATTGAATTGCTTTTGATTGGAAAGAAGTTTACAATCATTATTATCCCAGTCATTGGGATAAATGTTTATCAATGAATTATCGTTGCGGCCACTTATCAAATGTAGTTTTCATATGTTAAGTGGTCAGTAGGACTTCCAGCCAACAGGGACAGGAAGTTATATATTGTCGGGAATAGTTAGAACCCCAACCCTTGTAGAAACTGATACGAAAAGCATTTGTATCCACAGGTCCATCGGTCAGTTCACGATAGGATTGTGCGACTTTGAAATCAAATACTTTAGTACTAAATCCGGGAAATACTTTATATACAGTTAGGTTGCGTGTGTTGGGCGGATCCATTGTGGGTGAGTCAACAAATATTGGATATTTTGACCGATTGTGAAGCCACACACCGTCCAACTTCCTGGTTATGGTTACACCACAACCTATCTTCTCACGGGTTCGCCTAACCGTTGAGTCCCTATTAGAGGGCGATGTCGGGAACCACTGTTCCAGCCATAGACCGGAACCTTGAGGATGATGTGCAAATACGTTGATACTATTGTCATAAACCGGGAACAGTCGGCCCACTCTATGCTTGAGTTCCCAATAAGCTAATGTACACCAATACCCACAACTTTCTGGTGCCTCAACTCCTATTAAAATATCAAATAAATTATTAATTTTTTTTTAAAGCCAACAAAATTCTTTCTAAACAGTATTTTTATACTAATATTTATTTTAATTTAGTAATGTTTATGAATTTGAATAGAAATTAATCTAAGAGAAAGAAAGTTTTAAAAATAAAAAAAAGATTTAAATTATTAATTAAAATAACTGTCTCTCAACCGGAATCAGGAATGAGATCAGTCATACATTACAGGGATTACAACTTGATTTAAGCCGACACGACATTTAAATATCATATATTATATCATTTGACTGTTACAGTAATGTTATTTTTATTCAATACTTTTGACGAAAAAATAAATGAAAAAGTATGAAATTTTTTGATAAAACATCACTCATGTAGTCATTTCAACAACACTTCAACAAAATGTAAACTAAGCATTAAATACATTCCGTTTTTATTTATCATTTATTTCTTTATATTTGTTTTATATAAAGTATTCAATCAAATACCTCAACAAAGAGTTCTGTATTTAATGTTTTCCTTTCATTTCATTCAATTAATTTATTTTTGTTTAAAATTTTTTATTTATCATTTATTAAACACCAATAATGACTTTGAAATTCACTTTTAATGAATCACAAATTATTTGCAGATATATTTATATATAAATACAGTATATCAGTGAACTTATGCCAACTAAATTCATTATCGCATTTTGACTTATGTCAAAGTTAGACAAAAATTTTAGTTTCGTTTAAAAAATAATTTTCAAGTCAACAAATTTAGTATAACTGTATAACTAAATTAAATTTTATATTGTAGATTATTAAAAACTTTTATCGATAAAATACAAACTAAATGAGTGCACACAATAGTATGCCATAAAATTGTGCCATAATTTCCTTGTCTGCAATGTGTTTGTTTTATGTGTATTATATAACGACAAACATATACACATCAATAAATATATTGATAAAAAGTATACTGTGTTTAAATGAGAAATCATCCCATATTTACTGAAATTATAAATATTATTTACATTAAAAAAATTTATGGCGAGGTATATATCATAAATAAAATGTTTGATTACTTGAAAAGATGCAAAACAAAGACTAAAATATATGTCAAAACATTAATTTTATGTGAATAACCAAATATGATATGTTTATCCCCGTTTTATGTCCTCAAAAATTGTTATATAACTCTTTATAAATGGTTTAAGTCTTGCCTGTCTATCAAATGTTGAATTTAAATGAATATATATTTTTTGAAATATCAATGATAAGCTTTATTTATTATATTTTTATATATACTTATAAATTATATTTTAACTCAACTATCAATTCGTCAACAAAAAACAGCATTCATTTGGGTGTAAACTAAAACCAAATTGACTTTTAAATAGTTTTTAAACATTTGGTATATTAGGATTGACACTAATTTGATTGAACAAAATCTAACTACTGATACTTTATATGAAAAATGACATTTATTTAATGCCATTTTAACAGTTGTACTCATAGATAGATAATACTAATAATTGTAGAAAATATCATAAATTGGTATTAAATGCACTTATAATAATTGCATGATTAAGTGAAATATCATAATACTGTATGTTAAGCATATATAACATTGATTGTATGCAATAATATAAAGTTTGTCCTGATTTTTACAGTTAAAAAAAACTAATGCCAGTTATGATATAACCTTTAGTTCACTATAATAACAGTAGAAACGGGATTAGTCAAGAAATGAGTGAAAAAGGCTTATAAAATACAAAATACATTGTCGAGTGTTTTCATAGCGATTGTTGTGTTGTGAAGAAGTGGTGGCGGATTGGCGTCAGTCATCACAATGAGTTGCAATACATATAATGAGAAAAAGAGAGAGAGAGAGAGCACAGGCATCACGCCATAGCCAGTCTGTGCCGACTCGGCGGCGACCCTGTGCTGGTGCCGTGCAATCAGGCATTCACTGCTATATTACAACACACTATACTATATATACTGTATGAGACTCTATGCGCACTCCTCTTGAAGACAGCAATTACAGCCATAACCAACTGACAACAACTATTGCCTGACCCATAATGTGTGTGTTTTTGCTGTCTATACTCAAAAAACATTGCACAACACTGTATAACTCCCGACACGACTATTACTAGTGTATGTAATAACTGGAAATCAGATGCGACTTAAAGGCGACTCTCGATGTCTTTCGCAAAATATATATTATCTAAAAAAAGTGTCGTCTCTTCAAATGGCAACACTTATTAGATCCCAATAAAGAGATAAATATTTTCAACAAAAATATATATCAAAAAATGTTTTTTGTCTTTCAAAGAACTAACAGAGAGATAAATGCTTTAAGTTTTTAGAGCCTATTATTAGTACAGTATTTATTACTTTGTCTTTTAACTTAAAATTCAAGTTATATTTTGTATGAAAAACTAAATCAAACACAAACTTAACAAATAATTTAATAGTCGTTTATTAGATATAATAATAAATATGTATTAATCAAATTTAACATTTTTAGTAATAGTCGCTTTTTTAGTCTATCCATTGACTAAAATAACTTTAAACCATAGGCATCCCAATAAGTCCTATCCCATCCTCCTGTGCTATGAGTGCCACCATAAGAGTGAGTCTCCCTAACTTAAAGGCAATGATTTTTATCATTACTCGCTGACCTTGTATGAGGACCGGCTCACACATACACAAACCAAAAGAATGTCTACTCTCTCATATGTCCGCCAGCACTGGTAGCCCAGGCATACCATAACCGTAGTAGAAAAAGGCAGTTATATACAGTATATCGTGAATATGCATTTATGGCACATTTCTTAACAAAGTTTTTAAGATATTTGAAAATTTTAACTTAAATCTAACCATTCATAAAAATATCACATAAATTTACAAATACATTATAATTGCAATTAATATCCAGTTTGTAAACATTTAAATATACTCAGATTTTAGTACCTTTAGAGACTATCATATACTTTTCAAAATCAGTTTAACACATAATAATTGCTTAAATAAAAAAATAGTGTCTAGACTTAAACAAATATAACAACAAAAATGGTGTAATATGATATTAAACATTTATGATTAAATTGTACACTCAAAACAATTTATATATATATATATATCATTATTATGACATATATGACAAGGTAATTGAAAATTTTATAATCATGAAAATATACACTAAAAAAACGTGAAAAGTTAACAATAAAAATATATTATAGACTAAAGAACTATAATTAGAAATAAAAATTAATATATAGTAGATATAAGTAAATCAATTGACAATTACCGTCATCACTATGAACGGGGAACAGTTGGTCCATTCCATGCCTGAGCTCCGAATAAACTGATGAACATTAAGGGCACAAAACTTTGTTGTGTTGTTTGTGTCGAAAAAAAGTCAGCAAAATATATATGATATGATATATACAAAAAAAACTTATTGTATTTTTTTTGTGTCTCACACTTCACGACTCACTCGAGACACACACAAACTTCTTGAACTTCTTCATCAAAACTTAACCTAAGCTACCAGTGCTTGAAGTACTACAGTCTTTGGTTGAGTCTCTTATTCTCTATGAGTCTAACACTTGACAGTACGTACAGTCACTTCATAACACAATATGTATGGAGAGGTTTGCCATCAACTCAGCAAAAGTGCGCAAAACTTGTGTATTAGTTATGGCTTACTGTAGTAGTGAACACTTGTGGTACTCATTGTCTACTGGATTAGTGCTCGACTTCATGTCGACAAACCATTATTGTAGTGATAGTACTGATGGTGATCGTACTGGTGCTCACAGTCTATTCATTCATTATTGAATAGCATCAATAGTGCAATGGCCAGCACTTGTATTATTATTATTATACAGTATATTATACACAATTATATTGCTTTTATATTATAATTAACCAGTTATTATAATTTCAATTTGTCTAAACGTATATTAACTTATTTGTCAAAATTAATCACAATTTTTACTATTCATATATTTTATATATGAATCTACAATTAAAAAAGGCTTATTCTGCACATTAGTCACACATTTATATAAATTTTTAGACCATTTTAATTAAATGTTTAGAAAGTTTTGAAAAATACTATTAAAAATTCATATAATAAAACTACATTTAAACTATATATAACTAATAGATAACAAAGTTTGGTCATAAAAAATTTAAGCTGTAAAAAAAGTTATACTTATAATTAGCTCTTTATAAAAAATGTGTGTTAAATAAGTTGAGTCAATTTGTCAATTAAATAATTAGTTAAACAAATATTATTATTTTGCCGAAAATTATATTAAAAAAAACTTATGAAAGCATTGGACGCGGAAAAAGTTTTGAATCAATATTACTATTGGTTAAGAAATTTAATACAGAATATGAGGGAAACATTGTCTGAACGGCCAGAATATGCCCGCAAGGCTTTACTATATAAAGTCTACTATAAGGAGGGATAAGGTATACAATATCTAACATTGGTTTAACTGAGGCGCCACACAAATACTCTGTCATAAGACTGTAGTTTGCCTACAGTTCCCTATTATCTGTTGAGAGACGCCAACCAAAGTCATTATCTCTAAGAAGATTCAGATTCATGGCGTGTATGAGCACTGACTGACTTTCAACTGGCAATAAACCTATGATATTTTCGATGGTTACTTCCCCCTCAATTACACCCCCAATACCACAAGACAGACGACCAAATTGGCGGCTCAATCGTTCAACACTTGATCCCACTTTTCTTTGGCTTAAAGAGCCGATAAACACATGACTCTCTCTTTTCTCTGTTAATGAATTACCCATTCATTCATTTACTGTGTTTTTGCCAAATCAATCATTTATTTATTTTCTGGTTTTTAGCTCTTTTTCTCAAAAGACATAACTAATAATATTAGCTAAAATTGATTAAAAAATCGTTTATTTATGAAAAGATTATAAAACAAAACTATCAACTAATATAAGAAGATATGTAACAAAATTGTTAAATATAATCCTTTAAATAAATAGCATACAAGTACTGCAATAACTACTGTGTATTTTGACAATACTGTAAATATTTATCTTTGCTCTACTTATCTAAAAATTATACATCAAAACTGATATATTTATTTCCAAATCATCATAATATAAAAAATAATAATAATATTTATAACTCTATTTTTATAAGTGTCGTGATTTTTTTTATTTCAAAAGATGAATAGTTATAAATTTTATATTTTACAGTATATAAACATAAAAGTTAAAAATGCATGTATAAACTAATAAATTATTTTGTAAATATTATTATTATTATTGCAATCAAGAATTTATTTATTAGTATTTCTAACATTGTAATAGGTTTGTATCATATTATAACCTAATCATTTTTTTTGTCATTTAAGTATCATATAAAGTTGTATATAATTTTTAAATACTGTAAAATAACAACTATTAAAAGTTATATTAAATATAATATATGTAATATATCATATTAATATAATTTTTTTTTTAAAGATATGTATGTGCTGTTAAATTTTTATTTGCGATTAGTTTTTATCATATATTATTAGTAGTAGTAATATGGTATTATTATCGACATTAATACGCTGATTATTACAGCATATTTGTATTGTTATATATATTGCGATATAATTATTAGCGCTTAGCCTCAAATAAAACCACATTTAATAAGTGAGTTAATTGATTTTGTTTGACTTGAGCACCTGGTGTTTGTGTTTTATTGTATTAGTTGATGTTATCAACCAATTTTGAGTGATTAGATAAATACTAAACTGTATAAAGTACTACAATCGGTACATTGTGTTAAATGAATATATTGTATTAATTGTCAAATATAATTATATAATAATGCGAAATTAGTTTTATATTTATTCATATTTTTTATAATACCATCTTTTAATAAATAATTGAAATATTAAATATCTATTTTATTAAGTAAATTATAACTACTAAATATATTATAACTTGTTTAGGACAGTGATTAAATACATATAACATGTCTAGCCATAGATTGACTAATTTGACTTTAGTCGCCAATTTTTTTGTTAAATAACTAGACAATGAATTAATGCAATTTTTATTTTGAAACATATATTAATTCCAAACGCGGTATAAATTTAAATCCAATAAAAATATTTAAAATACACATTTTGCATAATTAATTTTCAAAATTGTTTATTATATCATTTTTTATATTAACAAATTTAAGTTAAATGGTTTGTCCGAAGAATCACATATATAAAATTATTGTGCATAAATTGATTTTAGTCTAATAAAAATTATTAAATAATTAAAATGATTTTTATTAATTCTATTAATTTCATATATTTTTTATATTTTATATAATTTTTTATGTGATTCTTCAGACAAAACATTTTACTTAAATTTATAAATTAAAAAAATTATATAATCAACAATATATTATTAAAAAATGTAAACTATTTCACTATTTTCATGATGAGTTATGGTTTTTTAAAAATTAGTTATTTCAAATTATATAATAGATGTTATTAAAAATTAATGAAAATACTCGATATTTTTGTATAATATAGTATTTTACTAAAAATATTGCATATCTTATTATAAAAAAGGCAAAATTTTTACATAGAAGTTCACTGTCTAATAATAACAAATATAATATTATTTTAAGTTAAATCGTGTCTCTCATCTAATAACAACTTTATTATTACTTTTATTTAGAAAGTCGTGTCATTAAACAGTATTATGCAATATATGAATATATACTGTATATACAATAATACAGTATATACTGCTTGTTATATAATAGTGACAGTTTGAAGTACCCATAACACAGACACTTCATAATATAAGTGGAAATCCTGTTATAGTTGAGAGAAAATCATTGATGTCTTGCCTTATCATCAATGAGTTACATCATTTAGTAACACAATTGTATGGGTCAGGCATTGGTGGCACTGGTATATAGTGAGACACACAGGCAGATGGTTATGTTAGTGAGTGATATCTGGAAGACATAGTAATAGTAGATTAATGCCTGATTGCACGGCACCAGCACAGGGTCGCCGCCGAGTCGGCACTGGTTGCCAATGGCGTGCATGCGTTAGCACAGTCTGGGCTTATAACTGACTGCCTGTGCTCTCATTATTTGCAAACTCATTGTCATGACTGACGCCAATCCACCACCACTTCTTCAACAACACAACAATCACTATATATTTCATTTGACTATTTTTTTGATACATTAATTTCCTCGATGTCTGTCTCTGATGTGTGACTTTCATACTAAAGTATTATGAAAAGGCACTGCACTTCCACTGCCTGTCCCATAACTCCAACATAACTTTGCTCTCATAAACGATAATTAGTCTCATAGACTGATCCATTAAGCATTAGATTAACTAAACATTAAATAACTATTAACTAGTCATCAGCTGTCGATTGTCATCTCAGTCGACAATTGATATATTTATTTTTAAAAACTTTATTTTAAGCAAAAGTTATTCAAAATTATCAAATAATGCTTTAGTTTTATTCTACAATTACTTCTTTAAACTTAAGAATATTCACTATTTATTTTAATTTATAAAATATTAATTTCCATAACATTATACCGTACTATATATAGTATGGAATATAAGATTAATAGATGAGATTAATGGCTCCAAAGTAGGCATCAATCAAATGAATAGTTTTAAATGATTTTGAACTTTCTAAACAAAATCTCTAACTTTTTATTGATTTACTATTTACTAATGTTTTATTACATAACATTACATTTAACACATATATTATATAATATTGTGATAACAAATAATGCAAAGAAAACAAAAGTAAAATTATATAATCAACAGTAAATTATATAAGTAGTTTCACTTTGGATTTAAAAAAATAATATATATGTATTATAATTTATAAATATCAAAGTAAAACAAATTAATTGCACAAAATAAAATGATGAAAACTAAAAATGGCCAATTTATAGAAATCATAAATAATTGTAAATCTAATTTTTATTTAGCAAATTATATCAAATAAAACAAACTGTATTTTTGAAAAATATTAAGTCGCGACTAAAGTGTGGGCTTTGAAGAGATTATTTGATTTGATTGCAAATTTTTAATGATATTTATTATAATTTCAAACTATATTTGAATACCGGTCTAGACTTTGGGGCGCTTTTTTGCTTTTAAATTCTGTATACATTAATACACTATAGTTTATATACTGTACAATAATTTGCTGTGTGTTTGGTATAGCAAACATTTATTAAATTTTTTGTAAATATAAATATTTTTCTTAATACTAAACACGACGACGACTTTACGTTATATTTATCCATTAAATATGCAAAACATGTATAGATATATCATATATGTGTTAATGAGTTCAAAGTAATGATACTGTATTTACTTAATAACTACAGTATTCCCAAACTCCAGTGCTATATATCATATAATATAAATAATAAAATATATACTTTAATACTGTATATAACTTAGTAATTTAATTTCAAAAATTTTATGAAAACAATTTATCAATATATTTGTATGACATCAATCAATAAAATAATAATATAATTTACATCATAACAAATCTGATAATTGTAATTTTTTAAACTTATATTAAGTGTATAATATTATTTACTATAAAATACAATTTATTAATATTAAAATAAACAATTATCAGTCTATAATTTTAGTGATATACTATTTTAATGTCAAGAAAATATGACCAAAAATTACTCTTTTTACAACTTTTTTACGATCATCTAATCATAATTAAATGTATAAAAATCAATAATAAAAATTATAAATAAATAAGTTTTCATTAAAAAAATGAATTATTTCTAATAATATTTAATAATTCATATCTAATAAAACATATATTATGTCAAATTTAATCTTTTATTTATTAATTCGATAATATAATCACTTCAATAATTGCTTTAATAAACTCACAAAATATGTAATTAGTTTTCTTTCAATGTTTCTACTTTAGATAGATTTCAATACATTTTCAATATTTATTTTTTTAATTTATGTCCACTTAAAGAAAATTAAACCCAAATTTAAGAGTATATTAATATAAATCATTTGATTCCTCAGAAGCTTTAATAGTTTAATTAAAATTTATATATTGTATGTATATTAATAGCTTATAAAAATATTGTTGTAAATATATATTTTTAAAAATAAATCTTATTTTTAACTTAGACTATGATTGATTTATGACAATTTTAATATAAATTATCAAATTAATAACATAAATTATATAATAAGATATAATATTACACTAATGTATTATATTTTATAATTTGTTTGACATTTTGGTTAATAAAAAAATATTATGATTTTTATTCACAATCGTTCCTAAAGTCAAGTACTGTATTATATCATACACTTTAACTGTTATATAATAAAGCATATAATTATTGGAATATTAAAAATTATGTTATTATATAGATGTATAGATACTGTATATAATTGTTATTAATAATAATAAAATAATTATAATTAAAAATATATATTTAAAAAAATAAATTAAATAAAAATAAAAACAAATAAATCAATTATTAATATACTGTATATTTAATACAATAATCGATTTAAATACTGTATAAATTGAAACAATGAAAGAATTGAATTCAATGTTAATAATAGAGTCATCTATTGAATGGAAAAACAAATAAATTCTTTAAATATTTACAACAAAAACCAAAAACCGAATCATTTGTTGAGTGAAGTGATTGTCATTTAACACATGATTTCAAGATTAAGAAGACATTCAATGATTGCATGACTTTGAATGTTATCTACCATTGGTTTGACAACAGCCGACACACAGATAATTGTCAAATATTTCTGTAAGCCTTAAGATAATCGCTAAAGTATTTTAACGAAAGATAGTCAACAATGGATTTGACGGTCGAGACTATCGAGAGATTGATCCACGAGTTGTATAACAACAGTAACCAAATGACACAATCGGAGGCCAATCAATACTTGACGTGCGTTCAGATGTCGAGTCAGGCCTGGGATGTTGTGGCAGCTCTTCTTAATCCAAATAAACCGCTTGAAGTGCAATACTTCGGTGCCTCGACTTTATACACAAAGATCACCAAATTTTACCACGAATTGGATCCACAGAAGCAATTGGATCTCAAGAATCAGTTGATGCAGTTGTTGTTGTCATACCTTTCACTCGACGGCATGAGAATAGTTGAGACCAGAATTGTTGTTTGTTTGGCTGCATATGTGGTTCACTCGGTGGCCAACAATTGGGAGAATGCTGTCACCGATTTGGTCAATCATTTACAACCAAATAAATTGTCACACATTTCGATTAATCGAGTTCTTCAAGCGCTTATGGATTTACTGTCTGCCATTCCCGAAGAGTTTCAAACTATTTATTTAACACAACAACAGAAGACAGTCATCAGGAGTGCACTCTTGAAGTTTAACGAACAGATCTTTTCTATTATATTAAGCCTTTTATCTGAGCCTCAGTTACCGGAAGAGATCCATTTGGCAACTATTAAATGTTTTTCCAATTGGGCCCAAAATACTGGTCCATTAATTATTGGCGACAAACACGAAGAAATTGTACTTTTAGTTCTTCGCTCAGTCTGTGATGACTTTCTTAGTCAGACAGCAGTCGAAACCATAACTAATATCTATTCGCACCCAGAGATGCATAAACAGCCCACTCTTGTACTCAAACTTATTGACCAAATGGTTGGTTTAGAGCCGACACTTAACAAAGCCATACAAGAGTCCAATCAAGACATGGCTAACAACATCTACACTCTATTTATTCAAATATTGGAAACACATTCACGTCTTCTGTTGGATGCACTCATTGATAAACCCCAATACCTGAACAACATTTTGAAAGCCATAGCTATTGTTCTTCAGTGCAGTTCAACTCCAGGTTACCATTCAATTGATGAGAATTGTAGTGAACAAGCGTTTAACTTCTGGTATACACTTCAGGATGATATCATAGCATCAGATGAGTCGCGAATTGAGACTTATTTAGTTATGTTTAATCAATTGTTCCACTCATTGATCGACGCTTTTATTATCAAAGTTCAGTATCCAACCGATGAAGTCTATGAAAATGAATGGAATAGTTATGACAGAGAAAGCTTTCGATGCTATCGTCAAGATATTGGAGACTCATTCATGTATTGCTATAATATCTTAAGAGTATCAATGCTGTCGAGTCTGTTAACACATTTTCAAATGGCTATCAATCGACTAACAACTCAACTCAATACTGATCCACAAAAGTCGTGGCAGTATTTGGAAGCAGTTCTCTATACGTTTAGTTCAATAGCTGAGAGTGTCAATCCTTCAGAAACTGTTTATTTGAATCAATTGTTTACACAATTACCAAATATTCCGTTCGCTTACGTCCATTCACCGCGTCTATTGGCCACTGCTATGGATACAATGGCCTCTCACGCTGAATGGATTTCAGCCAACAGTGCTTTTCTACCAAATGTATTGTCACTTCTTATGATTGGTCTTAAGGCCGATGAATATGTAACGATATCGGCAACGATGGCCTTAAAAGATATAACACGTGAGTGTCAACTCATTATAAAACCATACGCTCAACAAATACTTTCCATTTGTGAACAATCTCTGAGTTCGGAATCACATTTGAAGCCCAAAGAGAAATCAAGAATTATGTGTTCAATTGGTTTGACACTCTCTGTCCTTCCTATTGAGGAGATTATGGTTGCAATCAATAAGTTGTTGACACCTATTATAACTGATATACACAATGTTTTGAATGAATGCGAAAAAGATACTAATAATATAAGCAATGAAGTCGTTCGGACACATGTATCGGCACAGTTGTCAATGTTGGCGATGTTATTCTCAACACTTGATGTAAATTTAAAACGAAATACCGATGAAGACTATCCAATTGAGACAATTAAAAAACAGGAAAGTTCAGGACCTCAACCAATATATATAATTTTAGAACAGGTATTCTATTGTTGTATTTAAAGATTAATATATATATATATATTTATAAATTAAAATGTATTAAATTAATGTAATTGATAGGTACTTCCAATATTCAACTGTATCGGTACTAAATGGCCAACAGATGAACCAATAACTGAATCTCTATGTGAATGTATTAAAAAATCGGTGATAACACTGTTGGATGATATTAAACCACTTGTCGGCAAAATTCTTCAATTATTACATTTTCTTTACAAATCTTCAGCGCAGACATCGATATTAGAAATATCAAAGCAATTGATTATTCTTTTTGCTTTTGAAAAGGATTTACAAAACGATTTAACAAAATATTTCGTTGAATTATGTAATCATACAATAATTTGTTGTCAACAGGATTTAAGACAACAAACTGCACTTTTGGAAGTATTTTATTCATGTTTAGCCAATATTGTAAAGAAAGTTCCCGTTTTGTATAGCAGTAATCTGTTAGACGTTTCCTCATTATTCCGGTGCGCAATGTCTGCCCTGATTTTGCCAGAGAAGCCAACAGTGCGCTACAGTTCGTCATTTATCAGTGAATTCATTATAATTAGTCGTGAAGTGGAAGCGATGAACAAAGTGGTCAATGAAGAGATTGAGAATTTAATCGGACAGATATTTGCCGTTATTGGCGGCACTTTTGATTCGCCCCGTAATGTAGTCGAACACATGGCTGACATTCTTATGGCTCTAAATTGGAAATACTTTGATAACCTGACCCGTTGTATGAATACTCTGATTCAAAGAGAAGGCTTTCCCACAGTTCACGCAAACGCCGATAAAAAGACACATTTTGTAAGACTTATTCTAACACAAAGAAAAAATAAACGAAAACTTAAAGAAATTATTAATGAGTTTAGTCTCACCTGTCGGGGACTTATTGGCAATGAATACAGCAATCAAATGATTAAACTTCCCTTTTAAATGTTAAATAATTACAGTAATATTAATAAACATCTAAATTAACATATATTTGTATACGATTTCAAATAAAATTTAGTGACTTACATATACAGTAATATGACATATATTTTATCAATTATAAAGAGTATCTACATCTGTAAGTTTAAATTAACCTAAATTTTATAACTAAATCTATTATATATATACTATTTTATGATTTATATTAATTTATCTTTTGATATAAAATATCACAGATCTTTTTATTTAATATTTTATTTTTAATAAAACTGATAACAATATGATAAAAATTGATTCACAAATAATACTATTATTATTGGTTTTTGTTCATATAAACTGTTTTAATAATTTATAAAAAAAACTAATAAAATTAAATTTTTGTTAACCAATTAATAGTATTAAAACATAAATCATTAAATTTGTATAAATAAAAATATAACATTTATGAAATTGTGTTAACAACATATAAAATATTAAACAAAATTTATTGTATTATGTATTGAGGACTAGTATTACAATTTTGTTTTTATGCTTTTATATGAATTGAAACAATTTATAATTAAATTTCAATATATACTAAATATTTGTCCTGTAATTAATTTACTTGTTTTACCAATAATTTCTCGATTTTCAAAAAATATATAATTTATATTAATATTAAAATGTGATTTTAAAATATAGCCATACACTGTGATATACTAATATCTCTGGCTATTACAGTATATTGTATTAGAGATAAAATAAAAATCTTTTATCCAAACATAAAATAAAATGTTATTATAGCATAAAAATAGTAATAAAATCTAAAATAAATTTGTGGTTTTAAAAACATATAATTTAGCAAAACTTGCTTTTGATTTGAAAAACCATTTCATGTGTTGAGACCAAATACACTATGAATGGGCTTTTAAGTTATTATATATTATATGTTAATAATGCATAGATATTACTCATTTATGATAATGTTTTCATAATTGTTTCAATTTTCATTATATTTTATAAATTAAATATTATTTCTAAAATTGTTTTTAATTAGCTTTAGTATTATTTCCGTGCAGTCAATGGATTGTTATAATTCCAATTATCACCCAAACTATGGAAGACCTAATAAAAAATACAATAAAGTATGAGTTGTCAAAAGCGGATGAACTGTTGATGTCAGCAGACATTTACCCTATTTTCCCATTTAGTGCTCTTTTCCTGTCGCTCTTTGACGAGTTGTCTCTGAGTCTGTTCCACATTAAACTTAGCGTTTGTGGCGGCGATCACGTCGTGCTGTTTGAGAGCTGCTGTCACTTCTTTCCACAGATTACGAGATTCGTACGATTCCTGATCTCCAATAGGATTCACCTGTTTTTTGATAATACGTATGGCTTTTGTGTCGATAAACACTTCGCTTTTTCCCGATTGAGTCCACTTAGCCGTCATTAATCCGTTCCATTCACCCGAAACGTTAACAATTGATTTCTTAGTTGGCGGAGGACTGAATACTTCAGCATTTATTCTATGTTTTTTTCCGCCATAGAAGGGCTAAAAACATTTACAATTAAGTTATATTTAATCGTTTTTTTAAATAGCTATTCATTGGTAATTACTTTTGTTAAGAAGTCTATATTAGCAGAATATCCTGTTTGTTGACAAGTGATGGTAACGGGTCCGCCTAATTCAACCCATGGAACAGTCAAAATGGATCGACCGTAAGCACTGGGAAATGTACAGACATATTCTTCACCCTTGTCTAACAAATATATAGAACCGGTCCCTAAATTATTGACTCCAATACTTAATCCAAGAAATTTGCTTTTCGTGTAAATATGAGCTAAAATACAGCAAAACTTATTGTTATACAAATGCTATATATTATATGTATTGAATTGATTAATACCGGAACACATAATCCGTTTATCGACGTGTTCGGCATAAAATGCAGAAATCGGTGGATGATGTGAGACCTGTTCAGCAATGAATGTCAAGTTTGATGTCGAAGCCCAAGAAATGGGTCCGTCTTCTACTTTTCTATTTGTTTGTTCAATTTCTGGGACATTCCAATAGCATTTGAATACTTCACCTAAAACTGGATTATATGGCTTCTTTGCAATAGAGCTTTTACGTCCCGCATGAAAGGCTGATAAATACCATTTGAGGACTTGGATCATACGGTCTTGTGGTGTCACACAATCTGTAATACTGCAAATAACAACTTTTAATTAAAAACCTAATTAATATTCAGTTATCGGTGATCATACCTAACAAAAAGATCCGGGTGAGCAAAAAAATCGGCATACATTTCCAAAAGTGAACGCCTCTCCAATATAAATGTTGGTAACACTACTTTAGTCAAATCCATACCAATCTTGACCTGAGATATCAGATGCGATATAACAGATCCGTGTCCTTCAATGCTTCCCAACTCTTCTTCTTCACTTTCATACATCGAATCAAAGTCAACGACGTTTTTATCATTTTTAGAGTTAATTGATTGCAAACTCATATTATTCAAGCTATCTATTACTTGACTATCGTTTTTGACTATTGGTTTAGTCATCACAGATATCGGAGAAATCTCTTCAGCGTCATAGAAGTCGTCGTCATCACTGCTACTGTAGGACACTTCGGGCACTAAATGTAAATTGAGTACTGAATCTGTCACTGAAAAGTTATGTTCGAGTTGTGGACGGTTTATATTGTTGGACACTGTTATATCACTACCTGTATCAGTATTACTACTTTTGGAAGTATTTAATTGATTTTCATTACTATTGTTCACAACTGTAGACAATTCTTCAGCTATCGATGAGTTTGTTGATGAATCCAATGTTGTCGTTGTAGCGGAACTTTCGGTGAATAAGCCATTCACAGGATGTGTTGTGTTCTGAAGGCAACAAATTATAAAACTTTTAGCATTTAATTAAATAACAATCAAAACAAATCAAAACCTTAGCGATTTGAAGCAAAACAATGGTATGTTTAATGCCATCCAAAAGAGTCAATGTCTTGGCTTTAATAACCAAAAGTTTCTCTTTTTCAGATTCGTTAGTTGTGTTATCAATCTTTTGATCCAATTGTTTGCATTGATTGATCACTAATTGTAAGTAAGAGTCAGTTTCTGTAAGTTTTCTTTCAAAATCATTAAGTGTCGGCACTTGGCTTAGATCGCTCTTCTTATTACGCTTTCTATGGGTATGTCTTAAAATAGTGTCCTCTAAAGCGGTTACCCAACGGCTTCGTTCTTCAGCATCATGTGCTGTCAAAAGACAGATATTAAAAATATTTTACATACAAAACATACACATAATATTCAAAACATTTAAAAACCGGTAATTATTTATTTATTTCATATCGTCTTTAGGTATATTAAAATATAATTTTTGAGTTAAAAAACTATATTATAAAATATTTTTTAATATAACTTTTAATTTTAATATATAATTTATATATATATTAGAGTATAAAACTGTGAGTTAATTATATTATAGAAGAAGGCCTCGAAAGTCAACAATATTTCGATTTTTTCATATTTGTGTACATTTGATGACATGGAAACTAATATACAATTGTTCCCATATTTCTACATTTATTTTAATTATCAAACATGTAATGAATGAATTGAAAAGTATATTTTAATAATAATAATACTATATAATCATAAATTATATTATTATAATAAAATAATATGTCGTTTGCGCATTAAAATATAAATTATGATTTTTGTTAAAATTCAATGAATAAATGAAAATTATAGCAAATCAAACATCTATTGAATGGCGAGAATGCGTACAAAAAATATCAAATAATATAATATACTTTTAACTCAAATCCCATCAAAACTGATGTTAAATTTAGTTTGAAAACCTATTATCCATCATTAAAGGCTTATGTATAATAATGTCATATAGTATTTGTATTATAAAGATAAATATCAAAACAATTATAAATCAATTATTTTATCAAATAATATAAGTTAGATAATATTATATATCAATAATATATAATAAATTAATAAAAATTAATTAGATTTATGAGTAGTAAATTGTTAAATATAATTAGTAAATTTATCAAAATTTTACACCTAATTAATACTGTTGCTATATTAATATTATTATCATTAATATATTTCTATTTATTACATTATATACACTAATAAAATTATAAATCTATTACTAATTATATATATAATAGATTCATAATTATAAATATAATCTACATTATAATTACCTTAAAATACTTAAATAACGACATATATATAGAATAATTTATATTAAAATTTTTAATATTTACATAAAATTTATTGATTTAAGATTATTGATAATATTTACATTGCATTAAACCTTATATACAGTACTTTATTACTTTCTACTAAATATTTGCATATATTATACTGTATTATATAATTTATATACAGTATATTATTATTTATATAACATTTAAAAATAGTTTAGGCTTTATTTGATAAAAACTATTAATGTAAAAAATCAATTTATTATACCTGTATTATCATTAATGCAAAGTCGTTTAAATATCAATTTTATTAATAATACAAATATATTTTGTTACAAAATAATTTTACTAAATATAATAACTCTATAATTAATAAAATAGATATCATTTGACTTATATTTTTTAGATATTTGTTTTTCCGCTAATTAAATAAAAACTAAAAAATTGAATTTTCCTGAAGACATTGATTATTATATAAATAACAAGATGTGAAACTTAGATATCTATTAATTTTACACGTCTTGCAAATTAAAAAACATTAATTAATACATCAAAATTGCTAACATAACAGTATATTTACCGTAATTTTAAAAAACTTAAAATAACATCAATACTATTAAATAAATTTGAATTAAATGAAGCAAACCTTGAAAGTGAAACATTTTGCCGTCGACTGTGATCGTGAAAGTACTGTCGTCTTCATCATCAATACCAATGACTGCTCCCTTCAAGTGTTAAAATTCAAATCAATTCATTATTTATTAAAAAGTTTATTTTCAATCTCATAGTAAATAACTTTATTGACAGTAGTTATGCAAACATACAATTGAATAACATATTCACTACATATAAGAGGAATAAATAAATAATTGAATAAATCGTTTACTTTAAGTCTAACACATCCTCTTCGGTCTCCTTTAATCATCTTTTCTTTGGACTAAATATTTGGACAAATGTTTAATAGTCAGCCAATAGTGTATTTCATATAATATATTCATATTATTCAATAATTACCGTATAATAGCTAAGAAGACCCGCGTTGTCATCCAAAACAAACCTAAATTTTTAACATAAACTTAATTATAATTTTAACAAATAGTTAATTATTTAATTGATAGCAATTTTTTTTTTATTAAATAAAGTCCTAAAAACCAATTGACAATCACTTGTATGCAAACAATTAACTAATTAATTATTGTTTGTATGCTTGAGTGGACACCATCTGTATAACCATCGACTCTAACCTCTAACTATCACTCAAATTGTCCATTAAATACTTGGATTCACTCTGATTCACACATTTGTTACTTTAACACCAATTATCAATAATTATATCTTATGTCTAACTCTTGAACTAAATATTATATTTATATCTAATTATAAGCATAACATATAAAGTATTGCCACAAATGGTGTCACTCCTGATGGCAGTCAATTGAAATCAATGTCATCGACAATAATATGCAATAAATACTCAAATAACTGACTATTCATACATACCATCTGTATTGCCATCCCTTCATCACATTAGTCCACTTACAAAGTGGTCCCTCCATTGTATTGATAGCCATTATAATGGATCAAATTAGGTGATAATTAAGTCGGTAAAACCCAATTGATTATAAAAACATACGAATCAATGCAATATTATATGATATATGACTCAATCAATTGATACACCTATTGATTAAAGCATTGACTAAATTATTGTTATAAATAAAATGATTGTCAATAAAAAATATATTCAATTTTTAACTAATTATTTGTTTAATTAAATCAACAAAAAAAACACAAAACATTTCACTTTAGATTTGGGTTTAATTTTGTACACAAAATAAATCAAATATTTGTTGTTTGAATAAATGTGTCAATTGTTTGTAATTTACAATTAATAGTTATTAACAGTTATTTTGCAACAATTATAACGAAATATAAGGATATATTGACAACACATCAATGATTGTGTTAATAATAATAATAATAATAATATTAATAATATCACTGAAAGTGTTGTCAATAGTTTGCTATCAAAAGTTGTTATTTTTATTCAATTACTTAAGCAATAAATGCATTAATATTTCGACGATTTTATTAAAAATACAACAATTTTAGTGACGATTCAGTGGTTTGTTTGGTGTCAGCACTCATGCAATCGTATTGTTGTTGTGTTGTATAACACACTCACAGATGCCTATAGTTGTTACCAAAGAGTCAAACAATTTTTATTATAATTATTACCACAAACTTCTTAAAGATAACAAAATAGTGAACATATCTATTGGTGATCACAAGTCTCTGAATCAATTGATTTCCTAATATCTTTTGTTTTATCCATAAGTTGATGACTATATCTGTCAAGAATACCAATGATGTAAATCCAATTTCAAGACAACAATTATTGTCTCAATTTGAATGACATTTAAGACATTTTCAACTTTTCTAACCATTATTTGAATACAAGAATATTGCAGACGATATCACATATGTCTTAGTCTTTGTGTTATTGATAGCAAGCGATGATCAGTCAAAGTGGTGAAAGCAATGATCAAAGATTATCACCCAATGAGAGCAATGAGAAGAATGGTTACAATGAACAACAGCAAAGTCTTGGCGATCGGATATTAATGGCCGCAGAAAATGGTGACATTTGTGAAGTAAAGACGTGCCTTAAGATTGATAAAAGTTTGGTTCATTCAGTCGATAGCGATCTCTATACACCTCTTCATCGCTCTGCATATGGAAATCATATACAAGTAATGAAACTATTGATCGATTCGGGTGCCAATCCCACGGCTCGGACGGCAACAGGTTGGACACCATTACATTCAGCCGCTCAATGGGCACATATCGATGCCGTCGATCTATTGCTTAACTGTGGCGCAGATATTAATGCCGTTTCCGATGGCGGAAACACTGCCCTACACTTAGCGGCCAAACACAAGAAAAGAAATCTCTTGGAATTGTTGTTATATAATGAAGACATTGACTCTTTGGCAAAGAATGACAGCGGAGAGAGTGCTTATGATATCGCTTATAGGGCTTCACCTCTCTATCAGTTGTGGCAATACTTGTGAACAAACATTTGATCGCTTAAGAAGTCATTCAAGTCATTGATCGGCATTTAAATGAATAGTTTGTTAGTTAACTATAAGTAAAAGATTTTATTATTAATTATTTCATCAAATTTTTTCATGTCTTGAATGCAATAATTGTTTTGATTAAACTTTTTTTTTCTGTAAATATAACTATTAATAGGAATATACGGTATTTTTACTATTATTTATAAAAATAAAGTTAATTAATAAATCTGATATATTAAACTAATTTTGTTTATCATTGAAAATTATAATTCATTACAAAACCAATGGATCCATTTGGTGATGCATTTTGTGAAATAGTAAATCCATATTAAATTTAATAATAATTGCAAATAATTAGTACGTAATTGTTGTGTATTATAATACTGTAGTTATTATATGTATTGTTGTTATCATATTTGGTGATCATTTGTATGTAATTTTATGACCAAATCTTTGTTGTGATTCAAACATACGATTAATTGATGGGTTGGTGGGATTGGGAGATCCCCGATAAGTGGACATATAAGCCTATATGGCTGCCGCCGTACTACTGGCCGGCCGGTATAACACCGAATCTTCACTCGCAATACACCAAACGTGAGATCAAACAAGAGTTAGGAGAGATACCGCCGCCGCCCAAGAAGTACTACTTCTTCGACACTCCAGACTATGCCGACTGCCATAAGAAGATATATCAATACACATACTTTGGTTTTAAGTTAGGTTTGTCACCACATTATCACCACTTTAGTGATAATCAAAGAGCTATTTTGTTGACATTTATGATAATATTACGTTAGAAGACATCTAATGACTAATTAATATCACTTTTTACTGATTTAACCAAATAGTTTGACCCCTCCTACCCCTCCCTAACCACTCTTACTCTGCAAACTTGTTTTAGATAACAATTTAAGTTTTGATGATTTCATTTATATTAATCTGATTGAAATGATTTCTTAATTGAAGTTTTATAAGTAAATGATATGAATTGTTGTCCAAAACAGGTAGTGCTGTGGCTTTGATCGATATTGTCGGTGGAAGACAATTGTCTTATTTAACAGCAATGGGTCGCATAGCCGGACACTTGGGTCGCTTCGGTATGAATTACCAACGTTTTATTAATTATACAAAACTTAATACTTAAGTATATAATAATGTATGAAAAGGTGGATCATTGGGCATATATGCGGCCACAGTGTGTTGTGTGGCTAACCTGAGGGGCAAAAAACACGATTGCTATGACGTTCCGATGAACCATATGTTAGGCGGGGCTTCGATCGGACTTATTTGGGGATATAAAAGTCAGTTATCGGTTATCATTTGAATTTATTTATCAGTCATTTGTTTGTTATCACAGCTCACAGTGTGGCTTATGGTTGTATCGTTGGAGCTGCCGGTGCTTTAGCCGGAGTATTAAATCTTAGGGCAAACTATCCGACTCCTAATTACCCGAACGGATGGCTAATATTTCCAGACGAATCTCTTCTCGACGAAAGAGAAGAAAATGCAACACTCGGTGGCCGTAATTTCCGCGACCAACGACTCAGTTGGAAACTTCATGATCCCGGCCGTAGAGGACTCGAGTGAAACACCCAATCGGTACTACATATTAGGCTTTTGTGTTAATTATTATCTATTATTATTATTATTGCTTATATTAGTTAACAAAATTAAGATTATATTTACTGTAATTAGATTTTAATTGATAGAATTAAAAATCAAAGTTATATTCCAATAATATATCGTTAATAATCATAATATCATTATTTATACAATAATTTAATTCAATATAATACCGAAAATTATTTTGAATTTTCGATTAATATATTGATATATAAAATATATTTGGAAAACAATAAGCGTAAGAATTTAAATAAATTTATAGTTAATTATAATGGAAGACAAATATTAAAATTATAAGAAATATTGCATGAATTAAAACAACGGAATTATTTAATTAGACATTTGTTTGAGAGATAATTGAAATCTATTGAGGAACAGATCCACATGAGTTGTGTTGAATGTCAGAGTTGTTCGCACTCTAAGACTGGCTGAACCACTTCCTCCACAGTGAACACCATTTTTGTGCAAAACCTATAACATTATGAGTTTATAATTAAAGCTATTATTTGTTTATTTTATTAATATTTCAAACCTTAATTGCCTGATCTCTAAGCTCTGATGTCTTGAAATCGATAGCACAGAAGGTTCCCTTTCCTCTGGCATTCAATAGAATGTTTGGATACTTTTGTTGAAGTGTTACCAATCCTTTAAGCATATAATCACCGGTTTTAGCGATATTATCAATAAGATTCTGTTCTTTAATTTCTTTGACAACTTGCTCAAGAAGTACCAGTTTTGTTGGATCCCCTAACCAGGTGTTGAATATACGATATGGTTGGTCGGGTCTGAATGGCTTCTTATAGAAGAAACCTCCTATTTGTAACTTTTTACTGAACGTAACGATATCAGGACTATCGTCCAGATTGAAGTGTTCGTGAGCCCACATTTTACCCGTGGGTCCGCCTCCTGTCTGTACCTCATCTATAATAAATGCCACACCATTTTTGGTGCAAAGTTTACGCAATCCTTGGAAAAACTTAGCCGATCCATGATTATCACCACCTTCTCCCTGAATCGGTTCAATGACCAATGCGGCGACGGGAACACCTTTTTGGTTGTATTCATCAATCAAACTCTGAACTTCTTGTAGGCAATGATCGTCTATTTTGTCGTTTTCAACTCTATGTTCTTGTAGTGGATATTTATATATTGGATATGTAGCTATTGGCCAATCAAATGCTGGCACATCCAACTTATGAATGGGCTTAGAGTGGGTGCAACTGAATGAGTATATAATTTAAATAAATCAATAAATTAAGCGATCATTTCAAATGAATACCTAAGCGCTCCAAATGTTCGTCCGTGAAAACCTCCCTTAAATGACATTACACTTAACTTTGGAGCTCCGGGTGTTTGATTTGAGAGACTTGACTCTAAGTCTAGAGCAGATGGAGGTTCACCCTTTCGAGTCTTGTTTTGATACCAAAAACAAGCGGCTATTTGTCAAATAATTCAAAAAATAATAAGAAATCGTATTAAGAAATAGTTTTGTTAAAAATTGTAACCTTTGAGTGCATTCTCTATGGAACAGCTGCCACACGCCATAGTCTGTACTTCAGACAAACCTTTCGGTGCAATTGACAGAAGAGCTGATTTAAGTTTTTCAATAAAATCTTTTGGTGGAAGTATTCCCAGAGCAGGTCTATTGACAAATGTGGCCAAATTTTTTGGATCAGTTACAGCTTTTACTAATGCCGGATGATTATAACCTAATGGTATCGACGATATTTGACTGTAAATATCGAGAAATGCATTGCCGTCGGCATCGACTAAATAGTTGCCCACAGATTTGTCATAATCAACAAATAATTGTATGGCTGAAGACAACTGAATTGAATCTAACTCTTGTTTTAAGCGAAGAGAGTTTGGTCCGGGAATTGTTGTCACCACTCGGGGCTCATTTGGTTCTTGAAGTTGTGTCGATAGATAAGCTCTAATACATTGATCCAAATATGATTTACACGGCTTCTGCAGTATTGATCGTCTAAAAGTTCCCAACATTTTTACAATAATTGTTTGTTATATAACTAATATTTGTAGTATAAATGTCAAGAAATTTGGAAAAAATTAAAAAATTAAAATTTTAAAATATAGACAATTTTTGATAATTTAAATACTAAAAAATAAGCATGATCATAAATTCCTACTTAATATCTACTGGTAAACCAAAACTGTTACATAATGTTCCTTAAAAATGCTGTAATAAACACTTTGATATTAGAGGACTGATGGTTATAGTAGTGAAACATTGTATAATAATTAAAATTAGTTTCAAGGTTATATTAATATATAAATTGATATTTTCATTGGCTGTTTCAAAATTATTGGTTATATTATAGTTTATTATATAAGCTATTTATACAGTAATTTATTCAATTACTGGTATTTATTACTTTTAAGATTCACACTACATATTGGAAAACTTTATAATTAATTAAATTTTATATATATTTAAAAAATGGTTAAAATTCATGGCATAAATCAATAGCCATTTTTTGAGTAAACCCTTCACTGAATCCAAACGGCGCATATGTCAGAGACTATAGTCTATAGATTCACTAATAATTTAATAAATCTCATCCTTATTATAGATGTAACACATTATGTATTTCATCCAATTTTGATAATTTTTAATAAAGTGATCGAAAAGCAATAGTAAATAATTATAATAAACAAAATATAATATTTGTTAACATTTTTATTTAATTATATTTATTTACATGTTTTACAATATTATTTAACAATTTAATTGTAGTTTTTATTTCATGATATAAATGAGTATCAGATTTTATGCAAATATGATTTTTTTAAATATGTATATATATTATATATATATAATTAAATAAATTATTTGTAAATATAGATTTGTATTACAATAATAATATTGAAAGGTCATAAAATTTACACTAAAAATATTTATTATTTTTAACTATTATATGAGACCTGTATTTATCATTTTTTTATAAAAATAATAAACTGTTTTTTATTTTAACAATTTGAGGCATTTTTAGTCTAATAAAAAACAAAACCCGACAAAAATATTGTTTAACTTTTTATATTATGTACAAATGTAAGCGATTAAACATTTAATAGAAAATAGACAACCAATACATTCATACATTTTTAACAAATGTTTAATATTATACAAAAATATTAAAAGCTCTTTCATAAACAAAATAATATCATTAGATTATTGGCAATCATTCCGTTAACAGATATATTATTTAAATATATTTTTGAAAAATAATCGGTAGGATTGAGTCCGCCTTATATGGCGTTTAACTGAAATATTAATTAATTAATTAATAAGTGAGAAACAACTTATGATATGAGTTATAACAAATGCATTCAAATTAAACTAATTTTTATTCTAATATTTTTAGTGTTTTGCAAATATAAATATTTATATATTGTAAATATAAATTATGCTTTTAATATCTCTGAAATAAAATCTATTTTTTTAATTAAAATTAAAATGTTTAAAATTATATCGATAATTTTTTACAAATATAAAAGCTTATATTAGACTCTATATGAATATTTAAAAGTTTGATTATAAAAAGATTAAAGTCGATATATGACTAGAAATAATTTATATTAATATAATAGACTTACTAATAGAGTATATATTATATACACTATAAATGTAAATTTACAACAAAATTATTACACATCATTTGTCTTAGAAATGAGAAATTGGTTTAAATTTACAAAAAAATATATAATAACATTGACTAAACAATTAGTTAATGATTGCTTCAATTATTTGATCATAAATTTCAAACTTTTCTCATTTCAAGTCTCAAGTACTGAATTAATGATTTGTTAAATGAATTGTACTATAAATTGATTCAATACTAAGCTTATAGTTTCAAATAAATGGTATAAATTTTTGTCTAAACTTCAGATTTAGCATTAAATTAATGAATAATAAAATTGCAATAATTGTGTATCAATTAAAAATAATAACCAAACAATTAAAACAAATATATACATTACTATACATGAATATAATAAAAAGTGTAAATAATAATAATAAATGTAATGCTTTGAAAAATGAGTGATCAATAATATTGCAAAAATTTAGCACAAAAAAAATAATTAATAAACTATTAATTAATAAATTTTAAATCGTTAGACTTGAGTGATACGATTATTATTTGGCACTAAATCATTCATTTCAATGCCATTTGATTCAATAACTACATAACCATTTGATTTCTTAACAAAATTGGTTTTCGGCTGTTTTGAAGCCGTTGTCAACTCATTGACTGCATTGTGCAGAACATATCCGTTACTGTTTTTAACAAACACATCACTATTTTTAACGCCTATGTTTGTGGGCGCCGATCGTGGCCTTACAGAGTCCATTGGTGACCACTCATGTGAGCTATTATTATGTAATGGTGTTTCACAATCAATAGTGTCTAATGTGGTGTTTAATGGATATAAAGTTAAAGGATTGATACAATTGGCATTCATTTGATGAGTGATGATGTCTGTGGTGTTGTTGTTATTTACACAAATGTTTTGAATTTTTTCACAATTATTAACACAATTTTGATTTAATTTACTAAAACTTCTTTGATTTGTCATTTGGTCCGTCTGTTCGTTGTCGCCGTTAGATGATGTCGACGACACTTCGGCGTCATAACTGTTTTGAGACCAGTCGTGTTCCAACCGCTTTTTTGGAGGCTTCACAGTATGTGCGCTCTCGAGGATACTGTCTATTGTCACGTATCCGTTGTTTGCTTTTTTGACATTTGAGTTTATTTTACATTTATCGGGTGTCGAAAAGTTAGTCAAATCAACATAATTGTTATGTAAATAATTTTGACGTTTAATACCATATTTATAATAAGGACAGGCAGGCGATGCGGTACGACTTGAACTGTTGTTTGATTCACAATGAATACAATTTACTTTTGATTCCGAAGGACTGCAACTTTGAATGATATTTGTTAGGCTTTTAGCCATTTCTGGTTTTATATACTTTGTCACATCACTCAAAATATTGTGGTCCTCTCGTAATGATGGATCGCACAGTGATGGCTCACTATTGGCTAAAAGTGAATAAATACAGACGGAGTGACCTAATGGTGTGTCATATAATGGATTCATAACATCGGTTTTTGTTGGCATAATAAGCGCCGAAATTTTGGCGCTTCCCTTCACAGTCTTTGGTTTTCGTCTTCGTTTATTTTTAAGAGCACTGGCATTAACATCAAGTCCCGAATCTTTACTACCACTGGAATCACTATTTCTCGATGATATTTCATCTAATATTGGAAGTGGAGGTTTTGTAAACTTGTTTGTATGTAATGTATGAGACATCAAATGTTCGCCATTTAATATATGATTATCGATCTCGACTCCAGAATCTGATGAAATATGCGTTTCAACACCACTATAATGGGAACCAATACTCTCATGTTGTCCGCTATCACTACTTGTCAATCGCATGAATAAATCATTTGCTTTGTTGGGAGTATTCTTATAAATCAAGCCCTCTGTCGATGAATTACTTGTGTGCGATAAACCAGATCCGTGTCTATTCTTAAACGAGTCTTCATCAGAAACATCTGCTATTACAACACCACTGGCAATGTTGGGTATGCTATCGTTTCTAACAATTGGATTAAAACTATTGCGATCCGAGTGGTCGGTCATGAGTGGAGGCACATCCAAACCTTTCGGTAATACAATTTGTATTCTCTTATATAACATAATCTTTTCTTTCATCCAACGAACCAAACCAACCAAAACAATCACTAATAATGTCAGTCCTAAAGTTCCGCCGACAATCATACCAATGATGTAACCAATGTTAGGATTTTCAGTATATAAACACACATTTAAATTAGTTTTATCGCTCGTTTCACTTATTAGATCACTATTGTTTTGGCGACGATTTGCAGCTCTGATTCTGACTGCAAATTGTGACCGATATTCTGCAGACTCGTCACCATATGATTCACAGTCTATTACCATATAATGATGTCTTTGTTTTCCTGATATTATTGTTTCATATGTTTTATTATCACTGTGTATTAATTGCAATATGTAATAATCAATTGGACCGTTAGGTTCATTAGGAGGTGACCATGAAATACGAACGGATGTCGTGTTGAAAATCTCACTTCTTGGCGGATCCATTTGTTTTGGTGTCGACACCAGTGTTCGGATCGTCAAATTGACAGTTGATGGCGAACAAAGCGAATCACTATTACAGGCCCGCACTTGTATAGTGTATTTGTCGTAACTTTTGAGGTTTTTTAAGGTTTTAGAGCAAATAAATTGACTATTGTTACGAACACAAGAGCTCGGCAATTGTTTTTGTTTAAAGTTATTACAATTAATTTCATAGTAATGAATCTCTCCGTTGGGCAATTTGGGAGGCGCCCACTTCAATGTTATTGATTGACTGGTTATTTCTGTGACTTCCAAATTGGACGGAGCGTCTTCTGGAGAGTCGTGAGCAGTATATTCGTATTTGGGATCACTTTCTTCACTCGGACCTTCGCTTGTAATCGAGACAACTGTTATCTTGTATTTACTGAATGGTTGTAAACCTGTCAGCACATGACTTTCAGCCGAGTTATCGACAACAGTTGGTAACCAATTAGATTTGATACACATATCCTGATCATCTACTTTACATAACTTGATTTTATACTCCTCGACTACCCGTTTCTGTGCGGGACAGGCCAACTTCCAATTTACGGAAATACTCGTAGAGTTTATTTGTTTAAGATGCACTTCACTCAATTTATCAAGTCGTCCATCAATGGGAACTATACATTCAGCCCATGACATACCTGAGGTAGTGGTTGCTGTGTTGGCAGAGACCGCAAACTGATAGTTAGAGTGTATGTCCGTTTCATTTATGTCTATTGACAAACTGTTTGTATGTTTCCAATTGATATCACCCTCACATGGAAAAGGTCGCGGCCGTAGTGTTTTACACCAAAATACTGTATAGTTGACTACCGGACCACTCAAACTGTTAAAACGTGGTTCTGTCCAATGAATCTCATATCTACCCTCACCTAATGAATAGGCGTCTATATTTAATGGTTTGTGTGCTATCATATCATTGCGATCTACAATAATCATTGAGTAATTACGAGAAACTCCCTGAGAGTTGACGGCATATATTTTGAAAGTGTATGCGACGTCTGACTTCATGTGATTAAAAGTATAGGAAGTGTTGTGACTAATGATCATATCATCGAAACCTTTCTCTATAAGATTATTATCTTTAGACTTGTGATGGTTCTCATGTTCACTGAGTTCAATGGTATAATTAAAGTCTTTTCCATTGTGATACGCGACAGGAATATGTTTCCAAAATAAAGTAATACTTCTCATTCCTTCCATATTTTTGTCGGTTTGGAAGGATTGTCGGATCAATTCCGGTGACAAATATGGGACTATAAAGAAAAGCAAAAATACAAAATTTAATTAAACTTCCCCTTAATATTTCAAATTACAAACTAAAAGTTGACTGACCGTCAGATTTTGTTGTCACCAAAATCGATGAAAATTCACTCCAATATTCTTCACTCATTGATTCTTGTGTTTTGCAACGAATGCTTATATTATATGTTATATACGGCACTAAACCAGTCAATTGAGTACTGGAAAGGCGAATGCCGTCCAAAATAATTGTCTCACTTTTATATTCATTATCAGGCGTTTGCCAATAGTATTGGACCTCATAGAGGATGTGCTCCAACAGGTCTTCATCATATATGATATATTCGGGTGCTTTCCATGTAAGGGAAATGCGATTATTTGTCACTTCAATTGCCACAAAATTTTGAGGTTTACTCGGCTTAATAATACTATAGTGATCAATGACATAAAGCTTTGAATAATTGCCAAATTGGTTTTGTCCCTTAAGAAGTAAATTAAATTTAAGTGTTGAACTCCTATACGGAGGCATTGTGTCTGTCCTCCACTCGCAGCTGTTCTCCTCCGGTATTTGTCCACAGGGACGGGTCAAATGACTGCAAATGTTATGTAAATATTATTAGATTTTTAAATGTAAACAATAGTATAATATCTATTAATATTCAATTAGCCTATAAATAAATCAATAAAAATAATGTTTATTTGTTTTTAAGTACTAATGTAAGCGCTTTGGTAAATGGTTTAGTTAAATGTCAAGAATTTCGCATAAATTTGCTAAAAGTTTAAACAAAAATAAAACAATTTTATGACAGACACATACACTCTCTTATAACTAAGATATACAAGAGATAGGGAATGGTATATATCATCAACTCATGACTTACTCATATGAAGTTAATGAAGTGCTCGCATGAATCCTATCTTCGAGAGAATAAGTGGTATGAATAGGATTGTAGGGCGGAGTCCATTGACAGTGGAGTTTGCGGTAATGCCAACTAATGCACTTAAAGTCAGACACCGGTTGCGGTTTGACTATAATTCATCAAATAAATAAACAATACAACAATTATTTCGTTATTTTATAAACTGTTTGATTATATTACTATATTAACGATTAATAAACTATTAGAGGAAAACAATTAAAGTATTTTCAAAAAATAAAAATTAATAACATTTGCAAACAACAAAAATTAATGTCAAATTTTATGACATATTAGAGGGAAGGATAACACTTACATCCGACGATCACTTGACTGACACATATGAGAGGTGTCGGGCCAGAGATGTTGAGCATACAGTAATACATGCCGTTGTCGTCCACTGTGGCCGCGGGCACCTCCAGTCGTGATGCAGTTGTGTTGAGAAGTCGTATACTATCACTACTATAATATTCATTCTTAAATTTAAAGGCAATCATAGATGAGTTCACTTCATATATTTGGTGATCATATTCAATGGTGTTGTTGTTTAGGGAACAGTCTATCGCTAGTCGACTGCCATTTAGGATCTGCTGGTCAGGAGTGGTCACTATAAATAATTAAATTGGTAAACAAATTGGTCAACAGTTGATCAATAGGTTAATGTATAATCAATAAAATGACAATTAGGTGATGACACTGACCTCCGATGTGTGTCGATCCCCAACAGGCCTCAGCTGACGGTATCAGTGAAACAACGGTCAGGTATACGATAGCGACAGTCGTGACCAGTACTTTGTCCGTACATTTCACGGCCATTACTTGAATGTTTATGTTTGCCGATTATGATAAATCATTATTAATATGATTGCATTTGATATGATGACAATCAATTGGTTTATCAAAACAAAGACAACATTAATGTTAACCATTGGCAGCCATATTGCTATTCACTACACGTAAACATTGATAACATTAGACTCTCTACTCTACAGTCTATACTAAAGTCAATATTCAATACACACTACAGTAATACTGTAATACAGTAATACTCTCCTAAATATATTGTATATAAACTGTGTGTATAGTGAAAGCTGAGCACAATCTGTACAACGATTGACTGCATTGACGGTCACGTATTGTAAACAAAATCATGTATTAGTTCTGTACTGTACTGTATATACCATTCAACTCTCACTACAAGTTGGACTGCATTTTTGTTGGCATACAGTGTACATACACTACACATATGTATAATATATCTCTGTTTTCACTAAAAAAAAAACTAAAATAAAAATTCACTAAAACTTTGACCAATAAATAAATTTTGTTGAAAGCACTTAATACATGCTTAGTTTTTTTGGCATCAAATTATACACACAAATGTATACTTCAATAATCCACTATAATTTATATAAAAAATTTTTACTCAGAATTTATTTTAGCAAATAATTTTCAAGCTATTGCTTAAAATAATTTAGTTATAGTATAAATATTTAATTGATTCGTTAAAATTATCTTGTTAATAATTTAATATAATACATTATATAATTTTTTTCTCCTCAAATAAATAAGTTAATTACAAATAAATCTTTTTAGTAAAGCTGATTAAAAAAAACTTATCTAGGTAAATTACTTTATCAAGTGAAGCATATTATTTTATAAATACCCTGTAGTGTAGTGTAAATATAATAGTATAAATTATAAAATAGCCTATATGTAAGTTTATAGTTATAGATAATGTTTAGAATCGTTAAAAATTTTGTTACATTAAATTATATATGAATTTTAAAGTTTAATGAAAGTTTAGTTCAAACTAACGCAAACTATAATATGTACGAACAATATAATCGGAAAATTAATTTATAGGAAAATATTGTATATTGTCAACAAATATTATGTAAAATATAAATTTTAATATTAAATCTGAAAAATAATAAATGTTTTACATAACATATTAAGACATATTGATTACTATAAGTTATTATTCAATATTTAATACACGATTGTGTACACTAACTATTTTTATTATTAAGAAATATCAAAATTAAACTTTTTTATCTAACTTTCTTCAAATTTGTCAAACTTTCATAAATTTATCGACACTTTGGAAATATAATTAAAATTTTCAACACTAATTATAGTATAGTTTTACCGGCATTAATACATTATACCTGATTAGATGAGACAACTTACAAGTTAAGTAAATAAATTATACATTTATGAGTGCAATAATCAGCAATAAGATGATTGTTTGCTAAGTTGGGTCACGATATTATCAAATTATATATAAAGTGGTCAAACAAATAAAGTATAAAAACTAAAATACATTATTAAATCAATCTAACAAATGCTTAATACTGTACAGTATGTTATCAATTATTTGATTGTCATTTACTTAGTTATTGAAGTACTTTTAAAAACAAATCACACACTAATATACGGTACATAAAATGTTGTTACCAACCATAACACTTGGGTTGTAATATAATACAATTGCAATATAGTATAAAGTTGATTGTTGTAATACTGTAGTTGTCTATATAATCATGATATAGTTGATCAGCACATGTATGTTTGAACATATTGTAGTCATTAAAAATTGTCGGGGTAAAATATATATAAATTTATATATATAAACTGTATATATAAACCTTATTTTTGTATTTTAATATAGAAGTACATTAAATGACATTTCATAACTTACAATAAAAAATTGTGTGAAGCTATTCAATAGTTAATTAGTTTGAGAAAAGTTATTAACTTTGAAACATATTAATTAAAATAACTTATTAAATATCAATTTTCATAATAATGTCTCTGAAAATGCCAACCAAAAGTCCATTTATAACTGTAAGAATATATTTTAATTTAAAATAATTTTTTTTAAATTAAAATATATATTATATATAATTGAAAAATCTATAGATTAGTGATAACTTCGATGGCTATCCATTGGAATCGTTTAATATTAATCCATATTTAGCGACAAACTTGGATCGAGTTCTGATTCCTGGAGGTTTCATTCAAGACAGGTATGTAATGTTAAATCAACTTAAAATAAATTGATTAAATGATATTATAATACATTAAATATTGATTAAAATTAATAAATACATAAAAATCAGAATTGAAAGGCTTGCGTGTGATATTGCCATTGATTTAGCCGACGAACCATTTGTGGCGTTATGTGTACTAAAAGGCGGTTATGTTTTCTTTAATGATTTGTTGGACAAAATCAGACACTTTTATCGATATCGTTATGCATCGCAAACACCAAACGAAACGACTGATTTGGCACAACAAATGAAAGTTGAATTTATTAGACTTAAAAGTTATGAAAACGAGAGATCAACATCTGATCTCAAAGTTATTGGTATTGAATCACTGGAATCGCTTAGAGGAAAGGTATGTCTTTGTTGTGCATAACTAAATCATTTGATTGAATAAGTATTCAATAATTATATTTAATATTTAGAATGTATTAATAGTGGAGGACATCATCGATACGGGAAAAACAATGGTTAGACTTCTGGAACTACTTAAGGGATATAATCTAAAAACAATACGTGTGACCAGTCTTTTCGTCAAACGAACACCACTTAGCAATGGATACACACCTGACTGTAATTTTTGTTATAAATAAATTTATACAATATTTAAATTAATATATAATTTTAAAAAATTTTATTTTTGAAAAACAGACGTCGGATTCAATATTCCCAATAAATTTATCGTTGGGTGTAATATGGATTATAACGAGTACTTTCGTGATCTTAATGTAAGTTTCACACAATATTATGTAAAATATAATTATTATTGACAGCAAACTAGAGATAATAAAACATTATTAAAACTAAATTATTTTTTATCTGCCATTTATAGCATGTCTGTGTTATGTCGGAAATTGGGAAACAAAAGTATTCATTTAAAAAACATTAATTAAACACATGTTAGCAATAAATAAAGCAATTAAACAGTTTCTTCAAAATATCTAAGATCTACATTTTATAATATTTTTTGTTGATTATAAAAATAACTTATATTATGTAATTATCAAATAGTTTGGTATATTATATATACCGTATATAAACATTTGACTGATAACAAACAAGTTACCGGTAATACTATTTTAATTATCTTTATTACAAATAAATATTAAATAAAATATTAGATATTAATTTTATGATTTGTTTAAAATATAAACAGTAGTTGACCCATTGACAAGATTAATATTACAATAAATATTTTAAAAATCAAACATTTTTTTAATTAGATTATTCGAAATTTTATTTTAATTAAATTTTTCAATAATAAATTTATGATTAAATTTTTAAACATTTTTTTATCAAGCAATAATTGTGTAAAATAAATCATTTGAAATTTGTTTAAAATTACATTTTCATAATTTTAACTATAATAAAAATTGAACTATTAATTGCAAAATAAAATAAAACAAATTATATCTCTTTCTATAAAAAATTTTACTAAATTTTAAATGCTTCAAAAAATATATTTATAATATGAATCATAATATATGATATAATCATATTTTTAATTTAAATTTTATATACCAGAAAAATAAGATTTTTGTTTTTAAGTAAATATTATTCACAAGACCTTTGATTCATTCAATTCATATTAATTATTGATAAGTCAGTAAATCATGCAAAACATAACATTTCAATATCACATAAACTGACATTATTTATAAAGATATAATTTCTATCCAAATGAATTCAATGATAAAACAAATAAGTGATTAATAAAAACTAAATCAACATTCAATCATTACCTTAAAGCTAATGAAAAAATCGATTAAGAGTTTTTAAATAATAACATTAATTATAATATATATATTTTTGAGCTAAACTTTTTTGGCCGACAAAAAATATATAATAAAATAAATATAACTAACCATCGATAACAACAATTAAGTATTGCTGCTTATCATAAATAAAAAATATTGAATACTGATTTAAGGTAAAATTATTTGTATCAAATATTATTAAATATAACATATATATAAATATATTGACACACAAAGTATACTATCTATGAGATAACTTTATGTGAATATAATAAATGTAACAAAATTTCAATATTCATTATCAGAAACATCGGAAACACTGAGATTTGCGTAATCGATATGCGCTTCATTGGCATTAACGTCACAAATCAATTGATTATGACTATGAGTAGTGTCATCAACGGTGTGTTCATTGTCATTGTTGTCGGTGGTGTCATCGTTATTGATAATCAGGTCATTATTGTTAATGCATTTATTCATCCATTTGTCTTTGTGTTGTTCTAAACCAAATCCTTGTTCATAATTTCCTTTTTCCATAAATAGTTGTTTGAAATGCGGAATACAGTATAACTTTTCGCCGGTTATCGTAAAGTTATCCAATCTGTTTAGTAAATTGTAATCATATGATAACTTTCATAAAGATCAGACATAACCGACAAATAAATCAATATTACCTCAGATTACACTTGCATTTGAAACAACGGAAGCAATTCTTGTGAAGTCTTATACCACTGAACTCCATCTTTTCCATCGCATAGAGTTTGCTTCGGCAGACATAACACAAGTCCGCTATTGGATCAGTCGTTTCAAACTAAATATAATACTCCATTAGTTTTATCAATTTTTTTTTAATAATATTAATTTTATAGTTAATAATCATATACTGTATTGTAATTCAAAAAATTAAGTAGATTTTTATTTAAATTAATAGACAATTATTTTATTCACACTAACATTTAAGCATATATTTAATTTAATTATAGTAATAATAGTAAAACGTTGAAATAATAATACATTATGTAAAATTTATAATGGACCTTATAATTGAAATTTTTATGCTGCATATATTGTACACACAGTTATTTTTTGTTTGTTTATTTAATGCATAATTTGTTTTAGAAAAAAATCTTATTCAAAATTTGAAATTACTATATTTAAATACTAACACTTGAATTATATTTTTATAAGTTCAATAAATATTTTTTAAAAATTAAAATAAATAAATGAAAATACTTATTAAAATCAATAAAGTATTATAAAATTGTATGCAATGTACAGTATATAAAGCTATGTATAATTCAATAATTATGTCATAAATAGTTAACATTTGAGTTCATTGTCCATAATTTGCTTTAAATTATAATATTTTCACAATTAAAGCTATAAAACAATTTCAAATCACAAATGGTTTATGAAAGAGATAAAAATAAATTAAAGATAACGGCTTATAAATTATAATAAGTGTAAAATTTTTCAAATAAGTAATAAAATTAATATTATAAATAAAATGAAGAAATTATTTTTAATATTAGTTTGTTTTTTAAAGGCACTGATTGAGGATTAGCACCAAATCACCCAAAAAAGAGTATTTCCTAAGAGACCAATAGTTGTCACTACAAATGAAACAGTGTATTGAAATTTAGACAATAATTCATATCATATTTATATTCAATTTTTTAAGTTAATTCACTCAATTCCGTTAAACGTTTTAAAGCAAATTAGTAATCATTTTTTATGATTTATAATATTATTACATAACAATTAATTTTGTTATTTTTAATAAGTGCCGACCAAAAACAGTTAAGATAAAAAAAAATAATATTTTTAAAAATATAAAACGGTTACGAATCTACATTTCACATAAATACACTGTAACAGTAATACTATAATTATTTTATTAATAATGCTTTAGACATGCATTGCATACCAAATAGCAATTTAAGCTATTTTGAATATTGTAAACTAAATGCTGTTTTAGATTATAAATGTAAATTAGCTTAAGATATTAAAAATAAAAAAATGTCAAACATTATAGATTAGATAAGTATTATGACTACAATGTTAGCGACTAGTGGTTTGTGGCAAACAAGACAAGGAGTTGACGACTTACCACAAATCGATTGACGCGAGGTTTCGGCTTTTCAATTGATTTGTCATCATCTTTGATGGCCTCAAACTTAGCCCTCAGGTTTTTAGTGGTATCGATATGCGGCACAAACTCATCTTCGGCGTCAAAACTGCTGTTTTTCCTGTTTTGTTTGTCTACCGACCAGTTCTCGAACTTTGCCTTAAGATTACGAGTTATTTCGGGTGTCACCGGAATATTATCCTCATTTTTAAGGCTCGACTTAACTAATTTATAAATTAATAATAAATGTTAATTTTAATCATTACATACTTCTTATAATTCTTTAGTTATAAAAGACTAACTTATATTTGGATCTCTTTCAGGCGATGGTTCTTTGTCTCCATTAGTGTTGGGCACAAAATCTTTGGGCGGTGTAATCCGTTTCAATGGTTTGGGAGCACTTATCTGATTGTTGTCCACTTGTTTTTCAAGTTCCTTAAACTTATCGAGCATTTTCTTAGTTGTTTCCACTTTAGGAATATCATCGATGGTATCCAATGAACGGATAATATCAGGATTAGTTTCGGTGACATTATTTTCATAGATAACATTGACGTCCTTTGGAGGTGTTATTTGATGCCTTTTCGTTTCTTTAGGCACTTCTTTGGGCAGATTTTCAAAATAAGCAAATCTTTCCTGTAATTGATTTGAATCAATGGTTACATCTTCGCCAACTTGTTCGCCACTTCTGATAACATCACCGTTTGTCAGCTTTTTGCTCAAACCGTTAGTGTTATGCGATTGTCCGTTCACTTGTGGTGGTGTCGGACCTTTAGTGGCAGTGGCGTCAATCTGTTTAAACATACTTCTGGCTTCTTTGACATTTGAATCACTTTCAGAAATTGTATGAAATTCTTCTTCTCTTTCATTTTTCAATTTATCGATCCGTTCGCTCTCAGAGTCAACCAATCCTTTTTCAAATTTTTCTTTAATACTGTTTGCCTTAATGGGTGAGTCTAAGACTATCTCCGATCGATGGCCACCGTTCTCACTATTGTGCGACTCTTTAATGGTTCTCTCATAGACTTCCTTAAGTGATTCGCTTCGGCCTAAACTTAACTTCTTTCTCAGTTCTTCTAATTCATCTTTAGTGGCATCCGATTCATCTTTATTAGCACTGATTGAACCCGTTTCCCACTGAGACTTCAATGACGACAAATCAACGGCCACTAGTTTTTCGGGTTCCGGTTGAATCTCTTTGGGATCAGTATTCTCTTCATCACTGCTATAGTGACTATCCTTATCTCCGGCAACTGCGCTCTGGTATCTAATTATTTACATAATAACAATGTTTATGATATTATATTATATTATATTATATTATATTATATTATATGACCAAAACAGTGATTATGATGTTTATAAATCAAAGACAAAAGTGTCAAAACAAAGGGTGTATCCGTTTATTATGTTATTATTAAAAATATATAATTATTATGAAAACAAAAACCAAATCAATGGTAACTTACTTTTGCATCCTTACGCTAATACTGTCAGACCGCTGAAGAATATTTTTATCGATGGTTTTGTTGTTTTGATTGTTATGGTTGTCGTCGAGTCCAGTCCTGTCGACTCCTGATTCGAATTTGTTCCTAATATTTGCTAAATCCTTGGCTAAGTTGTAGTACTGTTCCTCAACCTTTGAATTGCCTGTAAATAGCAATTAACGAGTCATTCATTAGAGACAAAGGGATGGATGAGTAGTGGCTGTCGACAGCAATTTCAATGGTGAAAGTGCTGCTGAATGTCACTGGAAATGTCAATACATAATAGGGATAAAAAAGTGTCGGGACTGGTATGACATCCTGTAAGTGAGTAGTATTGGTATGCAAACTGACTTCCCTTCAAAAATATAACTAAAGCTCTTATAATAACCAGTATTACTATTACTTCAGCTATTTTTTCACTCAAAGCTCTTCTATTGAATATTTCAATACAACTGGCATTGTATTTGACAATACAATACAGTATACACTAACTCAGGTACTACTGCTTGTATTATACAGTGTATATACCATACCTTACCAGCTCAGAGATTAGTTATTGACTGACAGGTATATGACCGTTGAGCATGTTACTGTTACTGGCAATAAGCACCTATTTTGTTTGGCCAGGTATGTTACATACATACATACATATATATATATATATATATATATATACAGTATATCAAGTAAACCTATCGACTCATCAACAGGAATGCCTAAAAATGGGCACAAAAATCATATCAAGTTTTACACTATTGTGCATAAAGTTAGCTAATTGTGACAAATACTTTAATACTGTTATATCTACAGTATATTTTGTACACACAAGTGTTACAATTAAAATTTCTACTTTTAGGCCAAATATAATATAATTATCATATTTTACCAATTATAAACAGATATAGTTAGTTGTTTAGCACACACCTATGTATATGTATTGAAATATATTTTCATATATCCATAAGCTATTGTAATGCTTGAGAGAGTATAGGAGACACTAAAAAACAAACTAAACAAAACTAAGTTAAAGAAAATTCATCTCAAATGACAGTTAATCACTAGTAATACAATCCGACGATATATTTAGTTATGACTTCAATATTCTGTAGACTACACAGTGTAGAGACACCACAAACATATTGCAAAATTAGGCCATTTATTATATAAACATTTAACATATGTATTTTTGTTGCTTATTTTGCCTATTTATAAAAATTAAGTTTTATTGTAAAGCCCTTTACTGTAATAATATTAATAAAAAAACTAAAAAATAAAATAAAATTTTTTAATATTACCACCATTTTTTAATGACTAACTATTAACATATTTCACGATAAAAAATTTTGAGAAGTAATAGTTGTAATATCATTATAGATTACATAACTAAACAAAGAGGTAATAAAAAATGAAAAGTCCATACCATACCAGACCAGACACACACACACACACACACACACACACACACACACACACTCACTCACTCATACATACACTCACACACACACACACACTCACTCACTCATACATACACTCACACACACACAAACCGCTGAAAAGCAATCAAAGAGAAGATCATAAGTCAGTGCTTTTAAAAACCTGATCACTGAATGCTGTGAATCGGAAAAATACATTTTCGCCATATTTTAGAGTTTAGTGCCTGAAGTTTACAACATTTTTTGCAATACAGTACCAGACAGTGGTGTTGTTGTTGTTGTTGATGGAGGAGTTAACAAAACAACGAAAAATAATAATTTATCACTAATTTATATATATTCTGACCATTACTTCATTAATATTCTCATATCTTTGGGCTCTCTTTTAATGTTTTATAATTCACGGAAATCGGTCACAGAATAGCAATGCATAAATATATATACAAATATATATATATATATATATACAGTATATATGTATTTATAAATAACTCGTTTCATTAAAGATGAGACTAATTGCTAATTATAAAGTTTATCCTAAAAATGGCGCATATTTTTTATTTTATTTTGTTTGATAAGTCGATGAGATAATCAAGATATGACATAAATTATAGATTAACTTATATTAAATTCTTTGGCTTTATTATTATTATATTATTAAAACTATTAATATAATTAATGAAATTTTCAAGTTTAATAAAAGGATATAAAATATCTTATTAATATATATATATATATATATATCATATTTCCTATAAATAAACTCAACTCATATGTATTGCAAAACTACACACAAAAAGCTATTTTTATAAATATAAACAAAAACTAAACAAATTCCTTATAAAGATTTGTCGATCAAACATGAATTGTGAAAATCAAAGTGTGAGGAAATATACGACAAATTTTTTATCATTTGATTTTAGTAACATATAGTTAATATTATACTTAAAAAACTTGTTATAATAATAAATATCCTGTATATTAAATTATTTACAATTTAAAAAAATAAATAAAATAATAATAATTCCTGACTTACTTCTGACCACATCGGGTGGCAATTCTTCGGGTGTGTTCTCGCAGATAATCACTTCATATTTTTTAGGACGTTCCTCACAATTATGACTCATTGTCCCATTTATTGGTTGATCCTATTCATTGATAATATTTTTGTGAGACACAACAAAAACACAAAACACACACTAATTTAGTTGACAATAATGATGATAATAGAGATGAGAAAAGTAATTAAGTGTCGGAAAAGTTAAGAAAATCTAGTTTATAACATGTCAGCCATGCATATCAATTGTGGCATATGTGCAATGGTTAGACATATGTATAGTTAAAAAAGTTGGTTAGAAATCATTAGTTTATTAAAAATATATATATAATATATCATTAATATAAAAATATTTTTAAAGATATACACCAGTAATTCGCGATAATCGCCAACTCCTTGTGAGACATCAATTTGCTTATTAGTTTCATCACATTTAGTACTATATTTCGAGCGCTAAAATAATAATCGTTATCATTATTGCTATTATTATTATTATTAGTTATTATTAGTTATTATTATTTAACATTATTATCGCTTTGTTAAATTTATCAATTTTTTAATATGTAGTTTAGCAGCAAACTACTATTTAGTAAATTAAGTGCATTAGTATTAAATAGCGATTGCATACCAGTTCAGCCACATTAACACAATAAAGTGGTTCATCAATTGCTGCCATCGGATCCCTATGAGTGCCTTAAGCCGACTGACTGCCGGCACCGATGTCTGTATATACGATGTTAGGTAAGCGTTATGGTGTGTACAGCAATACCCGAGTATATAATATAGCGATGAGTCTGTGCAATGCCAGTTGAATGGCCTAACTTTTAGGGTAGTGCCAAGAGTGCGCAAATTTGATGGTGAATTATTTTAAGCCCGACCACCGCTAATGAATCATACAGTGCTACTAAAATAACACGTGCTGTAAGATGCCAACAAAGTTGCTCTCAATATATCTCCTTATTTATAAATAGGTTTTGCAATAGTTTATTGCAATGACAATCACTTTTAAATGTAATTTATATAAGTATATTATATAATTATATTTTAATAAAGACTATTGTCATCGATCATCACAATCACACAAAAATGCTAATAAAAAATGTCTATAATTTTGAACAATACTTAAACTAGAAAATGAAAATTGATTTTAAAATGTCATTCTTAGAGAGGGAAGTTTTTTTTTGATGATTTGTTTCGTTAATGCAAACAACTATTGAATCGTTCATCACTTTGTGTGTCTGCTATGGCTTAAGATGAGAGACATCGCAGACCATAGCTATACAGCTCTTGGGAGACGAAGAGGGATAGGGATTGGGAGATAGACATAGGGATAGGGAGATAGGCATAGGGATAGGGAGAGGTTGTTTGACTACTATTTACAACATAGAGAATCAGGCCTTTGCCTTCTTCTAGCATTTCGCAAGTTTTCTTAGTTTTTATTTTGTTATTTGACTGCAGTTTTCTTTAAAAATATGTAATGTATTGATATCATAGTTCAGATGGAAACTAATGATAACGCCTCTCTCTCTCTCTCCACTCATTCACTCACTCAGCAAACATAAGTTTAATCTAAGTTTTAAAATAAAGTTTTCACATAAATTTTCTAATAAACTTTATATATATATATTATAAAATTGTATATACATTACTATTATTATAGTTATTACATATACTGTAAAAGTTATAAATATAAAGTTAACTAATAAACTTCTTTTTATAAAAAATAACAATAAAATTACAACATTTTTTTCTTATGTTTTCTTTAAATAGTTTTTGGCTTAGCATTTGAAAGTCGGAATATAAAGGTTAGCACTGGTAGGGGATAGGGTTGAGCTCTTTGTCTTTATATAAATCAAAACATTTTCAAAGTTGACAAAAAAATTTATTTTAGAAACATTGAACTGATGTGATTAACCCATTGATTATCTAAAATAAACCATAGATTATGTAATTTTTAAAACTAAACGACAGTATTTTATTAGTTGTTTTTTTTATAAAAATACAAATATTAATAAAACCAGTGTTAATATAATCTACCAAATTATAGGCATATTTTGACAATCAATTTGAGGCAAAATATTTTTGTCACTTATCAGACAAATCAGCCAAAATTGATGACTCCTATGTTTTTAGAAAAATTCCTAAAATGTAGTAAATTATGGTAAAATATAGTAAAAATGTGGTTGCTCAAATTGCTAAAATTATCATATTAAAGGCATTTAGGCTTATTGATGATTAACCACTAAAAAAATATTTACATTTATATTTAACCAATTTTGTTTGTTACACAAAATATTCAGTAATTTTAAATAATTTATTTAGATATTTATGTTAATACAGTAAATCAACAAATCCTAGAGTATTCTACTCATTATAAACTTCTATAAATTTTTGTAAATAATTTATAAATGCTACTTAAAAATCATAAATTAATTTTAAAATACAATTTTATCTCATATTTGCTAAATAGAGCCAACATTTCTAAATCGTTAGTCATTAGACTCATATGTTTTTCTTGTCGCTAATGAATTTCACAACATTTTCATTCATTGACACTAAAAATAAATTGTTTTCAATTAAACTGTTATTTGTTTAGTTTATTAATGGCTTTACGCAAATATATTCACTAGTTTTTACAGAAAAATATATTTACATTAATATTGTTTCATAACTATTATTAAAATAATAATAACAACAATTATAATATATTCAAGTGAACTAAATTGTAATAATAATAATAATGTTAACTTATATCAAATATATAAACATATTTTAATTATTTAATTAATATGAGTTTTCTCTCATATTTTTATGACATAAAAATCATTGCATAATATCTTTCTTTTGAAAATTATTGTATAAATAAGCTGAAAGTCATACACAGTATTTAAAAATGTGTTTATTTATCTTATAATATATTTATTTATAGTCAGAAATGTTGTAAATTATAAAAATGAGATTAAATTTTTGTCTTTTAGTTATTACATTTAATTCAGATATTTTTTTGTCTTTTTTAAAATAAAAACTGATAATTGATTTAAGATTAGACATGTGTTAAGTTAGTAAAAATTGAAAAATTAATTTTATTTCAGATTTAGTTAATAAAAAATATAAAAATTTATTTAAATATATTTTTATTAAAGTTTAGTAACTAAACTCATAATTTTCCACAAAATCGTGTTAAATGTTTGGTTATATGGTTTCGTAATAATACTAATACTACTACTAATAATAAATATAATTTATGACTAAATATTTACTTTCAAAATGACATTAAATTTTGTATGTAATATAAGCTTATAATTTATATTTAGTATAAATTTTAATAAACTTTTCCCTCTCTTTAAACATGTTTATAACAGTGAATAATTAAAGTGTTAATAAATCATAAGTTTATTATTAAAATATTTGAAATATTTATATATATATATATAATTATTACCTGAAAACAATAATTGTACGATTGATTAATTCAGTAAAATAATAAAATACAAAACAATGTTAAATATTGAACTTTTTAATAAATTTAGATGTATTTGATTACATAAGATATGTAAATATATAATATAATTATAAATTAGTTGCCATACAATAACACTGCTATTTCATTACAATTATACATTTGAATAAAATTTTCACCACCAATTTACAATCAATTACATACTAACAAACATACAGTATATTATATAATCCATTCAATTATGTTATTAATATCCCCTAAATATAAATATTATATAATATTAAATTTATACAAAATATAATTTCATTTTCCCCATAACGTTATGTGTGTGCAAAAATATATCTATTACACAATAATGACGTAAATACATAGCTATTAATACTGTACTACAGTGTGTAATAGTTTACAAATTATTTGTACAAAATATTTTAAACAATTAATAAATTAAATTAGACTCTAAATAAAATAAACTAAGATATAGTTAACAAATAAATAAACTTATGGTAATATTCATTGAGAGAATCAATTATAAATTTAATACATATTATATAACTAATACTTTTTAGTTAAACTACCGGTAATTTAAAAAATGAATAAATGTTATTATATTATAAATATTTATAAACATAACACAAAAAGTAGTTCTCAATTAATTAAATAAAAATTATGTGAAGTCATAAATTAGTTTATATATAATATTAGTTAAATGTGTTACACGAATACGATATATTAACTTACAATTAGTTTTTTAATGACAAATGTCTAACTGTTTTACTCGATTTGAATCTCTTTGAACTTTTGGCCACAGCGTTGAACATTGAATCCTGTGTTACCTCGAAGTCGAGTTTGCGTTTGGATGAGTCGTCTTCAACACTCAACTCTTTGATCTTTGAAATCACATTATCATTGTTTGACACATACGATGACTTGTGAGATGAGATGTCTTCATTAGGTTTAACTTCATTGACATTTTTGTTAACACATTTTGATAATTGATTTGAGTCTTTGTTTTTATTACCAAACAAACCAATTGATTTCATTGGTGATGAATCGATAGCATTATTGTTGATAATTTCAATGTCAAGTGGAGTACATTCATCGCCCAAATCTTGACTATTATTATTGATATCCTTGTCCTGTGAGTTAAGTTGTGAGAACTCTTGGAACTGTTCCTGATTTGTCCTTATCTTGAGTTTGAGTGCGTGCCACGGAGTGGTCACCTCACCAGCATTTATACTAATAGGTTTACCAAAAAATGAAAACGAATCCGTCTCTGAAGCCACAAATCCCTGCGGTTCGTAGTCTTTAGGAGTAATGTCGTCGTAATACAAGAGTTTCATTGTTAGGTAACAATCTTCTGGTAATTTGTCAAGACTTTGAACCATAATTATAAGTGAACGCAACAATTGGATCGTCGAGTGTCGCAACTCTTGATTCTCTGACTGTTCGCTGATTAGAGACCTTTCGTTTCGATTTTTAGTCCTATTTATCAAACAATTCAATACAATTAACAATTAATTGATGGCATATCTGGTCATCAAATTTGTATAAATCATTACATCAAGAGATTGCAATTAATTTGATTGCATTTGTCATAAGAGTATCGCAAAGTATAGGCTTCGATGAGCTCTTCGGGATCGTCGGGATTCGTGAAGAGTCCTAATGTCAGTTGTTTCAGGTATTTCTTCTCCATTGCATCGAAACAGCCTTAAGAAGAAGTTATTATGATATCAATTAAACTATCAATTGGTTTGTCGATTGTCATATAAATACCTTTAACCCATTGAACCATTTGTTTGGCGGCCCCTGTATTGCATCGTTCAGTAAGAATCCTGAGTTTCAATTGATCCAGTTTTCGGTGTCCGTAACAGTCTTCGGTAAATACATTACGCAAATACAAGATATTACTGATGGCCACTGCAGTCAAACGTTTCATATAATTGAGTGACATTTGTTCAGAAGTCACTGTCATTGGAAACAGTTGTTGTTGTTGTTGTAATTGACATGTCTTTGACTGTGTATCACATGTAGTGATCAAATCATATATCAAAGAGAAAGAGACAATCAATCAAATTGTTTGTCACAATTAATAACAACAATTAATACCTGAGTTTTGTTTCGTTGAAGTGTTGAAGTCATGGTTGGAAGTGTTGTTTGTTGACAATCGGTGTCCAAAATGATGTCTTAATTGATGTCCACTTCTTGACTGTTGATGTTGTGATCAATAAGTTGTGACTCAATGTCTGTCAAACAGTCAATGCATTCAATGAGTGCTCAAAGTGTTCGAAAAGTGCGCAATCAGTCAACCAATCAATCGATTGTGTAATGCATTCAACTATAGGTCACGTGATTCGCATGTATTGAATGTTTGAGATATAAAGTGATGTTTTTGTTGATTATATTTCAGAGTTTCATCAGAGATGGATGTCATGACCAATGAAGATATCAATGAAGACACCACTGATAAACATAAACAAAGCGGTGCCAAACAAAAGGCTAAAAACAAGACGAAAGAAAAGAAACGATTGATAACTTTGTTAAGAGGACCAGTTGGTGATCATCAATGGTTTCACTCTATGACTGATGAAGAGTCCAATGCTTTCAAACAGATATTCATTGATATAATGAGTGGTCAGTCGTCGCTTGCATTACACCCGAAAAGATCAAAAGCCGACAAAAGTACTGAAAAAACTGAGTCAACCAAAGAAAGTTCACGAGTGAAGAATGAATTATTATTTGGACTCAATTCAGTGATTCGTTCACTCGAGAAGAAATCAGTTATTGGTATTGTTCTCAACGATCCATTAGCGCTGCCATTGATGGACAATATCGCAGAGTTATCCACTGAAAGCCATATCCCATGTTTTTCTGTCAAACTATTAGATGAACTGAAGACTTGTTTAAATATATCATCGCTTACTGCCATTGGTTTTAAGCCAAACATCACATCAAATGAATCACTGTTTTATAGATTATATGATTTTTTTGCTAAAATTGTTGCTAAAAATTGTCCTCAAAATGAAACGAAAGTAAAAAGTTATGATAATAGTGACAATAATAATGAAAAAATTATTGAAAAATGTAATAAACAAAATATTATTACTGAAACTAACAAAAGTTATGATAATTTAAATGATATTTTGTATACCAAGAAATGTGATGACAATTATAAACACTTAATGAAGAATTTGTATACAAATAATATTCATTTGAATAAATCAAAAGATGAGATATCATCTCAAAAATCATTTCTTAAGTTATCAGCCGTTGAAGAAATTTATTTTCCAAATCTGAATAAATTGACCACAAATTCACTTAAAGTTATCGTCGATTTCGATGAACAGCCAATGGATGTAAATGACGACACATTTGCCATAAGTCTTATTGAGTGCACCGATGAAAGTACACCAGAATTATCGGTTGTTAAACGAAAGTTTAGTCAACGAGAGAGTAATAGTCCGACTCATGAATATAGAGTACCAAAAGTGGTTAAACTCGAGTCGTCGACTACTAGAAGACATGAAAGGAAAAAGAAAAAACAATTTAAAAAACAAACTAAAAGACAAAATAAAAAATAATTTTTTTAGTAACTTAATTATAGTGTAAATTGAATGCCTATAACTACTTGTATTATAAATCAATCAATGCAAACAACAATGTTGTGCTTTATCAAAGTAACATACAGTAAGTTATTAAAAAATAATTAAATTTTTGTACATCAAAATAGTCTACCGTAATATATTCACTTACTAGTAATGTTACATAATTGCATTACCGGTAATATCAATAATTATAGTTTGTTATTGAAAAGGTTGAATCACTCGATAAAAATAAAATATTTTTTTTGTAATTATGTTATGGATGATCATTTAAAATATATAAATATTATCTAAAAATGTAAACACCTATTTTGTTACTAAGATCAATAAATATTACCTATAAAATCGATACTTTATTTAGATATTTAATTTGATAATAATATTAAAACTAAATTATGTGAATGTGTTATTAAATAATAATAATACGATAATTTTTACATAACATTATTAAATGCTTATTATAATTAAATTTTTATTACTATATCTGTATTAGAATATTAGTAATCAATTAAGATATACATGTTTTCAAAAAGTTGAGAAAATATTCAATTATTATAATATAAATCAATTGGTACACCAAATAAAGTCAAATTAGTATTCATTTCATAAATTTGTTTTAGATTTTTATTATAGTAATTAATAAAAAAAATATATTAATTATAAATGATTTAAATTAAAGTTACAAATTGTATAATAAATAAAGTATTTTAAAAATCTATTCAATATTTTAGAATATAAAATCAATAAATTTATAATAGATTATAAAAATTACATTTTTAGATTTGTCATTATTATAATACTAAAGTATACATTATTGGATTTTATTAAAATTTAAATTATACAGTATTTGGTGTATATGATACAGCATATCTCTAAAATAAAATATTTGATTTTGTATATGTATTAAATTTTACTAATTATATTAAAATAAATTATGAATAAACGAGTAAATAGAGATTAAAACCAATATTATGTGAAACATATCCCAATTATTGATTGGAAATAGTGATAAACAATAGAAACCAATTGCGGGTTCACTCATATAATGTCTCGCATGTCTTACTGTGTCTTAATTTTGGTATTATTAAAAAAATTTTATAATAATACTAATATTTAATTAATTAATTGTAATGTTGCAATTTCTACAAAAACAATTTTAATTTAAATGTTAAAATAATATTTAATTGTATAATTAGAATAACATTAATTTAATTAAATATTATATGAACGAAAAATATTTTATAGAAAGATTAATAAAAAAATTTAGCATTTAACTTTTTATAAAAATTAATATAAATAATTTGTTAAATTAAAATAATTACTGTTAATTTTTCAAATATTTTTTATATGAAACTTCAAGTAAAACAAATAAAATATTATTTGTATAATTTATAATTTCAATTTTAAAATCACTATAAGTTACTATATCACTAATAACAATAAGTAAGTATAAAAAAACCAGTTGAGAATGCTAGAAAGCATTTCCACACGAATTCCTAATCATAATTAAAAATTAAATTCAGTATGATAAAATAAAATCAACTAAAGTTATGTAGGGTATCAAACGATTTAGTATGACAAAATATACAACTATAGTCATGTGGGGTATCAAATGATTCAGTATTACAAAATAAACTACTATTTTCCTAAAAAATAAACTTAAAAACGAAAAAAATAAAAAAATAAATATTTAAAAAAAATTCAAAAAAATAAATTCAAAAAAAATTCAAAATTTTTTTAATTAATTTTTGGACACAATTTTCTTCAATTTCCTAAAAAATAAACTTAAATAAGAAAAAAAAACAAAAAAAAAATTCAAAAAAAAAATTTGTAGCGGATAGTGGATTCGAACCTATGTCCTCGTGGGACAGACAGACCGACAGACCGACAGACCGACAGACCGACAGACCGACAGACCGACTTATAGAATGCATATACGTATTCCTTTCAGGAATTCGTGATTATCTTTTTTTACTAATTTATATTTATTTTTAGAAATTGCGATTATTGTTATAATCTGTATGCATTAAATTTTGATGCATTAAATATAGCTCAACAATTTGCTTTATTACATCCAAACGCAGAAATTGATAAAAATTTGGGTAATTTTCAAAAAAAACTTGAAGTTTTGTTTACTGAAATCTATAATGGCTTTTTGAGTCTGTGTGTGTGTCTGTCTGTGTGTAGCATTTCATTTTGCGAATTTTGAAATTCTGACTTCAGATTCGGTTAGAGGACTACTAATAATGTATTGAAAAGTTGCATCAAAATTTTAATATCTCTTCGGGAACATAGAGAAAATGGCGGCCAAATTAAAAAAAAATTAAGAATTTTTTTTAAAGTGTAGATTTGAATAAGGCATCAAAAATAAGCATAAGAAATATGCATTAAAATTTTGATTTCTCTTCGGGAACATAGAGAAAATGGCGGCCAAAGTAAAAAATTTAGTTGAAAATTTTAACGTTTAGAATTATATAGAGCATCAAAAATAATATATAATAATTTATTATTTTTTCAAAAAATGATGGCAAAAGTATAAAAAAATTTTAGGTAATTTATTATGTTAATTATTTATTATTATATGTATTTATATTAAATTTATCTAATTTTGGAGAAAAAGTTTTGAGGACCCCTGTATATATATATATTATTATTTTGAATTAAAACAATACTATATGACGTCATAATTTTCACTCAAACTTAATGCTTGCTTAATACTGTATACTGGTATTGTTTAATAATATTTTACATTAATTATTATATTTCATTTACATTATCATTTAGTAAATATTAGTAAACATTTATTAAAATAGTTGATAATTATAATTTATAATATTAAATAATAAACATACAGGTATATAAAAATTAGAAATTTATATTATATAAAAATTATTATTATTGCAATTTAAAAAAATTTAGATAAATTTAGATAAATAAATGTTAAGTCTGATTATACAATGTATATAATGATGTATATAAAACTTTAATTACTCACAATTTGTGACATATATTTAGCCGATTATTGTCTTCGGCCTTAATTGCGGACAAATTATTGCAATATTGTTTCGGACAGTAATTGTATCAGTCCTTCATCAGCGCAATTGCTGTACATTAGTGACAGCACTGTTGGTCTTTAGGTACTTACGGTGAGAGAGAGAGAGAGAGTGACCACAAAAAGTGATAATTGATAACATGTTTAGTGCCATAAAATTATTTGACTAGTTTTAACATAAGTTTTTTATACATAATAATACAAAACTGATTTTAAATTCAATAGTATATATATATAGCTCCCACAGAACCTTATATATAATGTGTGATCACTGATAACATAAACCTAAATAAACTTAAGTCTAATTGTTTTGTTATTTATTTTCTTTATTAAAGTATGTCATTAATAAATTAATTTATAAATTTATATAATATAGTTAACAAATTATCTTAAACAAGTCATATCCATAGTCGTGATTATCGTGAGTGAGTCACGAAAGTTATTATACAGTCATTGTTATTGAAACTTTAACTCAAATTAGTTACAATAATTCAATTAATTAATATAAAATAAAATCTTATATTTATTTTAAGCTTTTAAGAAATCTTAGAGACATTATAATATATAATTGACATAATAATCAACTATAGATGATATATTAGAATTTAAAAAAATTACAAAAAATAAATAATTTATCATAATATTATTGAGAGTTACTTTTAATAATATTTACACTTAACATAAACATATAAAAATCAATAAACATAACACTTCAAATGTAATATTTATTATTTTAATTTCAATCTAAATAAATAATTTATTTACAAAAATATTAATTAGATTTTAAAAGTAGTTGTAGTAAGCGTTTGGAAAAAATTGAAATAAAGTTAAAACAAAGTTTGCAAAAATATTAATGTGGTTTACATTAACCAATAGACGCCACCACTTGATTTGTCATTTGTTGCATAACTTTTTGACTTTTAAATTGCTATTTAATAACATTATTACATTTCCTGACCGGAAAAATTTGGTGATATTATAGATATTATAGAGAGAGGAAACTCTTAAAGCTATTAAATGAACTTTTAAATGTCTGGATCTTCCTTTTAAAACAATAACTTATAATTATTTTGTCTTTGAATTTGAAGACTTCTCTCAAAATTTAATTGAAGACCTATTATGGACACAGTTTTGTAATTGTAATCAAACTATAAATTTCAAGTAATTATAGACTGACAACAATGAAATCTAAGTCAATGGGTTTCTATAAAAAAAAATTTCAAATGTTTTGATAAAAATACTCAAAATATTCTTTTGTCTAATAATAGCAATAAATAATAAAATTACATTTTAGTATACAGTATATACAGTAGTATTAATATAAAATTTTATATCTTTGTAGTAAAAAGTTTGTACTAAATTTATTTATAATGATAGTAACTACTGTAGAGTATAAATATTACAACAATAGTGGTTTATGGTATATTTATAAATTATTATATAATTTGATAACTTATTAATTGTATCTATTTAATATTTTATTTTAAATGCAGTATAAATCCTTTTTATATAAATTTTAAAATAGAAATCAGTATATTTAATCATATTTATTAGAAATCTTATGTTATATAATTAAATTAATAAATTTGTATTAAACATTTTTAAATTATATAAATCGTATAATACATGTATGATCGCTCCTACCGTTCCCACACCACTGTCTGTCACACTATTTATGTCTCACTTTTGCTATCTTTTATCCAAATGTTTTACATTTAGTCAAAACACAAAACCTGTTCATCAGACAGTTGAATGTCTTATACTAATCAATCTATAGCTAATCCATACCACAATTTATTTACTTAATTTTACTTAAAAATTTAGTTATATTTTTTAATAAATTCAATTTTCATCTTTTCATTTACAGTAAAATACATTTTATCATATCGTATGTTTGATGAAGTAAACAATTAATATTTGTAATGTTTAACATTAATACTATAATAAATAATTATCTCAAAGTTATTCATAACTTTAGATACTTTTCTTATACAGAAATAAAAAAACAGTAATACATTTCCTCCAAATCATAGTAAACTTGAATTAATCAAATTTATTTCACATATTATTTAAAAATTAAATAATAATAATTTTTTCTTTCATACTGTTTGTATACAGTATACCAAATGGATATTTGAGTCCAAAATGTTGTTTAATTACTAGTAATTTTCGTATAACATTATCACTGTTTTTATGAGAAAAAGTGTAAAGTTATGGACACTTTTGAGCAAACATTTAGTACAACTCGTTTCGGACAATGAGTCGGACAATGACTCTCTTTGTAAAGTTTTTTTTGACATCAAAAGTATGTCAAAAAATATGAACAAAAATGTATAGAAAGTTTTAATGAGAGAGTGACAGACAATTCAATGCCACAAATGGTCAAACTCGAGGTACAGACCACCACAAGAGGTGCCAAATGAGACATTTTTTCAAACAAACTAATGAAAAGACAAATAACTATTTAAATGGTTGTCAACTCATTATAAAGTTTTGCTTTAAATTGAAAACTGTTTTGTATTAAAGTTCCCAAAAATTCCTTACAAACACATACACACCGGAAAAGAGAGTATAGTTTAGCCTTATTTCTCACGAGATTTAGTCTACAGTCGACGTCATATCCTATATATTGTTATTGAATTTTGTGAATGAATGGCAAAGTGAAAGAAAATATCAATGAATGACTCGCCAGATGTCTTGCCTTTTAAATAGTTGTTTAGTGAGTGAGTGAAAGACCAGTTTCCCAATACAACCATAAATGAGATACACTTTATGATAGAGTGAGAGGAGAGCACAGGTGTAGTGAAACCACCAGCACTTGCTGTCTGTTAGTGGCTCTGAGCACACATACACACACTTATAGACTCATACATACACAACACATACACACAATGTTTGATTGCATTTGTGAACCACTTGGCTATGTATTGAACTTAATTATTACAAGATTTACTTTAAAGCAATGATCAAATAAAATCATATATTGTGATAAGTTTTAAAAAAAAGTTTATTTTATCAATTATTTTAGTTTAATAATAATATATTGACAACAATTTTATTTGTTTCTATTTATATATACTGTAAATATATAATAAAACATTGATTTGGAAAACTTTTATTTAAAGTTTTATGACATCAATATTTTGATATATCATTTATATTGATCTAAAATTATGTTACATCAAAAATAATGTCATCTCATCATTGTTTGACTCGTGTTTTCTTATCAATTCATTTGTATATATTATTTATTGGATGTATCGACTCATCACAAGCACAGTCCGACACATTTGGTAAGTTTGATAACAAAAATTAGTATTTTAAAAAAATCATTTATTGATACACGAATATTAACTTTTATACCTGTAGTACTATATATATATATATGATATATTGATTTAAACGTTATCAAGTTTTAAAAAATAAAATTATGTTGTCGTGAATTATCTGTTTAAAGTTGAATAACATTGCATAATGTTTTGATTAAAAAAAAGTTATCCTAAAGATATATAAAAGTAAAGCAATGAATGAAACATTTAATATTATACATATTACATAACAGATTTTTTTGTATAATACGGTATCTGATGTACAAAAAAAAAGATTTGTTGTAAATTCTTGTATGATTTTATAATGAAAACTTAAATACTTTTTTTAAAAATAATAAATTTGAAAGTATTATTATATATAATATATCATTGATTGTGATTACCGGTCTATAAGCTAAAGTCATATATAACTATCAAATTTAGCGATGCATTGATTTTATATAATATATGACTACATAAATATAGAATTAATGTTATGTCATAGCATTGAAAATGAGTGAAAGATCTACAAACTTATAGCACAACTATATAATTGTCTTTATGTTTGAAAGCAATTATTATATTCAATTCGTAGTGTCAGTGATTTGGCACTTCCTTTCAATCGGCAATCAACCGGTAATATGGCACACATGAAGATATACTGTCATTAAATTAATAGACAAACTAAATATATATATATATATATCGCTGATAACCATTATATACAATATATAATATAAATTAAAGGAAATATCTCTAAGGCATATGAATCTGTTAATCACTTTTTTTTGTCTAACTCACGCTTATAGCCAATAATTTATTGTATATATTGTATATATTTGTGTTTTTAGTAGTTTTTGAGAAAGACAGTGAAAATCTCTTTTGTAAAGTTATTGTTATGTTATGGAAAACTGATATCATTTTTAACCATTAATATTGTTGAAGTTCAAGTGCTGTGTCTTATTATTATTAACTTCAATATACAGTATTATATAATGATTGCAACAGTATTTTAGCCTTTAATAAGTCACGAAATCAATGATTGAATGAATAATGTCCTCAAAATAGAGTTTAAAAATACATTTATTTTAGTTGTTTAGCAGTAGTGGAGAAACAGTAACTCAAACTAACAATAAGTTTTTTGGTGGGAGAGTGAGTGCACTGTATATTGAGTGAAGGGACAGGTATTTATGACTTGTATCTTAACAATCATGTTTGAGAGGCATTACCCGTACGGCCGGACCATAAGCAACACACACTTTAAAGATATTCATATAAATAATGATAGTTTTATTTCCACAATTCAAGTTCACATCTCTCTCTCTCTCTCTCTCTCTCTCTCTCTCTCTCTCTCTCTCTCTCTCTCTCTCTCTCTCTTAATAATTCATGTGTTGCCAAACTATTATTATATTAATATTATAAGACATAAGATAAGCAGTAAATGTTGAAATACACGATTAACATCACTATATTAAAGTATTAATGACTAAATAGAAGCAAAACTTATAATAATCTTTAAAAACTATAAGAAATGATGAAATCATACAAATTGAGAGATGATCTCTCTCTCTCTCTCTCTCTCTCTCTCTCTCTCTCTCTCTCTCATTCTCTCATTCACTTATTTACTAATGGAGTGTTCGCACCGGTCAGTTAGTCAATCAGTGAGATCCACCCTAACTGACCCAACCTATTGCTGAAATGTAGTAATAAATTGTTGAAATTGTTGTATATAATAATAATCGGTATAAATATTTGAAAATTTACAAAGAGATGAAAGTTAGTGTTTTGATAATAATGATTATGTTATGCAAAAAACTCTGAAATTTATTATTGTTTGAGTACATCATTATTAGTGTAAAGCCATTCAAACATTATTATATAAAATTCATTGTTTGTCTCAAATTGTTGTTTTGTGATATGTTTGCAATTATATAAACATTTATTCATAACATATGAGGCTCTGGTTGTTGTTATTGTTGATGTGGTAGTACTGGCACTTGAATTACCTGACGGATGGTTGGCAGTGGCAAACAGTCATTTTTATGTATGCCATTTACAAGTATATACAAGTGATGAGGTATAGTGTCTTAGAGGGAGAGTATGTGTGAGAGAGGACTAGTAGTGTTTGAGTGGGTGGTCGACGAATAAATGAAATGAAGAGAAAAATGCAATGAAAAGACCAAATGGGAAAAAGTTTGAGAAATGTTTGCACTCAGAGATGTGGTGTTGCGTTAGGTTATGGGTTATGGTATAGTTGTGTTGGGCTGTTGGGTGTGTAGCACTTGGATCCGAATTCCAGAACCAGCGCCAGTGTTTGAGAGGTGCGGCGGTGTCTTTTGTCTTTATAGTTTTCTTGACTTTTATATAAATATATCTCTATATAAAAGCCAATGGATTGGCTCGGGTACCACTCCCGAGCACGTGTAGTGTGTGTGTAGTTGTTGCCCGAATTACTTATTATTTATTTTTTGTTTAAACTGATGGTCAACCCGGATATTCGTAGGTATACCCTATGCCTATGAGTGCCTATAAAAAGCTAAAGTGAAAGGCCGGGGGCAGCAAAATATGTGACTATAAGAGCGAAACCAATATTTTAAAAGACTGGGTGTGGACTACTGTACTGTAGTTAACTAATGCAAGTTATGCTTGTTTTATATGATAGACAACATTATATTCACAAGTCTGCAAATTTTATACAATATCCTCAAACATTCAAACATTTTTAATCACTATTTATCTTTACATATAATGTTTGAAAACTTTCATGTGAAATTTTAAATTAACAAATATATAAATATTTTTTTTTGTTTATTTTTTATAATGAGGTTAACTGTGAAACACGACAATTATTTTTATATTTTCATTTTACAAAAGCAAACATTAATAATATTTATTTTGTTAACAAATAATATAAAAAACATTAATTAAATAATTGCAGTGTTTTAATTGCATATAATTGATTTGATTGTTTAAATAAATATATAAATAAAATAAAAATGATTTTTAGCAATTTGATTAAAATATGATGCATTATGATTACATATACACACATAGGTTCACATGGGTGTTACTTTCCGATTGAGTACCAGGGTACATTCCTCATACAGACACAGGCATCCAGTGCTGATGGAGGCAGTGTTGTCACTTACTCTGAGATCACTATAGAAGCGGACGCAATACCCCCGTGGGGTCGATGCCATAAAAGACGGGGCAATAATGTTATATTAAAGGACAGCACCGGTGCTGAAGATTGCATGCGTTGCTTTCATCTGACAATGAAGACACCAAATGTCATACAATTGCACACCGAAGGTATGCACTCATTACTGTCTGACCCCTACCTATCAATGTCTTTGTTTTCATGTTTTTTTTAAACAATAAACACAATCTGATTAAATCTCATTCTTTCTCATTTCCTTTACATAACTTTTAAGTTGAAATAAATAAATTGAATTTTTTAATTAAAATGAATATCTTTGTGATCTTAAGGATTGGCTCGTTGTTACACCAACGAGGACGCGGCCCGAGCCACCTGTCCTAATGACAAGGATGTGCTCGAAAAGAAGTTCAAAGAAATAATGCTTTTTCGTAAGTTTTATTACATAATATGTTTTTCAAATTAATTATATATATATATATATATATTTCTTATTCACTCTCAATGTAAGTGTTTTCTTATTTTTTAATTGAAAACTAAAAATATTTAAGCCTTCGATGTCATCATTATTTATGTTTAAGATTTGTAAGAAAATCAAAAATATTTTGTAAGAAATTAATTTTCAAAAAGCATTGCTTTAGAAAAATATTTGAAAAATTTATTGATATATCAATTGGGAATTTGTTTTTGTTGTTTTCAAATTTTAATTTAAAAATTCAAATATCAATTCAAAAGTCAATTTGTGTGAAGTCATGGGCGCGACTGACTCTCTCTTGGAGTGTCTCGACTTACCATCAAAATTAAGGCTCGGATGTGATATATTAGTGATAAGTTAATGCTATTTATTTCTATATTATGTGAACTTCAAACAAAAATTTCCAACAAATGGCTACACACCTACTAATGGCTTATGATTTAGTATAGGAGTTGTAGTTAGTATATCAACCTATCTATACATTTTCACTTTTACTGTTAACTCGGGTAATAAAAAATGGTTCAATTTTCAGATACAAACTATTAATAACAAGTATTTGAGAAAAAATATCAGCACTTTTTCATTGATAGTTATCAGCGCTGAGAGAGAAAAGCCAAACATAACATTTGCAGTCATAACCTGTTGTATAGGTATTAGGTTTGCATTTTGACGAACATTTCAATGGAAACTTAGGCCATAATTTAAATTCAATTTTTAATTACTATTATCAGTAATATTGTATATATTTATACCACTATCACATAATTATTATTACTACTACCTTATACTACAGGTATATCCGACAATGAGTTACATTTTTATGACTCCTATCTTACTTTCATTAATATCTAAATGTTTAATCATTTTACTGCTTATATCAATATTGCATTTTTGCTTAATGTATTGAAAATAATTTTTAGTAACTAAATTACTAAATCTTTTTTATTAATGGTTAAAGTTAATGAAACAAAAATGAAACAAAATGATAGCACTCCTAAAATTACATAATTTTAACGTTTTTGATACAAATTTTTATTTGATATAAATATTAAGTTTAATCAAACATCGATTTTAATTAGTGAATATTTTCTGAGTATTACAGTATATATACTGTATATGTATGTCCAGTAGCCCTAACAGTGCGAGAATCGGAGTCTAATTTAAAGAAAAATCCAATTGTAAATGTATTGAAGTGAGAAGTGGGTGGTCTACGGGTCCGCACATTATATTATTTTTTATATTTTCCTAAGAAATAGTAATTTAACTTTTGTTTTACTGTTTTTTTCTGTATGCGAACCGATGGCACTGTTAACTAACAATTGATTTCTGATTTCTAATGATTCAAATGACAGGTAAACACATTCCCGGAGGTCTACAGTCAGTTGAACACGTGTTTTGTCCGTTCAATGGAAAGTATAGATTCACATATATGGCCAACAATGGCGAACTGCATTGTGACCAGAATTACTCGGAATTAAGTAACTGTCCTCACGGCAATGCTCTCGGGGCTAAATTTAGACAGTGCTCGTTCCCAACAATGGGTATGTAGTTAGCAAAGAGTAACACAATTATTTGAATTGACCTCTCAATGAGGCCAATGGGACCAAAATAATTCACTTTTTATTTACTTATTGAGTGAATCATTAAGCTCTTGAAAAGGGTTGACTCAATTGTCAGTATTATTAATGAAGACAATTATGATTACTCCCAAATCGTTTCATTAGACATCCACTTCCTTTGTTTGGGCGATTGGGAGAGTCATACTGGAGAGCGCTATTTGGCACTAATGGATTTGCGTGAAGAACCAGAAGCCCGACCTAAGTATCGCTGTGGGGTAAGTTGGGTCGTATGCCCATTGCTTATACTACCAAACCATACCATTGTCTGACATCCAAACACATCCCAATGCTATTGTTTAGTATGTTCTTCAAACTTCTTATTCTTCAATTTTCTCTCATTTGAATTCTCTTTAATGATAACCGCCGTCTCTCTCTCTCTCTCTCTTCTCTCATTATTCACACAAGTGGTGCCACTCAAGGAGTATTAGTCAATTGTTGCCATACCTGCAAATTGTCACCCAATCACTCATTTCAAGCAATTACTCCACATTGGAGTGCAATCTCTCATTTTCTCAATCTTTCGGAGCGAGAAATTGAATTTTTCTCATTTTTGCTGACCTTCTTGTAGTCAGATTTGCTACCATTTCTTGATCATATTGATCACACGCAACAAACAGCAACAACAAGTGTTTTTTCCAATGATTGTTACAAAATATTTCATTCAAGTGCTGGCATAACAACCGTCAGAACAATATGTTTGATGGCATCTAATAATATCTAAGTGTAGGCAAAGAATTGAATGCATTTTTTCAGTAGTAGTGGTGAGGCGTCTGTAAAGTATTTGACTATTTTTGTTTCGGTCTTACAATCATTCAGTCAATGGTTCACTTAATGCCCGGAATTTATGAGACAAGTAATAGAGTTTTGTGTGCATTCACTGTTGAATTCATCTCTCAAATGGTGTTTCTCTCTCTCATATAAACCAATAGTAGTGAATGTGTTGTGTGTGTGGAGAGTAAACACAAATAATAATAATAATAATAATAATAATAATAATAATAATAGCGAACAGACATCCCATGCGATGATCTGTTGTATAAAGAGAAAAGTCATTGAAATAACAGAGCGGCGAAACCATTGCAAACCAATTGACAACTTCTAGAGTAACACTACTTCTTACTATTGCTTACTATTCCTCTTATTTCTCTCTCTCTCTCTCTCTCTCTCTCTCTCTCTCTCTCTCTCTCTCTCTCTTTATTAATAAGTAGTGCCAATGCTATGGACTGGTCTACCGAGTGCTACATTCACTACTATTTACTACTTTTCACTCAACGGAAGTTATTTTCACTGTTAATGTAAACTAAATCCCAAAAACAACTTAACTATTAGTAATACAATATAAATGTCTGTCGAACTCTCAATTTCTCTCCTATTATACGACTATTTTAATGTTCAATACTCTTTGTTCTTTATCATTGAAAATCAATTAAAGCCTATAATTGTCAGAAACCCTAAAAATGTTGTTAAATGAGTGCAAAGACTGATAGATGTATAAAATGTTTCAGTTGTATAGCTCGGAGCCGACGACGGGTCGCATACATGTGTCGTTATCGGCCGACTCTACCTGTAGTACACAACTAAGGAGTGCCACCAATGGCTTCGAGTCATTGGTTTTATCGCCGCGTAAGTCAAGACTTACTTTGAAATTCCTTTCTTTCAATTGATAACAACATTAATATAAAAACATAACATAACATAACATAACATAACAGTCCCCATGCATTACACAATACAACTCATAACCAAAAAAAATCTTAATGACAAATGAAACAAACATTTATACATTTTTAGCCGAGAGTCAAAAAACTTTTTTGAAAAAAACAAACAAAGTTTAGATTATTTTAGTTTGTTATCAGTTGATTGACAAAGCAATACATTTTTTAAATGTTTGATTCATTACAATGACAAACAAAATATTAACTCTGATTTCTGTGGTCAGTGCCCAACAAAAAGATGCCGCTTTTGGTTGAGAGCTCAAAGTGTCGGTTCCCGGACTGGATGCAAGGCAAGTGGGAAATGTCGACCATTGATGGCAATCGCTTGATATTCAGGGATGAGGCCAACCAATTCCGCACAATTACATCCCGGTGTGTAATGAGACAGAATAACACACCTAATGATCGGTTTATTGTGCACTCAGTCACGCAGTGGTAAGAGTTACCCCCAAATGCCACACATTGTTTGTTGACTAATGACTGTCCATTAATATAGCGGTGATGAGTCGTATACCTGTGTTTGGTTGAAACGGCGTTCCCCTAATATCATGGAATTCCAATTCTCAGACCAAACCAGTGATGCCATGTCTGACAGCTTATGTAATGACAATCACTTCACCTCAAACTGGATAACTCAAGGCAGTCAGTATCCCCTTAACCAACCATTTATTACATATCATTATATATTACATGTCATTACAGAAAACTTTTTTCAATTGTTTTTATTTTTAATGTCATTTAATATTGTATTCACATTTATAACTATATAATTAGATATTTAACAAAAACATTGTTTTAATACAAACATGTTATCCATTAAATACAAAATATTTAAAGTCATGTTTCCTATATATTTTAGGGAACACTGTAGCCCAGTTGACTTCATGTCCGATCACTGGTGATTACAGTGGTGTGGTTCCGGGTGCTACCGGTCTCTGTGCAAAAGTGGCCTCAGACTGCAATAACCCCGATATCATGTTTTATAGCGTCAGTAGCTGTGAGAATAGGACTCATGTTTATGAAGGTATGTATGTTTTGACCATCTCTTATATCTAACTAACTGGTCGATCAATCATTGATTTTATTACTTAATCATTTATTTGCTTGATTTCATATTCATATAAGCAATAAAAAACTATTATTAAAGTTTGCCTCATATATCATAATTGACTGATATTAGTCAATACCAATTGTTATATGAATATAAATAGTTAGGCATTAATAACAACATAACAACTAAAGTAATAATAAAACATCAAAAGCATTATTAAATTAATTATAAGAATCGCATGTATTTGTTAGTAAACTATGTCTAATATAATATAAATTTTCATTTGAAATTCAAAACATTAAAAATGACTGAACCATGAAATCAATGGCAGAGTGGGTCTTACTCTCTGACATTACTTTTATGATAATATAAAAAGTTATTGTAAATGATATGCCAGTGCTTTGTGTTACGTTGTTTGTCTGTCACGTAAGTTATCTCTTGTTTGAAGTCACTTATTAAATGGCAAACAATAGACTGAACCCGTCTCTCGACTGTTTGACCACTCATTACATTAAAAAAGCAAATCCATAATACAACAGATGTTATGCGAACCTCAAATTCAGCGGCAATTTATCACATGAATTGTCAGATAAAATGCTATAAAAATACCTAAAAATTATTTCTTTCTTAACATTAAAAAACTTTTAAAAATCACATTTTTATATAGAGCTAACCAAACATTTTCTTTTATTTAACTTAGTATATATTCAGTACTTTAAATAACTTTAAAAGTATAAAAAAGTAATGATGGCTTTGAAAAGTGTAGCCATTATATAAAAAGTTTGAAAAAAAAACTCTTAAGAAAACTAAAGTGAATCTCTTGTTGCTCTCGATATAAATAAAAAATATTTATTTATAACAAGAATTATAGTTATGATTGATTTAAGTCTTATACAAATACAAATTGAGTGCATAGTATGCATACACTGTCTTTGTGAGGACAGGTTTTGTTTGCCAGTTATACAAACCCCTGTATATTCAAAAAACCACACAAAATGTCAAATATATTACAAATACCTGAATATATGTTTAAAAAATATTGAGAGAATAACTATCTTCTAGTACTTTTGAAATGCTTATAACTTATATAAACAGTATATACTATACAATATATATTATACAATCATCTCTACTATAGGTTATTGTAATTTGCCATAAACTGCTTATTTCAATGACTAGATGTTGTGTCAAATTATTTATCATTTATTTTTAAATTTATTAGTTTCTAATGATCTGTAATTTTCATATTTTTTTATATACAAACAGAAAGAGAGTATCGATGTCTTGGCAATTGGGAAGAGGATGGAGTGCTCTATACATACACACAAAGGCGTGATATGCCGGGACACCAGTGCTTTGTAAGTGTTATGTCCTGACTATACAAATATTTTATGATTCATTATATTTTTAAGCAATTATTTATTTCTCTTTTGTTATTTGAATGATAGGCCGGAAAAATATTCAGGAATGGAGACGAAGCCTTCATTAAAGAGGCCGGAGAGAGCTGTGTTAGGTATGTCCTCAATATATTTCATTTATTAGCAATTATATTACATTATATTTCATTTATTGTTATTTTAAACCAATTATCTATTTAAATCGATTTCTTGTTTGATTATTTTTCTAAACGCCTATTCATATAAATAGTCATATTATATACTGAAATAATACATATTTATCTGTTTTATCTTTTTTATGAAACAGAGGTGAAGATCCGCTGATCTTTGGCATGAAAATAACAAAACATGGTTAGTGTTTATAGCAATAATTATTATATGAATTAAAACAATATTAAAAGTCAATTATTATTGTCAATAAATAGCTTCGTGTCCAAGAATGCCACCGATCACATCATATGTTCCTATTAAGCCCAGTTGGCAGTCCAAACCTGACAAAGTTTTCCCAATGCCACCGCATCAGCCATCAGTATATCCACCAATCAGGCCTTTGCCAGCACCGGGTCTAAAGCCAATACTTCCTCAGCCGGCACCGCGACCGGCCATCACTCGTGACCCGTACTGGTATGACGCTGATACACAACCCACTACTAAATCGTGGCGACCAAACACAACAGGTTTACAACAAAAATTATAATTGAAATTATCAGTCATTTTCATAGATTTTTTATTTCATTCAAACCAATAGATCGCAAAATAGAGACAAAAGAAGAGAAAAGTTCTTCCACTCAATTCAAGCCATTCCTACCATTAGTTGTCATATTAGTAATCATTGAAAGGATTTTAATACATTGTTAGCTGTTATATATAAATATTGTATATTTAATAATTAGATCAACAAAATACCTAATTTTACGTACAACTAGTCCTCAAATAGCATCAAATTTTCATTAATAACATTATTTTTTATTATATACTACTCTTGAGCTTGTTTTGTAAATATTTCTCTTTTGTTATCAATATTTCTGAAGTAAGTGTTACTAAAAACAGCGTAAATATATAAATCAAGTTTTTAAGACATGAACCAAACCCAAGCCTTATATAAGCCTTAATATATATAATTAATAATTTAATATAACATTTTCATAACATTTAGTTATTGAATCCAATTATAAAGTCTGTGATCGAGGCTTAAGGTTTGCAACATTGATTAAAAACATTTTAATAACTATTTATTTATATATATAAAAATATATATATAACACTGTAATCATTTTAAAATACTAACAAAAACTACTTAAAAAATCTTGTAATAATGATCAAAAACATCATGATTTTTATTATTGTATTTATTTTACATTTTAGAAAATGAATAAATACTATGTAGTGTATAATATATATACAAATATAAATATATTTATATTTTTTGTAAATGCTTTTAAAGAAATAATAATAATTGATTAATAAAATCAGTCGATTAACTTGTATTTAATGATTTTGTTATCAAATAATACATAAATATGAATATTGAAGTCAATATTAATGACAAGTAACACATGAAACGCCTATTTTGACGATTGGATTGTAATAAACGGTTTACACGATTGCGACCATTGGTTAGAAAACCTAAATTACTATCAAAATCGTTGTCCTTTAACAGTGAAAGAAAAAACAAAATTTTGTTTAATAATAATCATTTATATTAACTATCTGTGTGTTAATATAATTACTAAATATTTTAAGCATTTATATATAAAAAATATATTCTAACAAAAAATAAACGGAAATAAAAATAGTTTTCATAACAAGATTACTATCACAGAAATACTACAAATATTTTGATAAATTCAATATATTTAAAAAAACAAACATATGTTATATAATGAGTCGATCTTAGAGTAAGATTAGGTAAGTGACGGATGGATTGGGAAAATAAATAACAAAAATTGAAAATATAATCAATTATTACCACTTCTTCTAATAGTCTGTTGTGTTCCTTTGTTTCCGTTTCGATATCGATTGCAAACTATAAATACAGAAAAAATTATGTTAATTAAAAATTTGTTGACTTTAATAGTATAAATTTAATTTGTTAAATCAAAATAAAATAATTAAAAAAAACTAAATAGTCAAAAATCAATCGTGTTTTTATAGTGACATTTAAACAAAAACAAAAAATTTTCAATCCAATAATAAATAAAACTAACAAATTTTTTAAGTAAAAAAATTAACGCAAGATTAATGCATTTATCAAAATTAAAAGATAAATAACTAAAAAACTACTATTAAAACAACGAAAAATAAATATAAAAATAATAAAATCAAAATAAAATCAATGAATCTAATAAATCAAATGATATATTAACAGAGCATAGGTTAGACAAAAATAAAAATATATATTAATATATTTCACCTAAAAATAGTTTAAAAACTTCAAGTTTTAAACAGAAAAAGTAAAAATATTTTTATGAACGAAATACATGATAACTAAACGTGACTTCCAGTAAAATAGTAAGGAATTGCTATATTAGGACTGACCCAACACTACCACTATGTTATGCATAAAAACCATTAAATAATATTAGGATTTATTATATACAGTAAAACAAAATACATGAAATGTTTTATTCATAAATTAATTTTACGCTTTAATTGAATGGCAACTGAGGGCCACATCTCTCTCTCTCTCTCTCTCTCTCTCTCTCTCTCTCTCTCTCTCTCCTAAACGAAAGAAATGCCTGATTTATAATGTAAAGCCTTTTTGTCGACCTGTTCTTACATTTCTATATCCAGTCATATATTTCTTATCAAATATAACTTTATATTTATATATATATATATAACTTTTTTCTGTGAGTTATAACTTATAACACCAAAAAAATTTTAGTTACAAAGTTAGTAAATAAAAGTCGTTAAATAAGTTGTGAGATGTCTTATGAGTGCATAATTTAATGTCGACTCAACAAAAATAATGTGATGTCATTTAAAGTGTTTCTTTAAAAATTTAAAGGAGAGAGAAAAACTTGGAAATCAAAATTAAAATCAATTTAAATGATTGCTACAAAAAAATTAATGCATTTAAACGATATGGAAATCAAGCGGTAAAACCAATTGATTGAAAAATTTATATATATTTAGCATTTTAGGAGATGCCTTAAAATTAATGACTAAACCATTAAAATGTAATCCATTTCCTTTGCATTGAACTCATTATGATATTTCACGTTTTGAATAATTAAACTAAATTTTCTTTAAATTTTCAATTGAAAATACTATATTTATTTGTGATATTCATTTCATAACAATAGAAAAAAGTTTAAAAAATAAATATAATAATGTTTGTTAATATTAATATTAATTTGATCATGTTTAAATAATTAATTTAAAAGTAACAAATATAAATTGAAAATGTCAGTCAATTTTTTTTATTACATTTATAAATTTACTATAATTATAAGCATAAGTATTAAATTCATTAAATTAAGCAATTTTGATACTGTATATAATAAATCAACTGTCTATAATTACAAAACATTTTATGCATAGAAATTATAGTTTTTCAAATCAATGAAATAATTTTATTCAAATTTAATTTAACGCTTAATTTGTTAATTCGACTTTTGTTTTAAAAACTCAGTGCTTATAAAACTATTGATTAAATAAAAAATATTGTTTGTTATCACTTAATGGGGTTAATAAAAATTGATAATAATTTGAGGTAAGTTTTAATGACTATTTAATTTTGAATCGCATCTTAAGAAACAGTAATTTGAAAGAAAAGCATATAAATTGAGAGATAAACAGAGCGTTACGTTTAAAAATGCATTTTATGTTTTATATCAATATAAATAAATATAAAAAATAAATGGGATTTCTCTAAATTATTGACAATTATAAAAATTATCATTAATTCTATGACTTCAAACTTGTTTAAAATAGTTTTAATAACAAATTCATTCAACTTAATGCATAAATTAAATTATACAGTACTTTACAGATTATAAATAATATTTTTCTAGTATATAAATTTCTAGTTTATTTATTATTAAATTATCAAAAAAAATAAAAAACTAAATTAATATAACAAATTGCTTATAATTGTAAATCAAATACAAATTTGTCACTATTTTCCAATATTTTATAATTTCCATATTGTTTATTATATTTGTTTCAAAGGTAAACAATGTTATAGATTAGATCTTAGAGTTCACTAAAATACGCTTAATATTAATAAAATAGGTTACGTATCTTATTTTGTAATATAAAATATTAATCATTATTATATATTATAATTTATATAAACAATAGTTTAAAAAATAGATGGTATTTTTTTAGAAATAAGATAGGTAGTCTATTTAAAAATAAATAAATAAACTTTACTAATGTTTTGGGTAAAAATCACAATTAGATTATGAATTTCTAAAATAATGACAAATCAACTATAAATTAATAAATTTTTTACCCTAACATACAGTAGTAATAAAAAATAAAGATATTTAATGTAAATATTATTATTAAACTTAATATTCAACAATTCTCTATTATTTAATCCGGAATTTATTATTACTGGTTATAAAAATATGATATTAATAATTAATATTTAAAATAATAACTTATTATAATTGTAAAATTTGTAAAGGAATATAATCTAAATTTTTTAAATGTTTTAAATCATGATAATGCAAATTACTGTAAAAAACCAATTTTATATATGAATATGGTTTTTAAAAATAATTTTTAAATATTTAAGTTTATTAAATAAATTCACAGACAAATGGTGTCATACTTTTACACAACAATTTCAAGAAAATTTAATTGCTAATTGTTTTTTTTCAATTAAAGTTATTTAATATTATTATATATTTATAACTAAATAATAATAAATTTTATAAACTATATTATATTATTTCAATATATTATTATTTACGATAATTGAAATAAGAAAATAAACTTTAAATACTTTAAATCCAATAATTGAAAAAAATTATTTATGATTTCATTTGAGAAAATAAAATATCATTTAATTGTTTTAGAAAACTTATAATAAATAATAAATTGTATTTTATAAAAAAAAAATAAAAGCAATCATAAATATGATTAGTAATCATTGATTACTATCTAGATATCTATTTTATTTAACTAATTATCATTTAAATGATATAATAAATCAAATAATTTGTAACATTTATACGAAAAAAAACTTTGAATTGAATCGAAATATTAAATTAATTCATATATTAATTAACATAAAAGTTATACAACTGTTTGATTGATTGTCTGATTATTATTAGTAAACATTTGAAATGACAACACAGTTATGAATCAAATGAAAACATGTCATACATTCTTGAGTGAAGATATCTTCTGCGCCAACCTATCAGTCCTCTGTCTATTGTCGGACTCCATCAGTCCATCAGACATGTGATCACCTAATCATAAGAAATGGTAATTAAATTAAAACATACAACAGATGTCATCAAATGATAATCAAGTTGTACTCACCTCTCATGATATCTCAGTGACGATAGGATCAGATAATCTTCGTTATGATGACAAACAAATTGGTTGATTGCTATCAAACTGACAATCAGTGGTCAAAAACTTGAAGACTTATCACTCAAACAACTGTCACAACATTACAGTCATCACATCATTGGTAATACATTAATGATGTGACAACTAATTGATTGTTTTTTTTATTACCACTAGTAATCAACTGATAAACAATAAATCCAAGATATTTGACTGATTGGATCAATTGGATCATTAAATCAGTTGATTATAATTAAAGTATAATTTAATGACAAAAATTAGTTTTATTAGTTTATATCTAAACAGTATTAATATGTCATGCGTTACGTTATTTATGACAAATAATTTTATCCTAAAAAGTGACGTAATCTATAAATTTGATGATTAGTTATAAATTATTTTTTTTTTTAAAAACTAAGTTTTTGGTCAATTGATATATTATATTGTTTTTATTAGGAAATTAGTTTAAATCGGTTTTAAATGAAATATAGAATCTAAAAAAAATTAAACTAACCATGTACATTTAGATAATGTTGAATTATAGATTTTTTTCAATGATATAAACAATTTCTAAAAAATTCAAAATATAAGTATATAATTATTATATATCTATTAATAGTATATTTTTTGTCATTAATAAAATAATTCTTATAAATTATGAATTTTTATAATTATTAAAGTAGTTTTAAGTGTTTATGATAGGGCACCCCCTGTGTCGCTGATATACTTTATAAAAATTCAATAATACCAATACCATTTTACTATTGAAATCAATGATAACATTAATTGATCCTAGCTCAACTTATTCTTTTCTATTTTATTTTTAAAATATTATATTATACATTCAATATACAATAGATTACATTATATTATATATTTTATTATTTTGTATATCACTTATTCAAAAAGTTTCAAAAACAGTTGAGGAAATATGTATATGAATTACTGTATATGATATAATATATGTGACAATATGTGAAAATTATAATTATACTGTAAACAATGTACTTAATAGTAATTATTATAATCATATCTAATTAAATTGCTTGAATAAAACAATTAACATTTGATACATACTGTATGATTATACTGTATTAAAGTAATCATAATAAATGACAACATAAGGTCTCTCATCATTCACATTGTGATCGTTGAACTTATCGTTAAATTAATGTATGAATAAATGTTAGAATATTCTAATATTAATATAAAATGTTTTATAATAACATATTATTCATATGATATTGACTTTGAAATAACATTTTTGCTGGTTTTTAATGCTTACTATTAATTAAAGTTTGAATAAAGTTTAACCGTTTAAAGTAATTCTAGTAAAAATAGTGATTTAAAAAATGTTGAAAAATTATTTAATTAAAATGCTAAATAAAAAATATATTAAGTCTATAGTCTGTAAAAATAATAATATTTCTATTAAAAAATCAAAACAAATGTCTTATTATAGATGAGATCATATGGTTTTGATGGATAGTCTCGACCTCCAACACAGTGTGGGGTATATATTGGCACCAAAAATATTTATGTCTAGAAAATTAATAATATATTTACATTATAGTTAAGTCATAATATGCTATTTTTTGTCCACAAAAATATCTTTATTTTGTGTAATTGCTATATCTTTACATTAACGGTAAATATCAATTGTAAGCCAATTATGTTTAATAAAGTTCACTCAATTGTTTGTATTGACTAAAATAAAAATTGTATGCAATTATTAAAACAGATGTCTGTTTAAAATGTGTAATAAAAAATATAAAATAACTTCAAAATAATTTTTGTGTTATGTTAACACCATTATGGGTGACATTTGGTTTTATTTTTTAATTTGTAATATTCTGTACCATTTATGCATATATATATATATATATATATATATATATATATATATATATATATATATATATATAATATTTGATTGACAATAAATAAAATTTACAAAACTAAAACAAAAAACAGTGAAAACTGAATTGCAATTTGAAATTACAAACAAAATAACTACAAAAGTTGTATTAACCACAAAAAAAATTATAAATTGATTACATGTAATGCATTATTCAAAATAAACAACTTTTTCGACAATAGTTATAATCATATAATAAATTATAGTATTATAATTGATAAAAAAACTAAATAAACTATAAGTACAGTACATTTGTAATGTTAACAATACATTAAATTTATTAGAAAGTTAGTCTACAATCCCGTTATACTGTACTATAAGGTCAGATCAAATACATGTAATAATATTGAAATAATATGCTATAAAAACAAATACATATGTGTTAAGTGTTTATATTAGTGAAAGTGTATGTGTAATGCTATAGCACTGTACGGTATAATGCAATACATGTATACAATACGTATATATATGAGAGTGTAATCTATGTTTCCGGTTCCCAATACAACATACAAATTGCGGCCATTTTTTGCCATAAAAGCCATTGAAATAAAGTAATACTGTATTTGATATTTAATATTGAATTCAATTGAAGTGTGTGTTCAATGAAAATACATTTAATTGTATGTAACGTATTGTCTATTACTGTAAATACAGTGACTCTCGAGTTATATATTAATATATGAATTGAATTTTAATAAATCATTTGCTATATAAACACACAAAAGGCAATAATAATTGTTATAATAATAATCGTAATAATAATAATATAATTGTAATCAAATAATACAAATAATAATAATAATACACTAATTGTAGTAATCATAATATTTTTGATGACATATTTGTTTTATTAATAATTTTTTAGTAATAAATTGTTTTAATATTTCAAATGATTATTAAAATCATAATATTTTGATGTATTCATTGATAAAAATAATACTAATTGTATGCGATTTTTTTGGACATCAAAACTAATTGTAATTATTTAAGTAATCAATTGTTTATGTGTGACATTATATTTAATTATTGATGATATTGAATGAAATACATTTGAGATAATATTATTAATAATACAAAAATGGCAAGGTGATTGGTCAAGGTAATTTATTTATTTATTTTTAAATAATATATATATACTATACTACTGTATACAGTATATTACTGTTATTATCAATACGTTATATAAATTACATAATATCTGTAACTGTTATGTCTATAATGAGATGATAGCTATTTGTTAAAACATTTGTTATACGATATCGCATATTATTTTTAATTAAATAATTATTATATTTTAATTAGTTTTATTTATAATAATATAATTTTTGAGGAAAAGTTTATAATAAACAAATTTTTAAAAGTTAAAAAAAATAAATATTTTTAAATATTTTATAATAATATTAAGTTCAATGATGTGATTTAGTAAATATAGTTCACATATTATTATTATTTACTTAAAATTATATCATGTTTAATCAAAATTTTAAACAAAAATTATATATTATTAATATATTTAATTATTATTTTTTAAATTTCTAGTAATTGAAAGCATCGATATATATATATATCATAGCATTGAATTGTGAAGCCTTTAATAATTAAAAACAAATTATAATATTAGTGTATACTTTGACACAATTCACAAATTTATTAACTGTTTTCCTGGTTTGGCTTATAATAAACCAATAATTTAATTAATATTATTATTATAATACAATGATAAATGAAATAATCTTTAAATAATTTAATAATTGACTAATAATCCAATATTACACCACAAGAGAGAAAACGATTTAATATATTAATTGGATTTCCTATTAGTTTTGGCTAATTTTTTTTGTCGACAATATTTGTATTAATATTATATTTGATGAAAAAAACATTAATCAACTTTGAAGCTAAATAATAAATATATATACTATAAAATAATAACATATTTAAAACACAACCATAAATGTCTGATTTACTGTTATAACAGTAATTATATTGGTTTTACTATTTAAAGACATATTTGTTTTACGGATAAAATAATTGAAAATTAAAGTATATTTCTAATTAATTATTAAATTATGGATAACTTATAATAACTAATAAATCAACAATGAATGTTAACTTATAATAATTATTAGTATTCAATGAATATTTGAAATATTTCGACACAATTTTTACTGCCTTTTGATATGAAAATGATTTAAATGATTTATTTTTATCATAAGTGTCTTAATGGACGTGCGATTATAGCTACAAATTGTTTTTATAATTTATAATTATTAATATTTTAATAATTTTTAGTCATTTTAATCAATAATTTTTGATATAAAATATTTTTAAAAAGTACATTAAAGTGTTAAGTGAATGATATAAAAGATTAATTGAAAGTTTGGATGAGTTGTTGAGTAATCAACAGTGAAAGCAATCGACAAGTTTTGACCGAAAGTCGAGACGAGACCTAATTATGGTCATTGTTTGGAGTCACTGATGGAGAGCCCCAACGCTCCGTTAGCTCAAGACTTCTTCACTCCCGCGTGGCTTAAATTACCGGAACCACAGCTCCCTAAGCGAAGTACACAATCTTCTCAATTAAATCCATTGTCATCAGGAGTTGATTTACATAACAAACGATACGCCAATTTTGGTCGAAAAGAGTTAACAAATAGCACAAACAGTCTGACAAATAGCGACCGATTTTCCAATCAATCACAAGATTCATCACAAACTTATTTAAGACATCACTCATTTGGAAGCGAACAACAATACAATGGATCCAATGGTTCTCATAATGTGAAAGGTTTTCGCGAAAAGAAATACACAGATTCTGGCCAACGGTCTCATCGACACAATTATCGCGAAAAGCCTAACAATGTCTATCATTCCAGTAATAAACACAACAGAAATGCCGACACATTTAAGAACTTTAATTCTCCGACCAGAAAGTCATTTACTAATAAACTAAATGACAACTATTTGGACAATGAATTCGAGGACAAGAGAGTAACCAAAGAACAGAATTCAAACAACGTTTTTAATCGGGAATTTCCATCGCTTGTCAACAATGAAGTAAAATGCGACCAAAAGGATGAACCACTCAATGATAACTCCAGTTTCCACAGCGCGTGGACTAACAGTGCCACCAAATCTAAAGTATTGAGTACATCGAAGAATTTTCAACTCATTCATAGTTCTGTTGCCAACTTTGATAACATCCATAACAATACCAAATCGGATGCCATCTCATCGGCCAACGCTTCAAAGCCATTAATTTCATCGGGTGTTTATCGCAACATATCTTTAATTGGAAAATCAAAGGCAGGAATCTTGAAGGAGAACACCATTTTTCCAAGAATTCAACCGATGATCACTAAAAGTACTGTTCAGACAACGACACCAACAATGGAAATATTAATGAAGAATCCGAAGAAACGCTCGAATAAAAATGATTTTTTCAATTCAATTCAAAATGATAACAAAGACAAGGAGATAGACAATGAAGTCGAAGAAAAACTTGAAAATCTTAAGATATCTTCTGACGACTTCAATAACATCAGAGAGTCGGAAGCCGTGAGAAACTCGGATCATAACCAAACTAATGGTGAAAATGATTTGAAAAATATGAAAAACAGTGAATATCATTGTCCACCACTCGATGATTATGAAGAACAAGATATGGGAGTTTTGTCGAGTTCTTTAGAAGCCGAACATCGGTTGCTTATGGAGTTGGGCTGGAAGGACGGTCACGACGACGATCCATCATATGCACCATTGACTGAGGATGAGGTCATGGAGTTTAAAGCTTCCATTAATGCGAGGAACGGTATGAATGGATACAAGAGGAACTTTATCAACAATCAAACCATTCAATTGAATTTAAGTCCTAAGAAATGGTCGACGAATGAAGAATTGGATGAAGAGTCGACCAGCAGTTCAGATGACGAGTGAATGAGGCTTTTAATTATTATTTGCAATAGTTTTCAAAAATTTAAAGTCATTGGATACTAAAATCTGTACAATTAATACTATGGTAATTGATATACAAATAGTTTAAATTATTGATTTTATTGTATATACATCTTTCAATTCAATAATTTTTGTCATATATTCACTTCAAAAATATATATATATTGATTGGAGTAATAGTTTCAAGCATTTCGAGTAAATTATTACTATAAAAATTATTAAATATTTAAGTTTTAATAAATGTTATATTATTTGAATGAATTAAATAAAAAATATTAACGCATAGCGGTATAAAAACAATTATATAAAAATTGTATAAAATGTTTTATCATTCAAATATGGATTGTCATTAATTTTATTTATTTATGTTTACATTTGGCCAAATGTGACACTACCTTAATATGTGATGCTGTAGGGGATAACCATATTTTTATGATAAATTGGGACAAAACACAAAATAATTTCACTAATTATTAATATTTTAAAGATCTTAGTCGATCACAAACTTAATTTACAGGTAATTATAATATTTTCAAAAATAATACTTATTTAGTAATAATTCAGAGAGACTATGAATTAGTTAAACTATTTAACTTTTATATAGTTATATTAAATCCAAATAATCACCTAATTATGTAAAATGCAGTAAAATATTCAATACTTTTATTTTGGAAAATTAGAATTTAATTTTAAAAACTTAATCTTTATTTTTTAAAATATTCTAATTTCATAATAGAAAAACAATTTTTGATACAAATAATATTTAATCATTTCAAAATATAAATAAAATGTATCAATGAGATTAATTTAGTATTTTTTGAAATAACAAATAATGCTATGTATACAAAATATTTACCGGTAAAATTCAATGTTCAATTTCACAAATAATTTATAATGTATAAAATAACTACTTAGATATACTGTATAAAATCTGTTACAAAATAGGCGGAACTAGTTTTTTGGTAATATATTTTCTCTGGATTAGAATTAAATGATTTATTTTGATTGCATTATGGTTTTTAGTAAAATATACAATCGTATAATTATTTTGAACATAGAGCACATGAATGCTAGCACAGGTATGTTTAATATCTCATAAACTATATGTGATATTGAACTTACCTGTTCTAGTATACCAGTTCTCATATACAGTACATTCATAGTACCGGTAGTAATAGAATTGACGGTTTTAAATAAAAAAGGCTCATAAACTAACTATTCTTATAAAAAATATACCCAATATTAATAATACCATAAATTTAGGTTATTATAAATGAATATAAATATCTATAAGCCTTTGTTAAGTAAATTTGGATACTTTACCTAAAACCAGTTGCAAATAAATTTTTGTTTATTCAATTGCAATCCAAAGAAAAGTTATTAATTACCACAAAAATAATATTACTGTAATAGTTTCGCCTATTTTGCAACCGATTTTATATATAACTAATTTATGATATAAACTGAATAGTTTAAGATTAAAACTTTTCTTATAAAAAAGTCAATTCAATTGATTATATCATAAAAATTTAGATAAAATTTTTATTTACGGATATCAAAATGTATGTTATAAATAGAAAGTCAATGATTTTTTTCATAACAAATGATTTAATTTAATAACTAAAATAATAATAAACTTTTCGATGATTTAAAAAATTTTAATACTAAAAATGTGGTCAAATTGGAGCAAAATCTATTTGAACATAGAATTGTTTGACACCTATTTGTGCAAATATAGAGTGTGTATGGCTTAAAACATATCGATGGTCGGCACTGTTGGACACTTCCACCTTCACTGACCCGATGTATGTCTCTGAACAAAGTGTCCAGAAATGTGGCTCTTGTATGCTAAGCACACCTTCCAATTGCATTACCTGTTGAAAACAAATTATTAAACATTTGCTGGAATTGATATAATTGTTTATAAAAATAACAAACCCGTTGATAACATGCCGGTAACATTGCGTCCAACTCTCGGGGTGTCCGTTGCATTAAAATACCGATGGAATCCCTGAGCAACGGGAAAACACTGAGTCCAACCAGAGTTGCGATAAACATAGAACATATGGGATCGGCAATCATCCAACCAAAGTAACTCATAAGAATCGCAGATACTATCACACCAACACTTCCCAGTGTGTCGGCTAATATATGAAGAAACACTCCCTGCATAATCTGCCGATGATTCACTCCGCCGTTACCACCACTATTGGAATGCTGATGACCGGCACCTTCATCGTGACTGTGGCCATGACCACCGTGTGAGTGGCCATTATGCGAATGATTTGAATGAGAATGACCGCCATGCGAGTGTCCACCGGTTTCATGTGAATGCCCGTGTGCGCCCCCGTGTTGGAAGACAAATATGCCGACCAAATTCACGAGTAAACCCAAAACTGATATAAGGAATAGTCTCTCGTGTTTTACTTCTGGCGGTTCAATGGCCCGCTCGACGGCTTCGGAAAATATGAAGAATGCAATAAATAACAAAAACAATCCGTTGACAAAACCAGCGATCACTTCTGCCCTCACATAACTGTAATTAAAATAAATATTAAATCTGTAAATCAATTGATGGATCAGTTGATCACAATTATTACCCGTAAGAAAATCTCTCGTTTGATCTCCACTTTGTAATCACAGATGCGGCCAAACCTGCTAACAGTGCCGTACAGTCAAAGAACATATGAAACGAGTCCGATATGAGACCCAAACTGTGGTGACAATCAAAGTGTCAAAATTATTGACATATTTTGTTGGATATATCAGTGAATCACCTGTTCGTCCAAATGCCATAAGAAAGCTCCACAAAAGCGAATGAGAGATTCAATAACAAGAAGAGAAATAAGTTTCTTGAGTTCGTGTCCGACAATATTAACCTATTTTCATGGTATCGCCGGTTAAGTGAGTGAATCAGTCATGTGATAGATAGACAAACACATACCTAAGCCATCCGTTGATCTTTTCTTTGATCCGGAAAGTGGTCGTAACTTTGTACTCCTTGTCATTGGAATAGATCGGTAACATTGGAGACCAGTCTTTAGTTTACTAATAAATGCCGAATAAGTTTTGGTTAACTTTTCTCTTGCAAACTGTCTGTCCTTAGCATTGGTTAAAACACTACACCAAACACTAATACTGTACCTACCAGTGCTTCAACATTATGGTACACATTGTGGTACAGCTGGCAGTCAACACACCAACACTTCACTGGTTTACAACACAAACATTATTATTAATAATGCATTTATTGAATATCAAACAGTATTTATGGACGTTATTTGTTCACTAAATCTATACGTTTGCAGAAACTTATCCAATACTTTCTATTAATCTTTAATTTTTAACCAAAAATAACGTCAACAATGTTTGCAAACCCCAAATTTGTTTAGTTATTTAGTTTTGAGACTATTATTATTGACTAAACAAATGATAATAAATAAACACATCAAACGTCAATGAAATGTGTCCACAAATATTTGAAATTAATTTCAATTGAATATCAATTAATTGAATTTTTTAAAAAAATCAAAATTATTGTACAATTTGTTTATAATTATTGATAAATTAATTGATGAATTTGTCAGTCTATCCATATAATAATATACAATAATATTGCGGTTCATTACTGTACAGTCAGTGCAGCTTTTATTGATGTATGAGTTGATTGATAATAATAAATGATTGAAACGATTGTAAATTTATTGTAATTTTGTATTAAAAAAAACATTAATAATATTAATACATGTGTTGTGTTGTCAATGATTTCATTGATTGTCAATTGATTGCCAACAATGAGTTGTTTTTGTTAAGTACTGATTGAATGGAAGTTGAAATAAATATAAGAAGTAATCAATAAATTGAGTGCAAAATTGTTTTAATAATGAGTTATTGGATGACATCAACAGTGAAGACAATAATCAAGTCATCGATAGTGACCAATAAGTATGAGATCGTCAATGGCATCAAATCTGATGAGACGATTGTTTGAAATTAATTCAATTCATCGTTTTCTTTATCCGCCGATTGTTGCCAACAATATTGTCCGCTGTTATCGATTTACACCACAAATGTCTGCCAACAATGAAGACCAGTCGTTGACTGATCCCATCGAACCATTCCGACCGAAGACAGCTCTCCTTTTGACAAAGTTTTCCAGATATGAGTTCGAGAAGAAACGCAATCCCGGACTCAATGAGGAAGAGCTCAGTAAAAATGTATGTCTTTGTTGTCCACACTTTTGTCATTCATTTTTCTTTATTGTCATTATATTTGATTAATATTTCCAATTACTTGGTTTACAGTTAGAAAGTCGTGGAAGTGATTACAAACGATTGATATCACATCATAACATTCATAAGCAAAGTCGGGAACATATTGTTGAATGTCTTAAGAAAGCCAGTGTTGAAGTACGAGTTGTCAGCAGAAATGAATATAACGATCAAAACATCGATTGGGCGGATGTTATCATAACCTCTGGAGGCGACGGAACCTTTTTAATGGCCGCCTCTAAGATTAATAATTGCAATAAAGCTGTGATTGGAGTCAATAGTGATCCCAAACGATCGGTCGGCTATCTATGTCTACCGAAACGATATTCAAATAATTTCGGTGAAGCACTTCGTCTACTCAGCGACGGACAGTTCAGATGGAAATATAGACAAAGAATTCGTATAATACTTGAGTCAGAAAATGCAAACGAAGAACCCATTGAACTTCATGATCAACAACTCAAATGTCCAGAGAATCGCTTCTTAGAACTCGATGCAAGTCATGATTCGAGAGACTCGAAGATTAAAAAGAACACAAAGACTGTGAAAAAAGTTTTACCGTATAAAGCATTAAATGAAGTCTTTATCGGTGAAGCAATTTCTTCTCGCGTCTCGTACTATGAGTTTGCAGTCAACGAAAACAAAATTAAAGCCAAACTTAAGAGCTCAGGCCTTACTATAAGTACTGGCACGGGATCGACCTCATGGTTCTTCAATATAAACAAAGTGACGCCACAATGCATTCAGAGTTTGTTTCAGATAATAAACCAAGAGATCGATGGACAACATTTACCAGAAAATGACAGTCAAGTCATAGAAAGAATAACCAATAAGTTTAATAATTCACTTATTTTCGATCCCTCCGAACCATTGATGGCTTATGCTATAAGAGATCCGGTAGTATTTGGCACAGAATTCCACAGTAATCCGCGGGGTTTCGCTAAAAACATAACTGTTAAGTCACGTATGATTGACGCAAATATTGTCATCGATGGCGGACTTTCTTATAAGTTCAACGACGGCGCAAATGTGTCACTTCTTATCAATGAAGAGGACGCACTCCGGACTGTAGTCTTACACGAGTGATAACCGTATAAAATGACACAAATTTTGTTATAAATGATTACAAAAAGTATATAAATTTTTATATCTCGATATCAATATTATCGGCAAATATTCGCAACATTTCTGTTTCAATTGGATGTAGTTTTCCGGGGATTATCACTGAATGAAGTGGTTCTCCCATATCTAATGACAACATGTCTTTCAGTTTACAAGTCTTTATGCACTGATTATCGCAACCAATTCTGGCCAATGCTATGGCCACAGATGTATCGTTCAATAAATCCGTCGGAAATTGTGGTCTCATTTCAATGATATCGAGTAACTGTTTGGCCGCAACAGTGACACTCATATAACGGGGCGGTTCGTAGACAACCTTTCTTTTCATCATTGCTTCTATGGACTGCTCTTTTACTTTAATATCTTTCAATAAAAAATATTTAATTTTAAAATGTTTAGTCATTTTAATAAATATTTTAATTTTTTATACATGCATTTAATTAAATAAATAAAATTTAATTATAATTTAAAGTGATTATCATAAGTGAAATACTGACCTAAAAGACAAAGTGTATGTAAACCGGACCTTAAGTTTGACAAAATTTTATCCATAAAGCTGTCGGGTCTCCAGTTGTCTGTCCAGAAGGGGATCGAAACAATTTCGCCGAAGTTATACAACTGAAGACCTGCGGCACCGCATGCGTTGATTATCGACGCGTTATGTATGAGTCGGTGCTTAACACCCTTCTGGTGCGCCCGTAATATAAGGTCTGTATGTGTGGTCGCACTGTCCACAAGACAAATAAAATCAGTCAATGTAATCACAATACAAATTAAAATTTAATACCCGAGTGGGTCTCCGACCACTAAAAAGGCTATATCATTAACAACAGCGTCTTCCAGTATCTCATCAGCCGATTGTTCGACAAACAGACGGTCACTGACCACAACTTCTCGACCATAAAACTCTTCCTGCGATCAAATATATGGTATATTTGTTTGCAATCATTTCAATGCCTTACCAGCGCTTCTTTACTGACGGATAGTATGGAAGTGTATGACTCGAGATATACACGTTTGGCACTCCTGACCACTTCGAGACCCTTTACGGTGATATCTTTAGCGTCACCCAAACCCAAACCAATCAAATATAACATGATTTGATTGAAAACAATTAGTTTATCTAAAACAACCACCGATTCATTCAAAATAATTTTAAACTCTTTAAAAGCCACAAAAATATCACTCAATGACGTCCACAACTACGACAACCCCTCAATTGGTAGAGTAATACACCTGTTGTTGATATGGATGTGTCAGTGCTATAGCACCGGTAGTTTATTAGTGAAATGTAAAAAACAAAATTTCATTTATATATTAAATATTTTGTTTAACAAATAAAAAGTTTTTTTTCACACAAATAAGCAAATGTTTGGTTTAGTGATTGTGTTGAATGGGTTGACAGTCATGAGCTGCCGGTGCTATACAAACCATTGATGACTACATGGTTATGATATATGACATCACTTATGGTAATATAGCGCACACACCGTCACTGACACCCAGTAATAGTGCCATAAAAAACAATATTCAACTCTCAATAAGGGATCTAACAATCATAGCATACATAAGCTGTAAAAGCATTGATATGTGTTGTTGTTATACAATAACATACAATACAGTCGTATATTAATTAATATAACACTTGATTTGTGTTGTAATGTATTAGTAGTGAAATACTTCATAACATTGTATTTATGGCATTGTATTAGTAATTAAAGTGATTGTTGTTTATAACCATTTGATAGCATATTATTAGTCATATATATAATACAAGACTGTAATCAAAGTGTGGTTAAGACAAAGTGGTCATAAGTGACGACCAGACCATCGCTACCATTGATGGACTCATTTGTTGATATTTGACTCAACCAATTGTGTCAATAATATCACATCCCATAAGATATATCATCACTTGAGTTGTCAATCACTTTCACTAAACAATCAAAAGGCATAACAATTGCTGTCATCACTTGATTGTCACTACTTTGTCATTGACTGCTATTTTACACAAGAAATTGACATATTATCACATTTATTGGTAATTATGACAATAATGATGTTATTGCCATTTAATTGATGACTAAAAGATGTTTTATTTGACATATAGTCGATGTCATTGGTTTAGCACTAATCCAAGGCTTATAATATAAGTCTAAATCCATCAAAAAAAGACAAGTGTTTGTTATCATTGTCTAACTTATAAATCATATTTAATTTTGTTTAATTGCCATCAAAATCATCTCAAGTAATGCCACTCTTCGGCAAGTCATCAAAGAGTCCGTACGACTTAATAAAGTCGTTGTCAGAGGCGTTGACAGCACTGGAAAAGGGCGACAAAAAGGCCGATAAGGCTCAGGAAGAAGTATCAAAGAATTTGGTGCTAATGAAGAACATGTTGTACGGGACTAATGAAACGGAGCCACAGACTGACATAGCAGTGGCACAGTTAGCTCAGGAACTGTATAATTCAAATCTGTTGTTATTATTGATAAACAATTTGTCGCGTATCGAGTTCGAGGCCAAGAAGGACGTGGCGCAGGTTTTCAATAATATATTGCGCCGACAAATCGGCACCCGATCGCCGACTGTAGAGTACATGTGCACTAAACCAGAGATATTATTCACATTAATGGACGGATACGAGAAGCACGACATCGCACTTAATTGTGGATCAATGCTTCGGGAGTGCGCCCGATATGAAGCATTGGCTAAAATAATGCTTCAATCAGAGGATTATTATAAATTCTTTGATTACGTGGAAGTGTCGACATTTGATATCGCATCGGACGCCTTCTCGACATTCAAAGAGCTTCTAACCCGACACAAGAGTTTAAGCGCCGACTTCTTAGAGCAGAATTACGACCGATTTTATGGTTGTTATCAAAATTTGCTAAATTCAGGCAATTATGTGACTAAAAGACAGTCACTAAAACTATTAGGCGAACTATTACTGGACAGACATAACTTTACAGTAATGACCCGTTATATCAGTTCACCCGATAATTTAAAGCTAATGATGACAATGTTGAGAGACAAGTCTCGAAACATACAGTTTGAGGCGTTCCACGTGTTTAAGGTGTTTGTGGCCAACCCTAATAAACCCAAACCCATACTCGATATACTATTGAGGAATAAGGATAAACTCGTCGAGTTTTTAACCAAATTTCAAACCGATAGGTCAGACGATGAACAGTTCAACGATGAAAAGGCTTATCTTATAAAACAAATACGTGAACTCAAACCATTAGATACCGACCAAAATCATTGAACACATCTTTAAATTAATTAATTATTATTATTATTATTATTATTGTATTATTAATTATATTTGAATTTAATTCTTAATAGCATTTTTTAAAAAAATAAGTGAAAATTGAAAAGTGATTTATTATTAATTGATTTGTTTGTTTGAATTATTCATTATAAATGCCTAACATTTTTTAATGTTTATTAAACAAAAAATGTTTGCTATAGTAAAAAATAAATTTTAAATAGATTTTAATTTAAGAAAAAAAATTAATATCTTATTAATATTTGTATTATTTTTAAATTGTTAGCTTAATATGCAGTAGTTATTAAATAAATTGTAGGTAAAATTAATATTATTTTAGATCAATATAATGAACTATCATTTAACCGGATAATAATGGGTTTCCTATTTGTTTAATAATAATAATATAAAAATAAAAAAGTGAAAAATTACAAGAGATACTCATAAATTTCATATACAATAAAATGGGTAAATGTTTTATGTATTATTTCTGTTTATAAGCGGATCATTAAATAAATGAAAAATATATAGTGTTTTATAAACCATATAAAAGCCATTGATTTGTAAAATGAATAAATAAAAAAAGGAAAAATATTTGTTGTATAAAAATTTTATTTTATATCATCATTCAAATAAATATTACAACATTTTTTAGCAAATATTTTGATGAATTTTTTTTTTTATTTAATTCCATATAAAACAAACTATTCAATTGAATTGCAAATATTTTCCCCTTATTATAAACTATTTAATTAAATATATTTATATAAAAAGCTAATGAATAAATATTGAATCAAAATTCAAATATAAGTTATTTAAATTAATGTTTGATTCATTTTATATGTGTTTGAAAATTTTATTACTAAACTATTTTAATAAATCAAAAATCATGAAATAAAATTTTTTTATTGAAAATTTAAACAAACATTTGGTTAGTAAATTGTTCTCCTAATTGTTGTCATAAACTTAAATGTTATTTATTTATTTCAATATATAAATAAATAGTAAACAAAAATATTGATTAATAAAGTAAAAAATTATACTAAAAATATTAATTACAGGTATTATAGGTATATATATATTACTTATTTTTAAAAGTATCTTAAATTATTTTCCACTTTCTCGGAAAAATTTGGGAAAATCTTTACATACACTGACCAACCTTTACATTGAGTGTCTCGGCGTCTCTTTGACTGAGTGTCTGTAAATAATTTATTATTAAAAAAAATTAGTAAATTAATGAACAAACACAGCATAACACTTAACTCCACCCAAATTTAGTAAACCCCACCCAAAATGTAAATGTTTTAAACTGGGTACTTTTTTGCTCTAATACATTTGATTATATTAAATTTATAATTTTATTTTATACTCACAATTTTTTATTTAGTATAATATAAATTATATAACTATTGATAAACACTCAGCCAAAGTGACGCCGAGACAGACAAAGTAATAACAGTATTCATCACATATACCACTACTTTGTCTCTAACTTTATCTTTAAGTAATATATATTTTTCTCTACAGAATCACCGCTAATATTAATTATTCGTCAACTCATCGGTAAGAGACTAAAAAGTTGCTGACCTTCGGGGACCCGAACCCTAAATCTTTGAACCAAAGTTGTGTGCAATGTTTAACATACTATGCGCTAAATCTAAATACAATTTAAAGAGCTGTTAAAAACAAGACAAACTCATAATATTAATACAATATTGAGTATTGTTTGGCATTCATATAAATTATCAAATAAAATAAAGTCTTGATATTTAACCAAAAATAGCAAATGAATTTTATTTAATTAAATTTATACAATAAATATTCAAATATTACTAAATTCATTTAAGTGAACCATTAAGGATTATGAATTTGAATAAAAATTATTATTATTTTCTAACCAAAAATAATTGCATAATAATGTATTTTTCTTATTTTCTTTGAAAATTAATGAGAATTTATATAAGAAATTTTCAATGAATTGTTTTTGTAAATTTATTTAAATTTTTAAAATTAATATTTGAAAAATGATTTTATAAGATATATTTAACCAAAATAATGTTTCTATATTTAATATTTATTTAAAAATAATAATAAGAGATATACTGTATAATTACTATATATGATTATACATATAATTAATATTACATTTAGCGATAAAATAAATAAAATATAAAAAATTGTTTATTACAATTTTATTGCTATTAACATATTAAAAAATAAAATTTTATTTTATGATAATTAGTGTGACAATATAAAAATCATTAACAGCCTTTAAATACAAAAATTTAATATTTGTTATTAATAATAGTGAATACAAATTGTATGTTTAGATTCAATAGTGTGTGAAGTAAAGTATAATATTATATAAAATAGTTGACAAATGATTGGCACAACACAGCCATAAAGTGATATAAGTTTTATATAGTTATCCAAACGTCAACCAAATCTCTCAATCGAGAAGCTCTTTGACGCTAAACTAATATCACATCAAAATTGCTTATTTTTGTTGATATTGTCTTATAATAATAAATTTAAATTGTTGTTAATTTTATTGATGACCTGTTTATATAAAATAAATATATTGTTAAAATTATACTCTATTTATGAAAATGTGTTTTTTAGTGACAAATAATGAGAGTATTTTATTTGTTTTTAATTTATGTCTATATTTTGGTATATTTAAAATAATTATAATAATAATTAAAAAATGTTTTAATATAATAATAATGTAACAAATGATACATAAAAATAGCTGATTATATAATTTATTTAAAAAAATGGTATATCCTATCTAATAGTCCTCATCATATTTGACACCACTGGCCATTTCAGAGTTGAATGTTCCCAACGAAAATCCTGTCGGTGCGTAAGCTGCGGATCTTACACGACTGGCCTGAGCTGATGAGCCATAATTAGATGACGGAGCGGACGCTGCGGCAACTCTGAAGCTAGCGATAGGAATTCCAAGCGAACGGCTGGGATATGACACTGGTTTTGCCGCCGACTGAACCGGTCTGTATGAGGATAGGGTGGCTGATGATCCACCAGACGATGATGCGGATGATGGGTAGCTCGAGCTCGATAGTGAACCTGCATATTGTGAGGACGGGTAGCTCGATGTTGGAGATGAATAGCTATTTCCTGATGGTGTGTAATCTCCTGAAGTGTCTCTGGAAGTAAAGCTACTGCCAGATGAAGGATAGCTATCATAACTATCAGAGTCTGAATCAGAAGAGAAAGACGATGAATATAGACTGGGAGTTGAATAAGTTGATGGTCTGGCTGTGGGTTTTGGCTGAGATATTGTTGAATAAGAGGGTGAACTATAGGTCTGTGGTGATGCCGGTGCTCTGGCCACTGCTTGTTGTTTATAGACCGGACGTGAGACTGGCTGAGCAGCTCTGGCTGGTGCTGATGCTGGATATGACTGATAGGAAGATGGATAGGAATCGGATTGAGATCTAGTATTTCCTCGGGGCTCATATGAGTCGTCATCGTCTCTATAATTATACGGAGAAGCAGCCGGTCGTTGGGGTTGACTTGGAGGCAATACTTGTGACAAAACATCGCCACCAAAATCAAAGCCTTCCGGATAATAGCGTTGATGATAACGAAGTGTATTATTAGGTCCTCTTTGCTCTAATGGCTGAAAAACACAATATAAATGTTTAGTTTATTTAATTAAGAAAACTTAATAATAATAAATTGATAAATACTTTGTAAAGATAATCATTGACGACATGATATTTAGATGATTGGGTGCAAATATCTTGAGCCGCGGGCACACAATTTAAGTGAATTTGATGAAAGACGGTATTTTCCGGACACATCCAACTATGCTTAGCACCGCCGACACAGTAATGAAATACTTGACACCCAACACTTTGTTATATAAATTTAATATAAAATATGTTTATTAATAATGTTTTCATATATAATACAATTAAACAATTAATACCTTTCATCGGCATAATAGCCATCCTTTTTGTCGCCGCACGAGAACTTGGAGTCCTGAAGAAGTAGTGCCAGTTTGTCGGGCTTTTTATCTTCTTCTTCTTCAGCCAAACGCTTGGCTTCGTCATCGTCTTTGTTGTTGGAATCACTGGAACTGCTTCGGTACACCTTTTTATATAAAATAAATAATTAATGAATTATTTAAAATTGAATTAGTTTTTAAGCAATAATTATTTTGTTTAAACTACAATTATTATTGTTCAAATATTATTATTTTTTTTATTATTTTTTATTATTGTTGTATATATTGTATATATTATTAAAGAATAAAATAAATATGTTATTCGTTAAATAAGTTAAATTTTTATATTTTTTCTATATTTTACATATTTTTGTGTTTTTTATTCATGTATGTATGTATGTTAGTGTTAAATGTATTGTTCATTGAATTTATTTGTCTGATTGATACAGATCTGCTATCGATAAGTGTTTCAATGTTTTTAAAAAATAATATAATAAGCATAATTTTTATGTAAAATATTTCATTAAAAAATAAGATTTATAACACTATTCACGACTGTGTTATTTAAACAAAAATTTACATTTGTTTTGTTAATAGTGTAATAATTTAAAGAAGAAACTAAAAAAAAAAGTTTTTACTTAAAGAAAAAAGTCATTATGAGAGAGATGTATATATATACGTGTGTGTGTGCGAGAGAGAGAGAGAGAGAGAGAGAGAGAGAGAGAGAGAGAGAGAGCCTCTGAAGCACTTAATTGTCAAAAAATGAGTTACAATTGTATTTGATTTTTAACGATAATAATCAGTTTAAAAATCATAAGTAATTATAATATAATACATTAACAATAGTTATATAGAAAGCATATTCCACTCTAATTACGATTTATATGTTTTTCAGCAATGAGTTTAATATCGTATACATAATTTGATAATTATAAACAATTAAAATCAAACAATAAGAATCATAATAATTATTTATTAATATTATATAGTTTTGTGTCTTCAATAACTTTAAGCAAATATTTTATTTTTCTATATAAAATGCCGATTAATCTAAATTATATAATTTTATAGCACATGTAATTCATACAATTTTAATTAATTAAATAACAGTGAAAGTCTAATAAACATAAATAACTTAATTGGTTATGGATTAATAATTTCAAAACTACAATAAATAATATTTATATAGTTAGATTTGTTAGATTTTAAATTATTTAATTAACAATTGAATTCAATAATAATAATTATTATAATTGATTTATAAGCACAGATGCATTTAATAAGACTACTTGTTTTTATAATTAGATATTTTAATATCGATGAACTCTTAAAAAGTAGATGTGAAAGTAATTACTTGTTTTTTAACTTTTAACATACTATTTGTGAAAAACTATAAAAAAGCAACAAAAAAATGCTTTTATAAAAATAGCACTTTTTGTAAATACTATTAATATGTTACTACTATGTTGTAATAATTTATGCAATTAGAGTTACTGTCAATATCTAAAAATACAGTAACTTTTAAAAAAAATCAATTGACTGACTTTTTTCTAGTATATGTTTAACAAAAATATAATAAATAATTGCTCGCAAAATATGTGATTAAAACATATCAAATCATATGAATAATAGGCTTAATGTAAATAAATAAAGGCGTTTTCACAGCTTCATGTGTTAAATAATAATTTTATAATTTCATATATTAAATTTTTAGGTCAAATTTGATATTAAATATATAGTTTAAATTATTCAATAAAATCATTGTTAGGCATAATATTATAAAAAGAAAATAAGAGCTAATAATTGAGAAAGTAAGTGACAATTTATTTTTAAGTATAGACTATTTTTTCTTATATAGTTTATAAATTATATATCTATAGAATAATTAATAATTTTTATTATGTTTTGAATATTAAGATTTAATTTTCTGATTAAAAATTATATCAATAAAATAAAAAACTATAGTAAAACTATAGTATAGTTATGTTATTTAAAAAAATAGTCTTACAGGTGCTCTCGATCGTGTGGGAGCAGCTGATCCAGAAGTAGATCTATATGAAGACGATGGCGAGTACTGTCCTGAATAGTCTTGTGGATCACTTATAGATGGGCTATATGTCTGTGCAGCGGCCACTCTGGCCACTGGATCGTACTGTTCAATGAGTTCCTCGTACTGGGCTTTTCTAATTCCAGGAAATTCATAATTAGTAGCTGTGGTAGAGGTTTGCCGTTTGTTCTGTAAATTAATTGACTTATTAGTTGTTTGTTTTGTGAGACATGATTTGGTTTATTGTTATTATATATATACAAGTAAATTGGTTTTGGATTAGATTCATGCAATTATGTGGGCAGTAGTTATTAAAATTGATTATATTTGCTGTATATATCATATATATATATAGAGCTAACAGTTCCGGATAGGCTATGCTTAGCCTCACTTACCCTTTGATTTGCGGAAATTTGGCAAATTTGTACTCCAAATAGTATGGCGAGTGTCGACAATAGAGTTAACTTCATTGTTAAAAGACTATAAAATAAATATTTTAATATTAGTATTATTATTATTAATGTATTGTATGTTCACTGACACAATTCATGACATATGCTTTTTATATAACTTATTAGTTTTGAGAGTAACACTTTCGGACACTTTTTTATAATTTAACATTTTAGACATAATTAGTAATTATTTTTACGATTACCTGTAGATCACTAATAATATATCACAAATTTACTTGTTTTACTAACAATACTACAAACTAAACACTAATTGTTTTATTTTCAATTTTTGGTATTTATTTCACAACATATTATATATATTGTGAGATTTAAAAAAATAAAAAATAACACTTATTTTGTTTTATGTACAAAATATTAAAATTAAAAAATTAATTACTTAAAAAATTCAATTAATTTAGGAATTTTTTCAAATTATATTCAATAATAATTAATTTAAACTTAACATTATGCAAACATAAATAACAATTAACATTATATTATTGTATTATTATATAATTATATATTGTATTAATATTATTTATATAATTGGCTATTAAAATAATGTAATATATTTGTAATTAAATAAGTGTTGCTAAAATGTAAAAACATATTTATTAAATAAATTAATAATTGCAAATAATATATTAAATGTGCATAATATTTAATATAATAATAATAATAAATTAAATAATATTATTAAAAAATATTGTTTAATCCTTAATATATACAATGCATTATTTTTTAATCAACTATTAAAAATTTTATAGTTAATATTAAATATAATATAAAATATTTTCAAAATTTTTTAGTTTCTTTATAACATGTCATTCAATGTTTATGAGATGACATTAAAAAACATTTAAATAATTATTTAATTGAATTGATTAGTAATTATTGGAATAAAATATTTACCGTATAATTAGTTGATATCCGGTTGAATAGCTATTGAAGTGACCAAATAGTTTGACCAAAAAATATGTAGAGGAAAGTCAGTCAGCACTTCCTGATTGCACTGTTATATATTGAATGGTCTGCTCTATAACTATCACTATCACTGTTATACCGAAAATAGTTGGACTCCTATATCACAACAGCAGTTAAGAACCAGACGAAGAAAGGACTCGCATTGAAGTAAACGCCTTAACAATCATTACTTAACTTTTTATAACAACCACTGCCAGCACTGACAGCACCCGTAACTCGTTGTTGGCCTACATTTTTGGGTACATTTGGCGAACTTGTAATGCATTCAAATTATTGCACTTTCTGTATGTACTGTATATATCATACGATATATACTTAACAATGAATCTAATAATCTTTGGGTTACTTTACTTAACTAAACAATCTTTCAGTGATTGATAAATGAAGCCATTTATATAAAACAAAAGATAGTGAAACACAATTATACTCAATAAATATGTAATCTTTAAATAATTTGTTTATTATAAACTCAAAAAAATGTTATGATAGTTATACACAAAAATATAGTTTTTTTAAAATCAGTACTTTTTAAATGTAATGTTTTTTGCTTTATTCTGTTATCAAAGATATAGAGATAAAATCAAAATATTTTCAATAATAATTTCAATGGTTTTCTATTTGCATAATTAATTAATAATAAACAAGTTTTTAATTGTAATTATTTTATTATATGAGTCAAAAAAACATAAAAAACAAATTATTATTATTATTCCACCCTTTGAAACCTATTCATGTAATAGGTATGAATAATAGACATAATATAATATGATATATTAAATAGTAGTTTAACTAAATTATTATATGAAACTTAATGAAAATATGCTCCCAAATAACTTAATTTCATACCACACCTATAGCTTATTTTGTTCAAATTTTCATTAATAACTATAATATAATATGAAAATATTTTTTATTTTTCTTAAAAAACTAAATTCACTTTTATGTTTACTTTTTTACGATTATAAAACAGAAACTAAACATAAATATCAAAAACACATCAATTCATGTGAAATCCGTTTATATCCTTAAATTGGTTTAAAAATAAATTTATATTTACTATATTTATAACATATATAAATTAGTATCAGTCTATAATAAAATATTTATTTTGAGTTTTTTTAATTTAAAAAAAAGTTAATATAAAAATTACTAGTTTTTCATCAAGAATTCAAAGACCTCTAAGAGAGCGACAGATTTAGTGATATTTACCACTTGAATGAATACACACACCGTATAACATATTAGGCATGATTTTGGTGTCATATGAATAACAATTATGTTTTTTTGTTAATATATATTATAAGAGGATTTTACAGTCAATTTGTTTTTGTTGCATAAATATTATTGAAATAAATTTTAGTCAAAAAAAAGTTTAAAAAAGTAAATTAGCATGGATTAAAATAAGTATTTAAAAACATCAATTTATTATAAATATATTAAATAATATCTTTTTTGGCAATTGATCCGGAAGTTAGATATAAACACACACACACACACACACACACACACACACACACACACACACACACACACACACACAAACAAACACACAGGAGTGGTCAATAAATTTATATTTATGTATGCATTTAAATTGAGATTTTCATTTTTTATCATATTATATCTCTTAATAAGTATTCAATATTATCAATACTGAATAACTCAGTGGGATTACTGTTAGGGCTGAGACACAGTTACTGTAGTCTAACAATTAACTATCAATTGTTAAACTATTGATTTTTTTGGAAAAAATAATTAATATACAATGTATAAGGAAATTGAATAATAAGTTATTATTAATGTACAGTAAATTAAAGTTTAGATATAAATAAAGATGAAGTCTTAGAGATTTAAAAATAAATATTAATTTTTTAGCATGTCTATTTTAATTTGTAATCTTTGAAACTATTTTTTAAATAAAACATAGAAACTAAAAATTATAATTTAATTAAAAACTTTTTATTTATTTTATGATAATAAATAAACACTTTTTAAATTTGAACTAAAATTATAATAGTTTCCAATTACTATTTAAAATAGTTGTTAATAACTATAGTGTATTAAATATATGTGTATTTATAATATATTCTATATTTGTCTGTCATTTTTATAACTCATGATATCGTAAATATTAGTCTTATCTTAACTTAAAGTTTAAAAAAATAAAAAAAATTATTTTCATTTCAAGAAAGTTGCTTTAAAAAACAGTTATATACAGTTTATATAATATTTTCTATGAATACTAAATGTAAATATAAAAATAAAATTTAATGCAAAACCTGTGGCTTTTATGCTATATAAGATTTAATTGAATTTAATAACTTATTTTTTCAAATATTGTACTAAAAAAAGTTATTCAAATAGTAAATTATATTTTGCATCACTTCTAAAAATGGTTTTAAAATGAGTCTTAAAGTCTTATCAGATATCTTTTAATTAAACGAAATGTTATTAATATATATATATTATAAATTTATACTGTATATACTGTATATATATATATATTAAAAGCAACAATTATAATGGTTATTATTTATATAAACGCAACACAATTACGTGAGAAACTCTTATTGTTAATTTCTATTAATATAAGATTACTAATTTTAATAACAAATATTTCTAATTGTTAACTAAAAGATAATAAATGTTATCTTTATTATATTTATTAGAAAAATATAAACAAATGTTTACTATTACTATAAAATTTAAAATCCTAACATAAGTTTGAATGTGTGTAGAGATATGTATTGATGAGACAGGTGTGTGGGACAGGTGTCTGTCATTGTGTCAGTGTGTCAATTGCATGATTACATTAACATTTGTAGACTTATAGATATATAATCAAATGCAAACATTTAACTGAATGGCAATGTTTATGAATGTGTCTATAATTTAAGTAATTTATGTCAAACAAGTTTTTTTAGTCCAAAACTTTTAATCTCAAAAAATCTGAGAAAAGAGAAATAAAGATCTCATTTTTGTATAAAACAACTGTACGGAAGTACATATAAACTCATATAGTATACACTTATGTGTTTGATATACATCTGATACTTATATATATTTTATATAAAAATTTCATTCAATGAATTAATAACAATTTTCAACAAAATTTTATTTAATAAAAAAATTATTTTACTCAAAGATAAATAAAAATGATGTCTAAAAAGCCATTAATATATGAATTTTCATGAATACGTGTGTTTCATGTATTTAGTATACACTTTCATTAGTATTCACGCAATGTTTTATGTGATTTTGTTGCTGTTATTATTGTTACACATTTGTTTTTTATATTATTAAAAAAATATTTAACATTTACATTTAACACAAATATAGAGGACAATGAAATCTAACATAAATACAAAAATATTGTGTAAAATAATGTTAATAAAATACAATTTTTATTGGTGCTATAATTACAGTAACTTAAATATAACTAAAAACCAATTTATTAGTTATCAAACAAAATAATTCAATGCCAATGAGTGCCTCAAGTGTTTATGATTACTAATTTTTGTTATTTTTGCTATTATTATATTAGATATTATGTAAAAATAAATATTTTCAATCATACATGTATTTATATTTAAAAGACTAGAAAAATGAGTTTTAAATGGATCGATAACCGATTAATGCATTATAATTTGTATTGTTTTTCATAGTTTTATTATATTAATATAAAATATGTTTCTATAAAACTTTTAATTACATTATGTGATTTGTCTGTTTATATACACATTTATTTTTATATTTAAAATTATAAATATAGATTAAATAATTATTTATAAATAGCTTTTTAATGTAATTAATATAATTTATGTATAGCTTTTTAAATATCTTTTGTTTAATCTAAAAATTATTATTTTCATTTATGACGAGAAAGTGAAATAATAACATTTATAAAAATTGTTAACCATTATATTTCATTATATTTTATTGTTTTTAATTAATTTTAATTATACTAATATGTTTATACTTATGCAAACATTAGATTATTATATTTTTTTTTGTCAAAATGTTTTGATATCTGGTTTATAAATAAATAAAATATATTAATGGTAATATTATACATATAATGTATACATTTTCTAGTTTTATTATTTAAATAAAATTAATTAATCAAACAAACACAAATGTATATTTAGTGTCTATATTTAAAAAGTTCAAAACTATTTAATCAAATATTTAGTGTATATTATGAGAGAACGACAAACTATATTAACTACTTTCCCAAATAGTTCATTTGTACATAATTTTACACAAAAAATACATTTAACAATAGATTACTAAAAATAGTGTCACTTTATGTAATGTTTAGTAAATTGCTATACACTCTATATAATTAAATGAAATATAATTTTTAGTTCATTGTATTTTTTAGATATTATTGTTGTTAAATTTAAACAAATAAAACTGTTTGAACACATGTTTTGCAATGTTTTCAACATTAATATTTTGACCATTGATGTGGCCATGAATTATTCAATTATATATATTATATTTACATTTCTTTTGAATTATAATTTTATGTTTTTATCATATGTTTGTTGAAATTTTATATAATATATTATTAACAACTATTTGAGATCTAAATTGAAGGTTAACCAGAAATATATAGTTTAATGTCTCAAACATATTATATAAATTTACATCTAAATAATTAAAATAACTTACAATGAGATATAATATATATTATTGAAATTCTCTGTCATTTTCGTTTTAGATATTTGTTAATTCAATATATATTTTTTTAATAGATAGTAATATTATGTTATATCTACTAATTTAAATTAAATTTTATAGGTGTGTTTCGTTTAATATATTGTGAAATATTTTAATTTAATCATTGATTAACTAAATTTAAATAAACTATTTGTAATAAGAAAATGTATTGAAACAGTTCCAACAAATTATTTTTATAATAACCTTTAAATAGTATTTAATAAAATTTTATTTTTTAAAATATATAATACTGTAAATAAAAATTTTAGTTTAAATAAAGATAAAAAACCAATGCTTTTTAATTAATCCGACTTTTTTACTGATAACTGCCAAAAGCTTTTGTCCACAATTACAAAAATATTTTGTGTAATTTATATGCAGTATATTAAATATGCAATTATGGAAATTTTTTAATAGATTAAGTATTTT